AATGAATGCAAAGTTAGCACCCATGTGCGTGTAACAATCATTACCATATCTGGGGCGGCGGGGTAGCCCAGTGGTTTAAGCGTTCGCTCGTCACGCCGAAGACCCAGGTTCGATTCCCCACTTGGGTACAATGTGTGAAGCCCATTTCTGGTGTCCCCCGCCGTGATATTGCTGGAATATTGCTACAAGCGGCGTAAAACCATACTCACTCACTCACTCATTACCACATCTTAACATCTCCGGTTTGACGAGGGCGATAGTGAGTGAGTGACTATAGTTTTACGCCGCTTTTAGCAATATTCCAGCACTATCACGGCAGGGGACACCAGAAATTGGTTTCACACATTGTACCTATGTGGAGATTCGAACCTGGGTCTTCAGCGTGACGAGCGAACGCTTTAACCATTAGACTACCGACACCGACCCTCGAGGGCGGAAGTCTTCCGCTCTCTGGTCCACTAGATCAAAGATGCCGTCATTCAAAGGGACGAATGAGGTCAACATCGAAATAAATGACACACGTGGTAATGGAGAGTGTTTTATATTAACAAACCCCTGCCTCGTTAACAATGGAAAGTAGCCCGTGTCATTTGCTCGAACTCCAGGCATAATTCTTATTTCGATACATCATCACTCACGCTTACAGTTTACAGATAACATGAAAACCGTAGTGTCTGTTGTGCAACCGGTGCGTTGACAACTTAAATCACGTGATGTGACGCAAGAACATCATAATACCCACGTGACTCGCTTCACGTGGCAGCGGTATCGCATTCGGGTATATGTACAGTTTGTCTAACTTGGTTTCCGATTGCACGGCACAATCTGTTGGTCAGCTCACGGGCATTTGGATAGAAATGAACTTGGCAGATAACAGTTTCGTATCTTTTTCACCAGTTTCAACCCAAATCTTGCTTGTTTATGATCACTTTCCGTACTTTTCACGACATTGGTCCTTACACTTTTGTCTTGGTGGGCTGATTTTAACAGGTTTTAATGCGAGATTTGTTTTAAGTTGATTCCAGTCTTCCAGTTCTCGAAATGTTTTGATGTGGCGTGTTGATAGTAAGACCCAATGTAGGGCTTCTCGTACGCCCCATCTGGATCACGTGATGTGACGTCAAGAACGTCATAACCCCCTTTTGAATCGTCTCCAGGAGAAGACTGTGTGGCAGTTAGGTCCGTATAGGGCTTGACGAGCAAACCGTCTGGATCACGTGATGTGACGTCAAGAACGTCATAACTCCCAGGTGACTCGCAATGATTCTCTCCACATCCGGTGTTTTGAGCACGTGACTCTCCTTCACGTGATATCGGTGTGATATAACTCCCACGTGACTCACAATGATTCTCCCCACAGCCGTTGTTTTGAGCACGTGACTCTCCTTCACGTGACATCGGTGTGATATCCGTGAACGGTTTACCGGGCTGCTCGTCTTGGTCACGTGATGTGACGTCAATAACGTCATAATCCACAATTGACTCCCGCTGATTCCCCACACACCCGGTGTTTTGAGCACGTGACTCTCCTTCACGTGATATCGGTTTGGCAGTTCGGTCCGCGAACAGTTTACCCGGCTCCTCGTCTTGGTCACGTGATGTGACGTCAATACCGTCATAATCCACACTTGACTGATTCTCTTGACTGTGTTGGGCATTCCCACCAGGAGGAATATCATTAAAGATATCATCATATACAACCGGCTCCAGTGTTCTTTGTGAGTGTTGTCTGAAAGGAAATTTACATTAAACGTGATTTTATATTTGCATGTAAGAAAAGTGTTGTAATGTTACGAGGCATATCGTTTGAGTGATCTAATGAAACGATTAAACGACGAGTCTTGTCAGATGCGTGATGGGCAATTAGAAGCTGGAAGGTAACATAACGATATGGATATACAACTTCTTTATTATCTATAAGGGGCGGTGGGGTAGCCTAATGGTTAAAGCACTGGCTCGTCACGCCGAAGACCCGGGTTCGAATCCCCACATGGGTACAATGTGTGAAGCCCATTTCTGGTGTGCCCCACCGTGATGTTGTTGGAATATTGCTAAAAGCGGCGTAAAACCAAACTCAGTCAGTATTATCTACAACATGCCGTTTCTGGGCTACTTCTTGCCTCCTCATCAGGTGAATCTGACCACAAGCAACATATACAGTACGTACAGGAGACCAGATGGAATTAAAGAATGAGATGTACAGACATCAAGGAGATTAAGTGATATGTTTTGAATGAGATGTACATTGTTCAAAGAGATGAAAGGGTATGTTTCTGCAACAGATTGGTATAGAGATTGTATGTACAGAGTGTTGTAAATAATAAAAGTTGTAAATCCACACCATACGTTGTGAAATGTAAAATGATGTTTACCAAGTCCCATCAATTTAAGATACTGACACAAACAACATATTTAAACAGAAACGTCGTGGACACCGAATCCAGAAACAAGTTGACGTACGACATCTTTATACTCACCGATGTCTCCGGACGAGGAGGACAACTATTACAACAAGTAGTACTACCACAGCTGTTATTCCCGTCCCAACGAGACCAACGAACACGGGACTGATGCTGAGCCTAGACGTGTCTGCGGGAACTGGCGACAGAAAAAATTAATTGTTGTCAGTTTGGTATTGATGCCATGGATTGGCTGCTTAAGATTGAACTCAAGGAAAGCCTGGAGCTTTCGAAACTTATTATTTAGGTGAAACCAAAGAGCATGGGTTTGTAAAACATTTACAGGGAATCATATTGGGGCCCTTTGATTTTGTTAGGTGTTTCTAATCGCCAACCGCAACGACCACGAGAGCTGGGGGAGAAAAATATGAAAAAGGGAAAAGGAAAATTAAGATCACTCGGCATTAATCTTTAAATATAAGTTTTAATTCGACCAAGTCGCTTTGCTTGGAAAACATTTTCTAAATAAATATAGATAAAGAAAACTTAAGCTGAGCTGTTTTTTTCATGAGAGTGCAAGGATAAGGATATTGGCATAACATTTCACAGCCACGGGAAAACTGAGCTTGGGAACCTATTTATTATTTCACGTGGGATTGAATGAAATTACAGGGGAACACAGAATAAATTAAGGAGAATCTTAGGATAAGTGATTGGTTGTCATATGTGAACATTTATGCTAACTAATCAATGGAAATGTGTAATATCGACAAAGAGTCGAACTGAACTAAAGGCATTGAATATCTACTGTGGGTTTTGTTGCTTCTGGTGAAAGTATCTCCATCGCAGTTATCTCCCTTCCATCCAAGCACGCATGTGCATGTGCCGTTCACATCATCACAAAGGCCCTCGGTGCAGTTTTGGCTGCAGAAGGTCCCACATTCTTGTCCATAGCTGTCATGTTGACAATCTTTTGTGAAAATGATATTATCATTAAAACCTCAGACTTTATTAGGCTTAGAAAATTGCAAAAGAAGTACAGAAGAAATGGGAAAAGCTACCAAATATAGTGAACATAGAGAGTTTTCTAGGTTTCATCTTCTTTGTATTATTTGGTACAACGTTTCGGGGCTTGTTCTGGCCCCATCATCAGGTAGAACTAAAGAACAGATAAGTTCTTTAGTTCTACCTGATGATGGGGCCAGAACAAGCCCCGAAACGTTGTACCAAATAATGCAAAGAAGATGAAACCCAGAAAACTCTCTATGTTCATCAAATAGCATCTTCTAAAATGCCACTCAAGTACCAAATATAAATTAAAAGTTTTGACTTGTCAGTCTGATCTAACTACCGATTAATGACTTTCAAATTAAAAGAATTGAAATATTTTTGCACGTTTCATCGCGTAGGTTTAGTATGTTCAATATAATATAGCGACGCTTCACAAAGATATCTTCATTGTTGAAATCCTTTAAACCAACACCATATCTCTGTGTGTACAGGTATGAGATCAAACATTCAGACGACATACATGATTTCTGTAAATAATAATCGGTTGTTTCGTGTTACGCACACTAACCTTATTACTGATAGAATGATTGTATACACTCATACGCACGCACGCGCACGCGCACGTACACACACAGAGGATATATTTACACATCAACCCTGTCGTGTTGTTTGATTTATGTTAATAGACAATTTTAGTGACTGAGTTTAGTTTTACGCCGCATTTAGTAAATATTTCAGCAATATCACGAAATGGGACACCGGAAGTGGGCTTCCCACATTTTACCCATATGGTTAATCGAACCCGGGTCTTCAACGTGACGACCAAACGCTTTAACCACTTGGCTACCCCACCTGGACAATTTTCATTAACTAGTAAGTTTTAATTTTTGAGTAAACATGCACTTTATTTGTTTCCTCAAACGCTTTTTGAAAATACATGTATATATAATTTTAAAGAATAATAAATCCTATGGCCTCACCTCCGTACACATACATTTCAATTAAGCCCAGTTTGGACACCATCGAATCTGTGCTGACGAGTATGATGGTGGTGGCGTTGACGACGTTCCTGCACGTGATTCTCAACGTTGTAGCCGTCAGCCAAGTGTTCATAGCGTTACAAGGCATTACCGTGTCTTTGTTTGTGGTTGTCATTACTATTTCCCGCGTTCCTGTAACCATGGAGATATGCAGTGTTATAACAGGCAAGTGGGAGATAATGCTAAAGGTGTCATGTTGACATGACATTTGGCGCATAACTGAGAGGAACGCTCATTACAAAGAAGTGTGGGTTTATACACACTGTACGCATAAGTTTCGTACTCAAATACAGTAAACTACACTCTTCAACACAGAAAAAAATGCATAAGATATTTTTAGACAAATTTATTGCGTTAGTTTATGAGAAAATATTTCTTGTAATCGCAATGGTAAAAAGGTGCAAATTTACACGCCTATAAACAGACAACAGCAGTCTTTATTGATCTGTTTCTGTTTACGTGAGTCCACAAATATGGCGTCAATGTCAGTACTTTGTATGGCCACCATTGACAGCAATTACTGCTCGGCACCGTCTGAGCACAGACTGGATAAGTCGACGAAGGCCGAATTCTCCCCTACTCTTCCTGCAATGCGATGGCCAGTTGTGGAAGTGTCTGAGGCGTGTTTTGACGTTGACGTACACGTCGATCGAGTTCATCCGAAAGGTGTTCTATCGGGTTTAGATCGGGTGATCAGGAAGGCCATGGCAATACATTGACGTTAGAATTGGCATTGTAGCGAACCGTGACGCGTGCTGTATGTGAAGTAACGTTTTCATCCTGGAACAGCTCCTCTGTAGGTCCATACTGGGAAGCATGCGGCGTGCAAGGACTTCGCTGATGTACCGATTTGCTGTCAAATTCCCGTGAATCACCACTAAATCAGATGTTTGTGTGCTGGAGATCCCAACCCACACCATGACACTTTCTCCACCAAATCTGTTGACCCGTCGAATGCAATTAGGGGCAAAACGTTCATTTCTCCGACGGTAAACACGCTGTCCTTCATGTCGCTGGTGGAGCAGAAATCGTGATTCATCACTGAACCAGACTGGCCTCCAGTTTCTTAAGGTTCAAGTTCCGGACTCTACGACACCACCGCAAGCGATTGCGTCGATGGAAGTCTCTCAAAACAGGGGCGACACTTGGCCTTCTTGGTCGAATCCCCAATCGATTCCTGACAGTTCGGTCAGACATTCTTCTCAAACCAACTTCTTTGCCTTTTTGTAGTTATCGAGCTTTCCCGCATATTTACATGTGCATTTTGCTTTGCATGTTTTCTTGGTGACGTTTAGGCGAATATTTCTTCAAACGCTTCTAAAACAAGTGAAAAAATTTAAGTTGCTGCGTTTTGGCGCTGAAGCTGTTTACAATCACAGAAAGGAGACTTTTTGGAAAGAAAAAGTATATTTATATTGATTTGTCGCAGCTACACGGGTCCAATATTCTCAAAATCAAATATGCGTTTCTTTTTGTGAAGAGTATACGTTTGTAACCAACATGCGTATAACACACTGAAGGATGTTAGGAACTATGTTTCTGTTCCGGTCACTTCCTGTATGTTTCAAAGAACCATGGGTATAACGAACTAAATTAGTGGGCCCTTTCAGTTCAACATTGTTATAACCGTATCATGGTATAAGCAGCTTACTCCGCAAGAAAGTGGCGAAGTAATTTCTCGACAATATCACTTTGTTTTTCTATTTGCGGTATGGATGGTATAATAATATAAGAATGTCTCACAGCACCGTAATTCGCTGGCACTCTGACGTCCACCCAGACTACCCAGGCAGGGTGTTGTAACTCCACGCTCCATGTTGGGTCCAGGATGGATGGTGTTACCGAGGCGGTGGACGTGAAACCGTCAACAGCAGTGGATGACCTCGACGAACCTCCTTCAGTGAAAGATGAATACACCGGATAGCGGGACTGTGTTGTTGGTTGGTTGCTGTCAGTGGTGACTGTAAAATATGAATCATGGTTGAAAATGTCATCGAGGACTTTTATGCACAATATAATATGTACATTTATAATAAGGTCACCTATATAGCGCCCCCGCACCTGCATGTTCTAAGCACATACAACATGATAGACATTATTACCCCGGATAACCCAAACTGCCTGTGAGGCGCAAAAAGGTTAGTAGTCGTATGCATTATCCCACCGGGTACCCATTCTCTGCTGGGTGAACAGAGGCAATTCACTTGCCTAAGGTGAGACCACGTGTCACGCGTGTTTCGTTATGAGATAGCACTGAAATCTTCGAAACTCTCACGCAAACAAACATCAAACGGGACGGTAGGACCATGACAATGATGAAACATCGAAGCACCCAGTGTAATCCTTCCATTAATGACTACATGGCACAACAAGGTCGTGAACCGGGAATTTCGTTGGCATTCTAAAGACGACGAAGAGCTGAATCATTACTCTATAACAAAATGAAACTGACCAGCCTATTTCTAACACAGTGAACTGTTCCGATGTTTGGTCTGATCACAAGCCTTGAGTATCCGTGCTTCTCGATCGGTTTTGAGGAACAGTGGAAATGCATTCTTACGTTGAATTCCATGCATTATGTTTGTTGGTTGGTTAACGCCACACTCAGCAATATTCCAGCTATATGGCGGCGGTCTGTACCTAATCGAATCTAGACAAGAAAACCCAGTAATCAACTGCATGAGCATCGATCTACGCAGTTGGGATACGATGACATGTGTCAACCAAGTCATCGAGCATGACCCCACGATCCAGTTAGTCGCCTCTTGCGACAAGCATGTTATCATTCTAACATGGATCATCACGGGTTCAACCATTAGGAATTAGGCAACAACAAAAACGAAACAACAGATCGGTCTGTCTTAGTAGCAGTACTGCTGTGAGGTATCAACTAATAAATACTTACTTTTAATGCAGAAGGTGTCAATGGCGGATCCTACCCGTACAATACCTAATAACCTAAATTAATTTTAGAAGCCCATTAATTCATAACTATTTTCTGCTCCTTTTACTTCAAATAGGCCGCCTCCGTGGTCTAGTGGTTAGAGCGTCCGCCCGGAGAGTGGAAGGTCGCGGGTTCGATCCCCGACCGTGTCATACCAAAAGACGTTAAAATTTGGTACTTGTTGGTCCCTGTCTGGCGGTCGGCATTAATGGGTACAATAAGGACTGGTCGGCTCGGAGTCAGTATAATGTGTCTGAGTAGGGTATTCATGCTTCACTGCGGGATGGTATCTCAGTGAGCTAGCACTATAAAACCAGCTTCAGTCTGGGCTAGTACAAGGAGCCGCACATGCACATACACACGCATGCACGTCGTCATATGAGTGAAATATTCTCAAGCACGACGTAAAACCCAATTTCACCAGATTGGTCATGTTCTTTTTATAAATGAATGAGTTTAGTTTTTCGCCTCTTTTAGCAATATTCCTCAATATCACGGCAGGGGACACAAGAAATGGGCTTCACACATCAAGTCAAAACATTGATTACACAACAGTCTCGTTTGCTGTTGACTGGGTCCCGTCCTATTGCGCAACTTAGTACAATAACCAGTCCAGAATTTTGAGACCAATTCATTTAAATGGATACATCATTATTAATCAGTATTATTTGATACACCTAAGCACTTGTATATTGCAACACTACGCTCCTTCTAATCCTTGCAAACACGCCGTGCAGCGTGCTCTGTCGTACAGCGAGCTCTGACAAACGGAAACCTGGAAATCGTGGAAATGTCAAAACGAGGTTCTCCCGCTTGAAAACTTTGGCGGTCTGGGACGGACTTGATATTATATCAATCACCTTGTGCGTTACAGAACTATACTGAATATGCACAAAAAACACAAAACAGGTGTAACCAGTGAGCCAGATGTATTGTGAATTATTTTACGACCTCATCAAACTGGGACAGTCTGTGACGTCTTAGTTAAGGTCATGCTGCCTACACCTCGCAATAAAGTATAGAAATACATTGTTATTAAAGTTTAAAATTAAAATTAATTTGTAAATACCATTTTTTTCTTGTGAAACAAGGAACTGGAATTCAGTGTAACCATAGTTCATACGAGAAAATTCGGATCGGCTGAAAAATAGGTCATTGTCTGAATAGGTTAATGAGACTCATGTTTCGGTTTGGTACCCATGTAGGGAATCGAACCCGGGTCTTCGGCGTGACGACTACGTTATCCCACCGCCCCTCTTATTTTGACGTTGTATATTATTGAAAATGTCCAACATTAATTTAAAAAATAAGTAAAGATGATGTTATTTTCTGTGTGAAACGTGAAGCAACACATGTATGTCAGGGTGTAGAATTACCATGAAACGAGAAACAACACGTGTATGGCACGGTGTAGAATGACCATGAATGACATGTATTCTGAACAACGTGGCAAATAAGGTCCCGTTGTTTTTCATTTGACACAAGGATTAATAGAATGTATCACAATAACCTTTAATGCACCAAAATAAAACATTTAAATATTTTACGACCAAAAGACCCTACAACTTCCTGCAAGTTTGATCAGTTATCTTTGTCAATATCTGTATGCAATCCGGGAGGCACTCAACCGGTAAATAATACATTGTAATGTCGTTGTATACTCTAACTGTTTCCACTTTGAAATTAACAAAATGACTGAGAAATCTGTATGTGAAATATTTTTGTGTGAAACCAATTTCAACAAGGAAATATCCAAGACTTATCAAATTTACTAGATTTTCCAATACAAAATACAACACAGAAAGTATGATGACAATACAAAATAGTGCAAATTCAACGAAACAATGTAAGACAAAAACATAATTGCTTACCATGAATTACCCTGTCATATATAGAGATTATTACACGAGCATGTGTGTCATACGTCTTATACGAAACGAATGTGAAATTTGGTATTGTAGAGCGAAAGCAATACATAATTTTGCACGAGTTTCGTATAAGTCATATGGCACATATGATATATATGACACTGGGTATGTTTCACCATATGGGTAATAAAACATGTTGTTACTAAAGTATTCTGCCGCGTTATCATTAACGTAGCCTTGTATTGTTACAAAAGTGGGGCGGTTGGGTAGCCTAGTGGTTAAGGCGTTCACTCGTCACGCCGAAGCCCCGGGTTCGATTTCCCACATTGGTACCATGTGTGAAGCCTATTTCTGGTGCCCCCCGCCGTGATATTGCTGGAATATTGCTAAAAACGGATAATAACTGAGGATAGACGTTTGGCAGCTCATGTCTCTGCAACATTTCTGTATTCTAAAACGCAAGCATTTACTTTCTTTGGGATGAAAATGGAATACAAAGAATAGACCAGGCAGGTATGTACCTATGTTAGAATAACAAACGTACAGAAAAGACATTGAAACGCTTACCTGCAGTACTACAAGACAATATTCCTGCTGTGACAGAGATTAATAGTATACCGACCATTGTGCTAGCATCCTTGTAAGTGTCCCCCTTTAACAGAGAGGCGTATATATATATATATATATATATATATATATATATATGAAGAGGTCGGATGCTGTGTTGAATCACTGAGAGGATGGCACAATGGTCGGTAAGAGGGTCAGGAGGAGGAGGGGTGCTTGGTGTACAACACGACCTATAACACGGAAACAGCTCTTGCAAGTGATGACAATGCATTGATATTCTTGATGATGTGAAACAGACGGTCCCTACACCGAAGCCCTTCATCCTGCCAAGTGCCATCTCTATGGTGACTTCAGATTCCATTCATGTTGTCACTGTTTGTGACAGAGGTGACTGACGGGATCGGGTGGTCAGGCTCGCTGACTTGGTTGACACATGTTGAGTACATTCATATTTTCGGACACGTATGAAACATTCGACGTTTTCTTTCGAATCACATGAACGAAATATCAGTAACTTATAACAGTTTATTCGAATCACAAGTAGTCATTCAAGAATTTACAATCTCTGTGTTACGCAATACCTCTCCCTTTATCCCGAGTAAGACCTGCCGTCCAAAAAACGTGTGATACCATAGTAAATGCCACCGATAACCAGTTTGTTATATCCCCCAGGTCGTTATAAGCGTAGTTCGTTATAAACGTAGTATATAGTTCTTTTTTTTATAAAACATGTAATCAGTCAAAAAACAATATACAAGGAAGAAGATAACATCATAAAAACAATATGCAAGGAAGAGGATAACATCATAAAAACAATATACAAGGAAGAGGATAACATCATAAAAACAATATACAAGGAAGAGGATAACATCATAAAAACAATATACAAGGAAGAGGATAACATCATAAAAACAATATACAAGGAAAAAGATAACTTTATATTATTGTTTTTACACTGGTATGTTTGTTGCTGAGGTGGTGTGTACAATACATGACATGTGCGAATATAAGATAAATAATCAAAAAAGAACTCAGAATATACACTCAGTCAAAAAAGAAACGTCACACTCGTTTGGAGGTCGATAAGTTGAACATACATGAAAAGAGGTTTTAAATAATGATTTTATTCCATTCTGTACCCATTAAGGACGGTGTACCATAAAAATCATGCTCATAATGTAACCAGTTCCACCGGAAATACTACGTAAATGTAAGAGAGTAAAAATGGTAAGTTACAACTTGATGAAAGCATGTCAATAGCGCGTATGCCCTCCATGAGCGTTCACAACTGCGACGCAACGACTCCTCATGGAATTGAATGATGCGTCTGAACACAGCTTGGGGGGATGCGTCGCCATAATTGTACCAACATGGCACCAAGTTCCTTCAAATTCTGTGGAGGGTTCCTTACTTGACGGAGTCTTCTGCCCAACACATCCCATACATATTCTATGGGATTAAAGTCGGGAGACCTTGAGGGCCACTCCATGACATTGATGCCAGCATTCCTAAGAAAATTCCGCGTTAAATTGGCCGTATGAGGTCTGGCATTATCGTGTTGGAATGTAAGAGCTGGGCCATGAGCTGCGATGAATGGCAAAAGCTTCCACCTGAGATGTCGTTGTGCCCAGATCAGCCGTTGACGTCGGTGTAACTTGGTTAAAATTGGTCCACGATATGGCCGACGTGCATGGAGACGAGCAGTGCGCAGGCGATTACGTATTGTTTGGGCAGTCACACGACCTTTAAACAATTCATTCCTAGTGGACGTTGCAGTGAGAAATCGATTACGCAAATGACGTAAGACGATTTGTCGGTCTTCTGCTTGTGTCGTCACACGTGGTCTACCCGAACGAGGTCGGTCTGCTGTGGTGCCTGTTTGTTGGAGACGAGTCCGAAGATCATGGATAGTCCATCGACTGCATCCCATAACCCTGGCAACGTCAGTGACCGACGTTCCCGCATTCAGCATGCAAATGGCACGTTCACGTTGAATGTTTGACTGTAAGAACTTGTTTTTTCCGAGATGTCACTCTACCGTGCTAACTTGGGCTCAATTGCACGTGTCTCATAAGGTCACGTGACTAGGAACACGAGAAAACATGTTTTTACCGTGATGTACGCTCGCACGTGCTGCATGCCTGTGCACGTCGGAGTTGCTGTGTGTCATGATGTCTTTGACAACGCATTTACCCCTAATGATAATAATAATAACTCTTGTATTTAGTTTCAAGAAAATATTTAGAAATTGATGAGTGTGAAGTTTCTTTTTTTGACTGAGTATATTTTAACTTGATTATATGCAGATTCGATGGACCGGTGTAGTGTCAAAACAGTGATAAAATTGTATTAACGTATTAGTGAAAATTAATAGCGACACCCGGTGTCCGGGAAGATGGTACGCACATTTTTGTTGTATTTGTATCACTTCCCCGACAACAATTATGCTTACAACTGTGACAACTTGACTGAGTGAGTGTGGAAATATGAAAACACCCGAAGACCCGGATGTTCCGTAAATTCTATTCCTAAATTTGCTGGATCCTGAGTTATATTTCTCTTTATATGGACACACCTTTCTTTGGAAAGATTGATTCCAGAAAAGGGTGGATAGGATGTGTTCTAAGTTACAACAGAAATTCAATGAAAACCTAAAATACCTCATTAATGTTTGACATTTATTTTCAGACAATGGACTGCACAGGAAAAAATAGGGGGATCGAGGCGATTTACACTATATTTGCAACATCTGTAACGGTGACATCATAAATAAATACAAGTACAAAGGAACCAATATTTTCATACAGAGGAGCCAATATTTGTGTACAAAGGAACCAATATCTGCATACAAAGGAGTCAATATGTGCATAAAAAGCAAGTCAAAACAATGATTACGCACAAGTCTCGTTTCCTGCTGACTGGGTTCTGTCCTATTGCGCAACTTACTACAATAACCAGTCAACAATTTGAGACCAACTCATTCAACTGGACATTTAATTATTAATCTGTATTATCTGATACACCTAATCACTTGTATATTGCAACACTACGCTCCTTCTAATCATTGCAAACAGGTCGTGCAGCGTGCAGTGTCGTACAGCGTGCGCTGACAAACGGAAATCTGGACATCGTGGAAATCTGAAAACGAGGCTCAGCCGCTTGAAAAGTTTGGCGGTCTGGTACGAACTTGATGTTATATCAATCACAGTGTGCGTTACAAAACTACACTGAATAAGCGCACAGAACACATTACAGGTGTAACCAGTGAGCCAGATGACTTGTGAATCATTAAACGACCTCTTCAAACAGGGGCAGTCTGTGACGTCTTAGATAACGACATGCTGCCTTAACCTCGACATAAAATATAGAAATACGATGTTATTAAAGTTTAAAATTAAGATTAATTTGTAAATACCATTTTCTTATGAAACAAGAAATTGGAATTCAGTGTAACCATAGTTGTGTGTAGTGTCTCCTTTCAATTTCACACGAGAAAATTCGAATCGGCTGAAAAGTAGGTCATTGTCTAAATTGGTTAATGAGACTCATGTTTCGGTTTGTATCAATATTTGTGTTGAAAGAAAGCTGTATGTACATACAAAGGAACCAATATTTGCATACAAAGGAAGCAATATATGCATACAAAGGAAGCAATATTTGAATATAGAAGAATCACTATTTGCGTAGAAAGGAATCAATATTTGCGTACAAATGAACTATTATCTGCGTGTAAACCAACCAATATTTGTGTTGAAAGGAATCAATGTTTGCGTATAAAAGAACTGTCTGCGTATAAAAGAACTGTCTACGTACAAAGGAGCCTGTATTTTGCGTACAAAGGAATCAATATCTGCGTACAAACGAACCAATATTTGCAAAGAAATGGAAACAATATTTGCATACAAAGGAACCGATATTTACGTATAAAGGGCCGATAATTGGATACAAAAGTGTCAATATCTGCGTACAAAGGAATCAATATCTGTGTACAAAAGAGTCACTATCTGCGTATAAAGGAATTAATATCAGCGTACAAAGGAACCAGTATTTGCGCTCAAAGGAAACAACATTTGCGTACAAAGGAATCAATATTTGCATACAAAAGAGTAAATATTTGCGTACAAAAGAATCAATATCTGTGTACAAAGGAAACAATATTCGTGTACAAAGGAAGCAATGCTTGCATACACAGGAACCAATGTTTGACTGTAAAAAAATCATATCCTCGTACAAACGAATCAATATTTGCGTACAAAGGAATCAATATTTGCGTGCAAAGGAAGCTATATGTGCATACAAGGGAACCAATATTTGCGTATAAAGGAATCAATATCTGCATACAAAGGGATCAATATTTGCGTACAAGAGAAAAAATATCTGCGTGAAAAGGAACCAATAGTTGCATACAAAGGAAACCATATTTGCGTACAAATGAACCAATATTTGCGTACAAAGGAACCAATTTCTGCGTACAAACCAACCAATATTTGCGTACAAAGGAAGCAAAATGTGCATACAAACTACCCAATATCTGAGTACAAATGAACCAATATTTGCGTACAAAGGAACCAATTTCTGCGTACAAACCAACCAATATTTGCGTACAAAGGAAGCAAAATGTGCATAGAAAGGAATCATTATCTGCTTACAAAGGAATCAGTATCTGCGTTTTCGTACAGAGGAAGCATTATATGTGTACAAAGGAATCCAGTGTCTGCGTTTGCGTACAGAAGAAGCAATATCTGTGTACAGAGGAAGCAATTTCAACACAGAATTTCGTTTTTTACATTCACATGCATGTTGGTATACAGTATGGTGATATTGATCAGATATAAACAAATTCCTTGCTTAAACCACACGACATTGCTGCACAGATGAACTAGTTATTTTGTTAACACTCCATTTATATGATATCTTAGTATATAAACTTGCAGCCGCTCATCAGATGAAACATGACAACTGAGGACAACAAAGGGAGACAACTGTGTCCAGATAAGCAAAAGCATCAGCCACAATTACTCCGCAGACAATACAATTGAAATAAGACGGACAAACATGATTTTATACACAATTTCAGATATGTTGCCCTGTCTATTTACATGTATGTGTAGAACCCTGTCCGTGGCAAGTATGTATGCATTTAACTAATTCCTTCAATTCTTGCATTCAGGAGTTTAATCAAGCTTTATCATTCAAACTGAAAACATTATAAATTGTTAAGCAACATTTTGTGGAGTCTGAACTATTCAATGTAAGTTTTCAGAAACTATAAAAGAGTGACCATATAATTTAAGTTAATATCGGAAAATGTTTGATAATTCGTCTATGAATTGTATACTACTCTGAAAGCCAACAATGCCAATGTTTTAGAAGAAAACTTATTCATTGGTGTACATATTTTCTTCTCACAAGAACAAACTCCCACCAGTACGTTTTCATGAGTAATCGAACTGGATTAAAAGACGCCTTCATTAAACGACGCTTTGAATTCTTTGGTGTGTCCAGATCAGACCACTGGATTTCTACATGGGTACAATCTGTTGGTCCACCACAAACCACTGGATTTCTACATGGGTACAATCTGTTCGTCCACCACAGACCACTGGATTTCTACATGGGTACAATCTTTTGGTCCACCACAAACCACTGGATTTCTACATGGGTACAATCTGTTGGTCCACCACAGACCACTGGATTTCTACATGGGTACAATCTGTTGGTCCACCACAGACCACTGGATTTCTACATGGGTACAATATGTTGGTCCACCACAAACTACTGGATTTCTACATGGGGCATAATCTGTTGGTCCACCACAAACCACTGGATTTCTACATGGGTACAATCTGTTGGTCCACCACAAACTACTGGATTTCTACATGGGTACATAATCTGTTGGTCCACCACAAACCACTGGATTTCTACATGGGTACAATCTGTTGGTCCACCACAAACCACTGGATTTCTACATGGGTACAATCTGTTGGTCCACCACAGACCACTGGATTTCTACATGGGGTCCACCACAGACCACTGGATTTCTACATGGGTACAATCTGTTGGTCCACCACAAACCACTGGATTTCTACATGGGTACAATCTGTTGGTCCACCACAAACCACTGGATTTCTACATGGGTACAATCTGTTGGTCCACCACTGGATTTCTACATGGGGTACAATCTGTTGGTCCACCACAAACCACTGGATTTCTACATGGGTACAATCTGTTGGTCCACCACAAACCACTGGATTTCTACATGGGGTACAATCTGTTGGTCCACCACAGACCACTGGATTTCTACATGGGTACAATCTGTTGGTGGTCCACCACAAACCACTGGATTTCTACATGGGTACAATCTGTTGGTCCACCACAAACCACTGGATTTCTACATGGGTACAATCTGTTGGTCCACCACAGACCACTGGATTTCTACATGGGTACAATCTGTTGGTCCACCACAACCACTGGATTTCTACATGGGTACAATCTGTTGGTCCACCACAGACCACTGGATTTCTACATGGGTACAATCTGTTGGTCCACCACACAGACCACTGGATTTCTACATGGGTACAATCTGTTGGTCCACCACAGACCACTGGATTTCTACATGGGTACAATCTGTTGGTCCACCACAGACCACTGGATTTCTACATGGGTACAATCTGTTGGTCCACCACAGACCACTGGATTTCTACATGGGTACAATCTGTTGGTCCACCACAAACCACTGGATTTCTACATGGGTACAATCTGTTGGTCCACCACAGACCACTGGATTTCTACATGGGTACAATCTGTTGGTCCACCACAGACCATGGATTTCTACATGGGTACAATCTGTTGGTCCACCACAGACCACTGGATTTCTACATGGGTACAATCTGTTGGTCCACCACAGACCACATGGGGATTTCTACATGGATTTCTACAACAATCTGTTGGTCCACCACAGACCACTGGATTTCTACATGGGTACAATCTGTTGGTCCACCACAGACCACTGGATTTCTACATGGGTACAATCTGTTGGTCCACCACAGACCACTGGATTTCACATGGGTACAATCTGTTGGTCCACCATCTGTTGGTCCACCACAGACCACTGGATTTCTACATGGGTACAATCTGTTGGTCCACCACAGACCACTGGATTTCTACATGGGTACAATCTGTTGGTCCACCACAGACCACTGGATTTCTACATGGGTACAATCTGTTGGTCCACCACAGACCACGGGATTTCCACATGGGTACAATCTGTTGGTCCACCACAGACAACGGGATTTTCACATGGGTACAATCAGTTGGTCCACCACAAACCATGGGATTTCTACATGGGTACAATCTGTTGGTCCACCACAAACCACTGGATTTCTACATGGGTACAATCTGTTGGTCCACCACAAACCACTGGATTTCTACATGGGGTACAATCTGTTGGTCCACCACAAACCACGGGATTTCTACATGGGTACAATCTGTTGGTCCACCACAGACCACTGGATTTCTACATGGGTACAATCTGTTGGTCCACCACAAACCACTGGATTTCTACATGGGTACAATCTGTTGGTCCACCACAAACCACTGGATTTCTACATGGGTACAATCTGTTGGTCCACCACAGACCACTGGATTTCTACATGGGTACAATCTGTTGGTCCACCACAAACCACTGGATTTCTACATGGGTACAATCTGTTGGTCCACCACAAACCATTTCTACATGGATTTCTACATGGGTACAATCTGTTGGTCCACCACAAACCACTGGATTTCTACATGGGGTACAATCTTTTGGTCCACCACAAACCACGGGATTTCTAAATGGGTACAATCTGTTGGTCCACCACAAACCACTGGATTTCTACATGGGTACAATCTGTTGGTCCACCACAGACCACTGGACTAATCTGTTGGTCCACCACAAACCACTGGATTTCTACATGGGTACAATCTGTTGGTCCACCACAAACCACTGGATTTCTACATGGGTACAATCTGTTGGTCCACCACAAACCACTGGATTTCTACATGGGTACAATCTGTTGGTCCACCACAACCACTGGATTTCTACATGGGTACAAATCTGTTGGTCCACCACAACTGGATTTCACCTACATGGGTACAATCTTTGGTAACCCACATGGGTACAATCTGTTGGTCCACCACAGACCACTGGATTTCTACATGGGTACAATCTGTTGGTCCACCACAAACCACTGGATTTCTACATGGGTACAATCTGTTGGTCCACCACAAACCACTGGATTTCTACATGGGTACAATCTGTTGGTCCACCACAAACCACTGGATTTCTACATGGGTACAATCTGTTGGTCCACCACAGACCACTGGATTTCTACATGGGTACAATCTGTTGGTCCACCACAGACCACTGGATTTCTACATGGGTACAATCTGTTGGTCCACCACAGACCACTGGATTTCTAGATGGGTACAATCTGTTGGTCCACCACAAACCACTGGATTTCTACATGGGTACAATCTGTTGGTCCACCACAGACCACTGGATTTCTACATGGGTACAATCTGTTGGTCCACCACAGACCACGGGATTTCTACATGGGTACAATCTGTTGGTCCACCACAGACCACTGGATTTCTACATGGGTACAATCTGTTGGTCCACCACAGACCACGGGATTTCTACATGGGTACAATCTGTTGGTCCACCACAAACCACTGGATTTCTACATGGGTACAATCTGTTGGTCCACCACAGACCAGTGGATTTCTACATGGGTACAATCTGTTGGTCCACCACAAACCACGGGATTTATACATGGGTACAATCTGTTGGTCCACCACAAACCACGGGATTTCTACATGGGTACAATCTGTTGGTCCACCACAAACCTCGGGATTTCTACATGGGTACAATCTGTTGGTCCACCACAAAACCACGGGATTTCTAGATGGGGTATAAATAAAGAAAACCATGCACATAAAGATGTTCAAATGTTCATGGATGAATTTCTCCTTCAACAAATCAAGGTCTTGGTTATATACGCCTCTACTCAAAATTCTATCAGGAAAGGTCAGAAAGCGTGAGGTCGCTTACACTCGACCCTACAGTTTTCAAAAGTTCCATTAGATTTTCTAGATCACGTACAATCATCAAAATAAAGGAACATTGGACTTTCCACATGGTTCATATTCTCTTCGAAATGGAATGATTTGGAAGACTTATTTCTGGCTACTGTACATTAGATTCAATCTGTTCAGGTTTATTAACTAGACAGCTTATCAACCCGACATATGGAAATCAGATATGAATATTTTTAACAAGATTGATCTCTTCCAGATATCGGAATGTTTTGATATGGCGTGTTGGTAGTTAGTTCCGTGTAGGTTCTTTCAATTCCCTCCTCTGGGTCACGTGATGTGACGTCAAGAACGTCATAATCCTCAAGTGACTTTCTTTCACGTTGTTGCGGTATTGCATTCAGGGCCGTGTAGGGTTTTCCAAGCTCATCGTCTGGATCACGTGATGTAACATCAAGAACGTCATAATGCTCACGTGACTCGCTCTGATTAACTTGACTTCCGGGCACACCCGGATGAATATCATCAATGATATCATGATATATAACCTGCTCCTGGGTTCTCTGTCTTCGTCGTCTGAAAGTAAGATTTAGACACAACATGATATGATATCAGTACAAAAAGTAGAAACTAGCATTACTTTGCACAAGTGAGTGTACATACTTATATAAACAAAAAGCATGCCTTTGGTTGAGCCTTAAGTTTGTGATTCCATTTTGTTTCTTTCTTTTCCTTGAATAAAAGTTTTGTTGTGAACATATTTGCATTTGCATGTGATTTAAGCCTCTTGTGGCTACTTGTTTACGTGTGAATACATGTGATGATCCACGGTCGAACGTTCGTCAGGAATCCATCTTTGCGACTAAATTGATCCATGACGTGGTTAATGCATGTCATAGTATCCAAAAGGCGTAAACTGGTGCCCATGGCATCAGTCACTGGATTGTCTAGTCCACCCTCGATTATTTAGAGGCTGCGCCATACAAATAGAATGTTGCTGAGTGTGACGTTAAACACGCTAAAAAAGAAACAAGTAAAAATTTGGTCCCTGCATTTTCCTTATTTAGTCATAGTTGCTGCTTGTGTCGAATCTCGGATAAGTACTTACGTATATCGATTCAGCGTCGACACAAATTTGTTTGCATATATTTACGTACACTGTTACTTAACACTTTACTAGGTTTAAACGAATGCAATTATATGTGCGGAAAATGAGGAGAACACAGCTTAAAGTTGCATATCTTTATACTCACCGATGTCTACGGGCCAGGAGGAAAATTGCTGCCACAACGACTGCTACCACGGCCGTTAATCCCGATCCAGCTAGTCCTGACACTATGGGATTTACGCTTGATCGTGACGGGTCTGCATCCACTGTCGACACAAAACAATGTATATCGGAACAACTGTGTTAGGTGGCGGGTGTGTTTGTGCGTTTTGTTTCAAGGTATCAATGAACAATGTTTCACTAATATCCCGACTTGACAGGGCTAGAGGATTACTCAGTTATTTGACAGCCACGAGGAGGGTTTGAATAAGTTTAGGTAAAAAACGAAGTCAATGAAGAATTGATTACTATACGAAAACAATGTTGTGCTACCTGGATTAAGTTCAGGTTGTTGTTATTGAGATGTAATAGGGACAAATACTGACCAATTAAATAGTGAGTGAGTTTAGATTTAATCCGCTTTTAGCAATATTCCAGCAATATCACGACGGGGAACACCAGAAATGGGGTTCAAAAATTCTAATCATGAAGGGAATTGAACCCGGGTCTTCGGCATGATGAGCGAACGCTCTAACCAATAGGTGAGGTGATGTGAAATTGGGTTTAACGTCGTACTTGAGAATATTTCGCTCATATGACGACGTGCATGCGTTTGTATGTGTATGTGCGGCTGCTTGTGCTAGCCCAGACTGAAGCTGGTTTTATAGTGCTAGCCCACTGAGATACCATGCCGCAGTGAAGCATGAATACCCCACTCAGACACATTATACTGACTCCGAGCCGACCAGTCCTTGTTGTACCCATTAATGCCGAGCGCCAGGCAGGGACCAACAAGAACCATATTTTAACGTCTTTTGGCATGACGCGGTCGGGGATCGAACCCGCGACCTTCCGCACTCCGGGCGGACGCTCTAACCACTACACTACGGAGGCGGTCTCCACAAAATAGTATTTTGTCAACTCATAATACCATTATTTAATTGTTGAATTTTAGCTTTTTTTCTTTCTTTTGTGCTTTAGAATTATTACATGTATGTATAGTCTTACTGATCAGTAAATAGTGAGTATGGTTTTAACAATATTCCAGCAATATCACGGCGGGGGACACCAGAAATGGGCTTCACACATTGTACCCATGTGGGGAATCGAACCCTGGTCTTCGGCATGGCGAGCGATCGCTTTAACCACTTGGCTCGAAAAGATAATTAACTTTATCCGGCAGCCGACCAGTCCTTGTTGTACCCATTAATGCCGAGCGCCAGGCAGGGACCAACAAGTACCATTTTTTACGTCTTTTCGTATGACGCAGTCGGGGATCCTAACCAATAGGCTACGAGATGAATGGAACAAGGGCGTTAGGTTTTGCTCTTTCTGTTTCTGTACATACGTCTATCGCATTTATCTCCCTTCCATCCCAGTATGCACGTGCACATGCCGTTCACGTGATCACAAAGGCTCCCGACACAGTTGTTGCTGCAATGCATCCCACAATCTTGTCCATAGCTGCCAGGGGGACACTCTACCGGGGAAAATATAATTTTCAAAATATTGAAATACCAAATATGCAAGGCTCCAAAATAATATATAAATCATTAATAGTGACATTCTCTTCCCACAGAGGTTACTTGTCAAATCTTCCTACGAACCTCTGTTCTAATACGGCCCTTTCATGGTGCGAGTGTTCAGGATTCGTGATTGGTTGCAATCAGATTTAGTTGTGCAATCAGCGACGTTGTTTCAAAAGTGATCATTCGCAAGGCCTCGGTAATTTCCGTATACTCCCAGAAAACTAATCCTCTTCTCCTGCGCGATACGCAAACGTTTCTTCTAGACAGAACTCAGTCATGTTATGGCGGATCAGTGGCGTCTCCATCGCCCTCGTTGACAAGGGACACGCTAGCCATTAAACGTCTTGTGTGTAACATCAACACAAGTCCCCGGCAGCGGAGGGATATTTGTGGCCCCACATTTGCTTGTGTTAGTCAAGTTGAATCTAAGTCGATGTAACACGTGTTCTGATTGGATAGAAAGAAGGGAGATCATTCGTGTTGCGATATTTTGCCGTTAGGGGATTTTACGAGAACCGGGAAATATGGCCGTATTAGAACAGAGGTTCGTAGGAAGATATGACAGAATGTAATCGTGAGTGATGATTTTCAAATTATAGACATTGACTCTGTGAAAAGTGAGGCCCCACCAAAATCCAAACTTATTAAAAATTATTACTATTGTACGTGGCCTCACGCAAAGATCTGAGGACCCTCCATACGAGTGAGTGAAAGTCCCATATTATATAATTGCATTTTGGGTGTTCCCTATGCAAAAACCTATGGTGATGCACAGTTACATACTCTGAGCACCATGTACACCCAAACAGGTGCTAATTAAAGATATACCTGTGTTCTGTGGCGGTTTTGTCTTGCTGAGAAAAAAAAAAGATTTCCAATATTGGAGATGTTTCGTATCAGATGAAAAGGCCTGAAAACAATGGGGACCATACGAAATACAGAAAGCGAATTCTACTGTATACTTAACAATTTAAACAACAATCTCATTTTGTTAAAATAGTCAAAGCTTCGTTAATTTAATGTTCAAAAGTAATGTACTTAAATACTGAAATTCAATATAAACTATTATGATTCTTTACGATATTGCGCTGATCAGTGACAGATGAAGTCTTCACCTGTATCACACCGACTTCCGGCCCAACCATGCTGACATCCCATGATGCACGTGCCGTTGCCAGGGTGACAGATGGAGTCTCTGCACGTGGAGCATTTGTTACTGCATTCGTGTCCATAGGTACCCTGGTCGCAGACTAAAGCGATGGAAATAGAACGAAATAATGTCAATAAATAGTTATATAGGTATACAGCTGAACCATCCCAAATCTGGGACGGTAATTCTGGTACAAGAAAACCATGACCTGAGACACAAACACATTTGTGCCCCCACTGTCAGTCTTAATATCTCACAGAAACACGGACTTTGTTGAATAACACCAGCTCCTGTTTTTCCTTGATTTAGGGACCGTTCATAATTTATGGATAGGTGCGGTGATGATGATTTTAAGGGAACCCATTTTGTTCTGGGGAGCTAGGGGGGTCATAAATTTTGTACACACGTATTGGGGTGGGTGGGGGGTTGTCATCAATTTTGTACATAAAACTATGTTTAAAATTGTGCTAAGCAATTATGGGAAGTGGAGGGGGGGTCATTGAATTTGTACATGACATGCAGGGGGGTCACCTATTTTGTACACAAATTTTAGGGGGGGGGTCATTCACATTGTACATGCTTCGCCATAAAAATCATTATCACCCCCCAGCCATAAATTATGAACGGTCCCTTAGCGAACAAATTTGGTTTAACTCGGCTTTGGACAGTATATCAGCTATTGGAAGTCAGCTTAATGTGAGAGGAACGCCCGAAATGATGCCGATCTGAGGCCACTTTAATCAAACCCATGAGTGCTGATATGATGCAGAAGAACCCAAAAGCATAGTCGTTGCTGAACCGATCCCATCACCATAGATTTCTGACATGCCAAAGGGACGCAACTCTGCATAGCAAAATGAGACGACTATGACTTCCCTCAGTTGCTGATCATGCCTTGAGACGTTCATAACATGAACCCATGTCATCTCATGCACGTCCATTTCTGGCTTAACCAGCCGAGACATTGCTAGAATACTGCTACAAGCGGTATACAACCATACTCACTCACTCACTCACTTATCTCATGCACGATAACGGAACATTATCCTTATGATCAGTTCACAGAAGATCTTCCTTTTCAAGGGGTACCAGCTGATTAAACCCTTCACATACACAGGCATGTGATATTCGTTGATTCAAAAGTTTGTTTTCCCATTTACGTTGACTGACATTCAGCTATTTTCAGAACTATTTTAGAACTATTTTCTTACTGTGAAGCTTAGTCCCCAAACTTACTCATTGTACATCCCGTTAGTCGCCTCTTACGACAAGCATTGGATGCTGAAGACCAATTCTAACCCGGATCTTCACGGCTGTCTTCGTGCAAAGAACTTACCCGTTGTACATCTATCTCCCATCCATCCGGGAACACACTTGCACGTGCCATCCACGTGATGACAGTGAGCGTCGACACAGTTGCTACTGCAGGTGTTCGTGCAGTTGAAGCCGTAGCGTCCTTCTGGGCACTCTGCAACATGGAGGATTCAACCATTGTTTTACCATCAACCAACAGCCACATAAAGATCAGAGGCCACTGATCATATCAGATGTGATGCATGTAACAAATAATAAAAAACCCCAATATGGTGGATATTTATAACATACCAAATCTACTTCCTGAAGCATACTCAAAACGCATTAACTCATGTTCCTTGTAAATTAAGCAGTGTCGTCCCGAAGTGTCCTGTCTATCTGTTGAATATACCAGGGAAGCTATCTCATGGGACCATAAAATCATCACATTACCATCCCTTCCTACCGGGTACCCATTCACTGTTTGCATATTTCAAAGAGAGAGACACGAGAGGCCCAGAACTTGCTGGAGTCAAGCCTGCCAACACGGTCAATCATCCCCCTACTCTCTGCCCCCAACGCTGCCTACCGTATTCTGTGTGCTGTGCGTGGATTAATTGCATCGTGTCATCATGTACAGTCCGTTTGGCTCAAAAGCGGACCGATGAATTGCAATCTAACTCGAAAACTAATAAACATAACATACTCAATGAAACGCTGATCATAATCAAAACATCATACCCACTCTGTGAGGTTTTTGCAGAATTTTTGTCCTAAAAATAATAAAGTTGTTTAACAAACTATCATTAAAATAAAGACACAGTTTACTGTTTGTTACGAGGGAGGAGTGCAGAGAAAGGAACAGCCAGGTGTTCGAGAAGCACGTTCACAGACAAGTTATTTATTTATTAACCTGTGCTGTGCCGTCTCCATCCGTTCTCGAACACCTGGCTGTCCCTTTCTCTGCACTCCTCCCTCGTAACAAATAGTGAACTGTGTCAATATTTTAATGATAGTTTGTTAAACAACTTTTTTATTTTTAGGACAAAACTTCTTCAAAAAACCTCACAGAGTGGGTATGATGTTTTGAAATGATCAGCGTTTCATTGAGTATTTCATGTTTATTAGTTTTCGAGTTAGATTGCAATTCATCGGTCCGCTTTTGAGCCAAATGGACTTTACGTCTTCTTATCATCTTCCGTGGAACAACACTCATCTGATGGCCTGAAGTTTGTACAGACCTTGTTTACAGTCAACTCCAGTAAAGCCATCTGCACAGCCTGACACGCAACTTCCGTCGACCTTGTTGCACACTTCCGCTCGGTCACGACAACGGCAGGTGAAGTTGCAGTCTAAGCCATATTTGTAGTCGAGACAGTCTGTAGTAGACAGAGTACATTGCTTGTTTGGATCCGCACTGACATCATCAAAAATATTCTGAGCTACCTATTTCGTTTCTAAGAAGGTACATGGGAACGTTTTGTCATACAATGGAGAGCGGAATAATGTCATGACCAACAGCATAGCTTAAAGCCAATATGTTGATACGTGTCATGAATCAGTCCATTTCCACTCCACAGTAACGTAAAGATTCACAGTGTTTTGAATTCCATTCAGCAACTCTAACTTGGACCTCATGTATTACACACGTACGATTATTCAAATATGTTAGTAAGACACTCTGTATGCCACGCCCGGAGTTAAAAGTGGTAATATATGAGAAATAATAATGTTCTTTTCACTTTCATCTGAAATAAATGTGTTCTACAAAGAAGACTCCTTTCAGATGATCAAACTCTCACCACCAAACACCTGCACCTCACACAGCGTCAATATCTTGCAGTCTCCTATCATGGTCACCTCCAGTCTGTTGGCCGTTTGATTGGCTGGCATCTGTACTGACGTCACTTCCGGTGGTGTATCTGATCCATCTTGGTAGACCTGTTCCAATCCACTTATGCCTGCTTTTCCCAAACGGATGCGAAAATCTTTGAGTCGCACATCATCTAATGTAACATATGCTACGTATGTATTCTCGTATGAATTAGAAGAAATACATCATGCGATTTTAGTTTGTCCGATAAATAATCAGAAAAATAAATGGCTGAAAACCAGCCTTGTTATCTTTCTTACGCAACGTGTAACATTTGATATCATTAACATGAATTGAGTGGACAAGGCTGTTTACAAAGTATATGGGCATGCCCAGTTGTGTTGGCTTTCCCCAAATGGATTAGAAAACCACTGAGGCGCTCACCAACTAATATAACATATATCATGAACATATCCTTGATTACGTATGTATTCTAGTGTGAAAAAGTGAAAAATATCATGCGTTTTCAGTTTATCCGATACAGGACAACAACTTTGCCTTTTCATGTGCAACGTCTAAGACATGCCATGGTAAGTACATAAGTGTGACTAACCTGAGTGACAAAATTGCTTAAAACCTGAAGAGATATTTCTCACAAAATGGTGTTTTCGGTACATATCTGACACTGTATACTGTTTATCTACGTCTTATGAAGAAATAAATTCGGGCTAAAAACTTTTAAAATGTCACAAAATACTGCTTCCCAATAATCCTTATTCATATGTCCTTATATGGATATAGAACTTTAAATCTTCATTCATCGCCCCCTTGAAATGTGTAGCAACACAATGATATGTTTCACTGTCGAATATTCCTATTGTACACATCTACCCTGTATATCTGTTAATCTACAGTAATCCGTACATCTGTCTGTATCCCACTTACTTGGTGCATCCCTATTGTACACATCTACCCTGTATATCTGTTAATCTACAGTAATACGTGCATCTATCTGTACCCCACTTACTTGGTGCATCCCTATTGTACACATCTACCCTGTATATCTGTTAGTCTACAGTAATCCGTACATCTGTCTGTATCCCACTTACTTGGTTCATCCCTATTGTACACATCTACCCTGTATATCTGTTAGTCTACAGTAATACGTACATCTGTCTGTACCCCACTTACATGGTTCATCCCTATTGTACACATCTACCCTGTATATCTGGTAGTCCTGTCCAAGCCGGAGAATCCAGTTGGGATCTGTTGTCCCAGTTTCGAACACGATGTAACTGCCGTGTGAGTACATGATTTATCTTCAAATTTGGCGGAAGTGCCGGCGTCCACCGCAAGAGATGAATTATACATGTTAAACACTGAAGACTGTGATGTGTCTCCCCGTAGTGCGATGTTTCTGCCTGAAAATGAAACGTTTTTGCAAAAACAAATAGCAACATATGCCGTGTAATATTCTCATACGTGACACGCCGTTATTTACACCCACGTGTCATGTATACAATTCTGTAAATACACACATATTCTTGTCACAAGACATAAGTTGATAATGACGTCACAAACAGTGTGTAACACTGTCAATCTTGCCTGTGTATCTACGCATGACCGGCAAGAATGTTCCAGTTTTAAATGCTGATGTTGAAATGGATCGATTTATGGCCAATGTAACAATGATCAAAGGTAAACGACAGAGTCGTAACACCACAGGAGGCTATGCCTATTTGAGAGTTCACAAACACATTTTTGTCACTGTATCTGATGATGACAATCACTATAGTCTGTCAACTTAACTTTTGGCACCCTGTTTTTCACAATTTACATAAAACTCCTGAATATTTTAAAACACTGCTCTGTTCATATGGTAATTGTATAACGTGACCTAACAAGATATCGATTTTAGTAATTTTAAAACGATTATTAAAGATTATGCCTTTAAACCTGTCATATAATAATTGTAAAACTGTGGAGAGTTTTACGAGGGGTTAACGCACCTGATGGAAAAGCCATCAACACTGTAAAATGTGTGTCATCGAGATATGTACATGCACGGGTATTTACATTAGTACGCTTAAGTGATGTCAAAGATCGTCAACACGCACATGTTGTAGGGAAAACGATGTTGTACAAAGACGAACGGCAAATCATCAAAAGAGTTTACATATTTTTCAAGCGCGAGGCAAAGCGAAAAAAACCCTCTTTTTTTTTAATTGAATGTTTCTCCAAAAGACATTTAATGCCACGAAGATCTGTAAAAGAATATTGCATAGAGTTATCTCCCATGACACTATTTCAGAGCCTGACGATGACATGGCAGTTAAATCGGGGACCGTCTCAAAACATGCAAAGAAAACAAAGCGTGATGAATTCAATAGAAGGGTTGTGAGGGACGTCATGCGTCGGTTACATCGATCCATTTTGTCAAGCAAACTGAAGAAAATATTGTTCAAAAGAACACCATGACATCATTGTATCAAAGCATACCATACGCAAGCTGTTGCTCAAATTTGGATATAGATACAAGATATCAAGCAGCCAGTCTTTAAAGACTTCAATGAATCTACTTGTTTAAAATGGATTTATGATGATTATAGAGTCCCTGTAGATTTGCTTGCAAGCGTAACAATGTAAACAAGACGCACAGGGTGCCAAAAGTTCAGTTGACGGACTATAGATTGTCTGGTCAAGACTCGATTACAGACCGCCGTCATAGAGCTCTTATATTGTTGAATATGGCGTTAAACAAACAAACACAAACATGCCCAGAAAATAGGAAGATTTGTACAAGACTTTTTCAGATATTTCTTGGGGATGTGGAAAGGATTCTGTCGTTTTATTTCATTTAATATATAGTTGTTATTTTTAAATGTATTTTTCCTAACCAAGTCAAATAGATTATGACTAACGCCCGTTAACGTTTACTTTAGCCAAAGCCAGCCTGGACTCCGCTGAATTTGTTGACTGAACAATTTATGTCTTTTTCTGTAAAATATCACATAAAATATACTTGTTCATTATTGCAATAGGTGTATGCTGAATTAAATAATTGTAGGCCTGATTGTCGATAATGGAGTAATTAGCCCATGATATCGTTGGCCCGTGTGTTAGAGAATCACATAAAACTATGGCTAACCTCCGTAAACTTGTACTTCCCAAAGCCAGTCTGGACTCCGTTGACTCTGTACCGACAAGTGTGATGTTGGTGGCGTTGACGACGTTCTTGCACGTGATTCTCAACGTTGTAGACGTGATCCAAGTGTTCGTAGCGTTACACGGCACGACCGTGTCTTTGTTTCTTGTTGCCATTGCTATTTCCCGCGTTCCTGTAACCATAGATATATACAATCTTCAAACAAAAAAAAACAGGGGACACATACATGATGTTACTATTGATAATACCGTTCACCCATGAGGATCCAGGTTAGAACTGGTCTGCAGTAACCCATGCTAGTAGTAGGAGGCGACTAACGGGATCTGGTGGTCAGACGCGCTGATTTGGTTCATACATGTCATCGTATCCCAACGATTAGATCGATGTACATGATGTTGATCACTAGATTGTCTGGTCCAGACTCGATTATGTACAGACAGCCGCCATATTGCTGGGATGTTGCTGAGTATGGAGTTAATAAAAAGAAAGAAAGACCATAATACCGTTCATTTTTAATGTTAATATTTTCGGTTTGCCGTGTTAAAAATGAATGATGTGTTCAATATGGACCTTCACTGCTGAGGTATTACCAGTTTACTTCTAAAGTGGGTCTACCTGAAGAAATTCTCAACATTATCAGCGTTACGTTATGTTGGACTTTCGATTTGCGGTATGAATGGTTATATATAAGAATACGTTACACTACCGTATTTCGCTGGCACATTGTAACTATAGAGATATGAGTTTACTATTGATGATACCTTCACTCCTGAAGATCCGGGTTAGAAATGCTCTTCAGCTTCACGCTTGTCGTAAGAGGCGACTAACGGGATCTGATGGTCAGACTCGCTGACTTGGTTGACACATGTCATCGTAGCCCACATGTCATCAAAGGGCACAACGTGTGTACTTGATCCAGCCCCTACTAAATTTGCCTTGGAATATATTGACATCTTACTTCCTGTGTTCACTCAGATTGTCAACTTAAACTTGAAATGTGGCACTGTTCCTGGTTGTTTCAAGCATGCAATTGTGAAACCTTTGCTGAAAACACCTGGTTTAGACTGTTTCAATAACTATAGGCCGATGTCTAATCTACCATTCCTCTCCAAGGTACTTGAAAGAGCTGTGAAGGTGCAACTTGGTCAGCACTTGAGTAAACATGACCTCTATCACAAATTCCAGTCTGCCTATAGGTCATTCCTCAGCACGGAATTAAACAGCTCTGCTCCGTGTTGTTAATGATTTGCAGTTGAGCGTTGACAGGGGGAGCTCCGCCGTTCTTGTTCTCTTGGACTTATCGGCCGCGTTTGATACGGTGAATCACCAGATACTTCTATCAAGACTTCAGTTCCAGTACGGATTAAATGATATGACTCTTCTATGGTTTAGGTCCTACTTATCAAACAGGACTCAATCTGTTGCTGTTCATAATGCTCAGTCCAAGGAAGCTATGCTTCTTTGTGGTGTACCACAGGGATCGGTTCTCGGTCCTGTATTGTTCTCTTTGTATACCAAAGAAATTGGCGACCTGCTTTGTTAGATGGTATTACCAGGGGCTGTGACAACAATTCTGACTTAACCAGAATTGAAGATGCCATCAACGATATTGGTGCGTGGATGTTCAATTACAAACTAAAACTAAATGAACACAAGACAGAGGTTGTGATGGTTGGCACAAGTAACATGTTAGTAAAATCACAACATGATCAGTTGAAAGTATGGGCATTCAGCCTTCTCCACATGTCAGAAATCTTGGCGTCCTACTCCAATCTGACCTCTCCATGGAGAAACAGATCTCGGATGTATGCAGAAATTGTTACTTCTATTACAGTGCATATATTTCTTCATACATTTTTATATTCTTCACAAATTATTCATAACAAAGAAAATCCGTATACGTGCAAGTCGCAGTGCATAGTGTGTCTTGTTTATAGCCCCGCATGTCAAGCGCAGTAGTAGGCAATTAGCAAACGCATCCACGCCAACCTTAAACTAATTAATCAAAGATGAAGCTAGCGAGCTGTGTCAGCCCCGGCCTTTCTTCTCGGGTACACCCCTTGGTCAAGTGCAGATAAGTACTCCCATCCCAGCAGGAGCATGTCTACCACCAACCAAGTCGTAATCGAAAATCAACTTTTGTTGTACAAGATCGAGATTACCATCATGCCATCCTCTTTGTCCTGTCGTAAATGCCATGGTCAAGCACTGACAGATATTTTGTTAAGCAGCTGACGCAAGCTGACCGTGGCTACACCATAAAGAAAATCAAACCTTGTTAGGTAATCATCTTCTTACCACTTACCTCGTGTAGTATACTTTGTCAGCATAGGGTAGATAACGCATATGGAAACTTCAACTTTATAGAAACTTGATAATTACAAACGAGTAGAGCTGTGGGGTATAAAATTCTGGGTTCTTCCATCTCAGGCACACTTGCTTGAATAAACCCAGGAACTCACAGCTCTGCCTCCTTTCTTGTTTCAAGGTAAAAAACTTTTAAACTTTATTCTTGTTTATGTTTAACTTGTTATTTCTTTGTAATTATCGTCTTGAAAATGTTAGAGTTAGGTTAGAAACATTCCTACAACATTGAAGCACGTTTTCATTGTAAATGCTAGTTCTAGATAACCAATTAATTCGTAGGCACTATCCAGGGATATTTATTTATGCACATTGCGTGGTGGGCTCCTGAAGTGTTATGCATAGGGACATTACGCCACGTTGTGCAAGGTCACCGACCTGTGCACATGTACATACGTAAGATCCGCCGACGTGGGGAGATGTTATAGACATTTAATGATGGCATTGAGAATTAAGGGTCCTGCCCTGAGCGGGGTTTGTGATAAAGGGCTACACCGAATGATTGCTGAATACATTAAACAGACAAAGGGGATAGAATTTCGGTGCACTTTGGATATATATGGAAACAATTATGTTGGTTGAATATATGACGTTTTACAGAAACCTATTGAAATGGTTTACTCTATGACACTTCCATCTCCGTAACATTGGACAGATCAGACATCTCCTGTCACAGGATGCTGCGGCTGCCCTGGTGACAACACTGATTCTCTCACGACTTGACTATTACAACAGCATTTTGGTTCCAGCTTCACAAGAGTCCGTCCAAAAGCTTCAACGAATCCAGAACACAGCTGCACGCACAGTTACTCTCCAACCTAAACATTGCCGCATCACCCCCATCCTGATGTCTCTTCACTGGCTGCCTATTGAGGCTCGCATTGACTGTAAGATCCTTACACTTGTTTATCAGTCCAGTCATGGTATTGCACCTGTGTATCTTCAAGAACTCCTCTCTCTCCTTGCATGCCAACAAGTACTCTGCGTTCTTCCTCATCTAATCTGCTCTGTGTTCCAAAGTGGAACCTCAAATCATTTGGCTGCAAGTCTTACCAGAACATGGCATCTATCAGTTGGAATTCTCTCCCTGATGACCTTAAGCTGTCTCCACCCCTTGAAAACTTTAAGCGCCACTTCAAATCTTCCTCCACAAAAAGTTCTATTGACTTCAATAATGCCTTATTAATTGTTAGCGCTATGAGCATACCTGGTGTGGAGTTTGGCGCTGTATAAATGGACACATTATTATTTATTAGCCCAGCCGAGTAGATCGATGATCATGATGTTAATCACTGGGTTGTTTGGTTTAGACTCGATTATTTACATTCAGCTGGAATGTTGCTGAGTATGGAGTTAAAAAAAACAATGAAAGATACATGTCATCGTATCCCAACCGAGAAGATCGATGTACATGATGTTGATCACTAGATTGTCTGGTCCAGACTCGATTATTTACAGACAGCCGCCATATTGCTGGGATGTTGGTGAGTATGGAGTTAATAAAAAGAAAGAAAGACTATAATACCGTTCATTTTTAATGTTAATATTTTCGGTTTGCCGTGTTAAAAATGAATGATGTGTTCAAAATGGACCTTCACTCTGATGCTGAGGTATTACCAGTATACTTCTAAAGTGGGTGTACCTGAAGAATTTCTCAACATTATCAGCGTTTCATTATGGTGGACTTTCGATTTGCGGTATGAATGGTTATATAAAAGAATACGTTACACTACCGTAATTCGCTTGCACATTGACGTCCACCCAGACTATCCAGGCAGGGTGTTGTAACTCCACGCTCCATTTTGGGTCCAGGGTGGATCGTGTGAACGAGAAGGTGGAGGTGAAACCGTCTACAGCAGTGGTTGACGTCGACTTAGTACTGGAATGTATTGTTGGTTGTTCGTAGGCAATGGAGACTGTAACATTTGAATCAAGGTTAACCATTTGGTTGTGGACATTAATGCATAAATATTCATAGGGACATCACAAACCCATTGGAACAAGTATCAGAAACTTCTAAAGAGAGGTCACAACATGTCCAGCCCCCAACTATGCTATTGTGTCTTGAACTACTGCAATATGAGACCTTCACGGCATGGCGAACTGAACCAGGGATACATTTGGCCTCACTAACAATATCATGTGTCGATTCAGTTATTTGCTGACATGGCAAAGTGCCGATCCAGTTACAGTTGTATTTGTAAGGCCTTATTATTTCTAAGACCTTGTGGACATGACAAAGTGCTGAACTTCCTGATCTATCAGACTATACGTAGCCAAGTGTTGAATCGGACTTTTGTACATTCTGTGGAAATTTTGAATCAGTCATTTGTGAGACCTTCTGAGCACGTTAAAGTACTGGATTAGTAAACTGCAGATCCGAATGTATCATAACTATTTAAGCAGGGGATATTCAATAAAAAGGTGTCCCATCGATTGATATTTTATATATTCAATGAGATAAATAGTTCAACAATGTGACCAGGACGTCAGAGTGAGATTTGCATTAGTCGATGAACGTCAGACGACCACAGATTGTGTTAGATGAATTGATAAAACGCACTGCTGTCCTTCACGTGCAAATGGTATGGACGTAACGGTAGTAATACCCGTGACACGTGTGTGAATGACATGTGACGGGGTTCTGTCTTTAGGAGGGCTGCCGCTTCCCATATTTCTGTCTAAAAACGCTCATTCTGACTTCGCCACACTCTGTTGCGCCTGTCAAGGACATCCAAACCGAACCTTGATTCATACTATTCGTACAGCGATGACGAAAGCGATAAACACGAGACGAGAAAGTGGTATTTGTTTAGTATTGATTAAGAAAACATTGCGAGAGTACTCATTAATGTTAGTATCGCCTCTTACATTGCGAGAGTACTCATTAATATGAAAAACAACATAGTGTATGGCCATTTTGACTTGTTCTATGGCCATTTTGGCTAGGGGTTGGGGGGTTGTGGCCATTTTGACTTTTTTGTGTGGCCATTTTGACCTGTTCCCTTTGTGTATCGCTTCCAGGCATTATCTTTTCTAGGCTACTATGGGAATGCACGTGGCGTATTTTATCGTACACACGTAAAACAAAAGTTATGATTTATTAAACTACACCTTATTATAATTCAGGGCGGACCATTTATGTTATTACATACTTACATACATTACGTATTCAGTGCGTAATGTGATACTAACCCGGACATGTTTTTGAAATAAACACAACTTGAAATAGACAAAAATACAACACCGTTCCACTTATTAACTTACAGTACTGGCAGCCGGGACCAAAGTATCCCCTCTCACATCCCAAGGAAGAGCAGCTTCCTGTTGTGGACTCGCATTGCCTTCTGTCGTAACAGTGGCACTGGAACCTGCAGGAAGGTCCGAACCAATAGTTTCCCAGTCTGTCCCCGACACACGGGTTGTCTGCAATGTCATCAGAAGAACATTTATATAGTAACCATGTCTGTCTCAAGCAGCCCTCTATGTAGTGGGAAGAATACACACTTGTGCATGCAAATACGCACACGCATTAATACGTACGCACACGCACACACACACACACACACACACACACACACACACACACACACACACACACACACACACACACACACACACACTAATCCCCATATATACAGCCCCATTTGAACAAATATCACAAATTCCCTTGGTTGAAGGCAATGGATGCCGTGGGTTAAGCGGCTGGTGACTGAGCGGGTTAGGCGGCTGACTTTGTGTGCCTGCGATTAGGTGCCTGACTCTGAGGGTGTGGGTTCGAATACCGGATGGGACTCAACCCAACAAAGTACTAGAATTTGTACCTTACTAAGAAAGTGTAATCCCAAATATAACATATGCACATTTGACCACTTTCTAAAATGGCATTGTGTAATCACACAAATAATTAACCTTCCGGCAATGGCCATGTTGTACGGTCCGTTTGAGACAAAATGATACCGATGAAAAACAAAAACAAAATCTAAAACAAAAACAAATAGACATAAAAGAATCAAACCAAAGCGGACTGCAGTTTGTGACAAGGGAGCAGTGGCAACTAGAGGAACAGCTCGAAAAGCGAGATGCACCTGCATTAGTGACGTCAGAGACATGTGATTACTGCTGATTGTCAATGTGAGAGAAAATGAAATTTGCTCTCGACGTAAAGTCTATAATTTACAAAGTCTATGATTTCTTCAAGGATGAAAATGACAGCGGCAGACCCAAGTATGCAATTATTCAGTACATACTCAGTTAGGGTGTCATCTCGCCAGCTCAAAAGTTTGTTGCACGTGCATCTCGCTTTTCGCGCTGTTCCTTTAGTTGCCAATCCGCCCTTGTAACCAACTGGGAAAACGCACAAATAAATGATGACAGTTTCTTACAAAAATTCTACAATTGTTTCCTAGAGTTGGTCTGTTGTGTTTATTGCACTCCGCGTTGGTTTGATTCTTTTATGTTTATTTTTTTTGTCTCAAACGGACTGTAATAGTCACTGAACTGGGAATTTGTCAACCTTCTGAACATGATGCGTGCGAGGACCGAACCAATGAACCTGTCGCTCTCCCGGCAAACAGTCTGCCCTATACACCACAGAGCTTGTGTCATGCGATATAAAAACCTGTCAATAGGTAACATAGGTACCTATATTAAAGATAACATAATAGGTAACTATGTTAAAAATAAGTGGAAAAGGTCGAAAATCAACATGAAAACTTAATACATGTACATGATTGTACAGTCCGTTTGAGTCAGAAACAGACCGATGAATTGCAAATTTTATCATTGTACAAAATTAGTACACATGTTTATCATTATTGTAAACCAAAAGTCACTGTGTTCTTTAATCTGATTGGTTGAAAAACGTGATCAAATGGTATTTGATTCCCGGAAATTCTCTGCGTATTAATACATACAAACATCGCTCACACCATTGTATTGTTACGTCGTCAGCTGTGATGACGTCATTAAAATCATATTGTGACGTAAAGTCCGAATGACGTCACAAATGAGCAGTTCCAGATGCTACCATGGGAGACAGCCGAAACGGCCGGCTGATGACATTTCACTGCTGTACCCGTACTCGATGTCAATGAGTGCAGATACATTTTGGTTTACTTTTGTGTTTACAATGTCGATAAACATCATGTGTTGGCGAATTTGAAGTACGGGAATATTTCATTTGAAACCTCCGGCTGACGCCGTCGGTTCCAAATGAATTCCCGTGCTTCAAATACTCAATAACACCCGGAAATTCGCCAACACATGATGTTTATCTCCTAACTAATACCCAACAGCTTTCTGATATTAGGAAATTTTCCGGACTCCACCAAAAAAGTTCCGTTTCTGCGGTTTCACCCCGCCGCGACAGATAACAACTTTTGCGTTTTCAATGATGATAGTTTCTTAAACAACTTTTTTGGTGGAGTCCGGAAAATTTCCTAATATCAGAAAGCTGTTGGGTAATAGTAAATGATAATCATGTGTACTATTTATATTTATGTGGCAATTTTGTACAATGATAAAATTTGCAATTCATCGGTCCGTTTCTGACTCAAACGGACTGTAATTGTTAGTAATGCTTACTGCATGTAAAGTGTCATGTGATTAATGACTGACTAGAGAATAAAATAATTTCCGAACAAGTCACTTTGTAAGGACCGCCTCCGTGGTGTAGTGGTTAGAGCGTCCGCCCGGAGAGGGGAAGGTCGCGGGTTCGATCCCCGACTGCGTCATACCAAAATATGGTACTTGTTGGTCCCTGCCTGGGTACAACAAGGACTGGTCGGCTCGGAGTCAGTATGATGTGTCTGAGTGGGGTATTCATGCTTCACTGCGGCGTGGTATCTCAGTGGGCTAGCACTATAAAACAAGCTTCAGTCTGGGATTGTACAAGCAGCCGCACATATACATACATACACACGCATGCACGTCGTCATATGAGCGAAATATTCGGCGTTAAAACCAATTTCACCTCACCTCACATACATACATACATACATACATACATCCATCCATCCATCCATCCATACATACATACTTACACGCACGCATATATACAGACAGACAGACAGACAGACAGACACACAGACAGACAGACAGACAGACAGAACTATGATTGATAAAATATCAATCATAAAAATACCAATGTCCCTCACTTATTTTGTCCAGTACATAATAAGTAATCCAGGCCGGACAAGTATGTACACTTGTTCACCAGTGGAACCTTTGAGACAAGAAGAAGGGTATTACCTGCAGAACTCCAAGACAATATTCCTGTCGCGACCAAGATGGCAATTATACCGTACATTGTGTAAGCCTCTCCATGTAGTCCTCCCGTGAGCAGCTGTAACATATTTGTCCCGCTCAGCCCAAATACAAGGAAGTATATTTCGGGGGCTGATCGCAAGTCCTTATTTCCTGACCAAATACAATCATGTATGATATAATTCGCCCTCCTGAAAAAGAAACGCATTAGCTAACGTGCCCTCTATGTAACGCATCATAGAAGTTGCAGGTTTTATAATGAAAGGAATATGTGTCCGCTGAACCAACGGACGAGTGCTAAAGATCCACAGACAGGATCAAACCGTATTTCTCCCCAAAAAATGTCCTCAACGTTTAAACGACCACGTTTATCGTTGACAAAAGGTTTGAAATGGATGCAGAGCGTAAGCTTGTTGACATTTTGCATCGAAGGGTCTGACACCATGCGCTACGAAACTTGGTGTTGAAATGCTTTGAGAGGCGGCGTTTCATTGTCATGAGACGGCGGGTATATGTTTTCAAGTTGCAAAACGTCATTGGCTTCGTTGTATCTTAAATATCTTGTATAACGTCGGATAGATTGTATTGTTATACATGGTATTGTTAAGAACGCTGCATATTATTTAATCACATTGACCATAGCATCTCTTGGGGTTAACATTAAAGATTATAAACATTTAAAAGCGTCATTTACGATATGTTGCGTCATTCCCGTTTCTCACGGCTTCCTCTGAGGATGAACATGTGTCTAAAGATGGTGTCAAACCGGATTATTTGAGATATTGATAAAGTTATAAGACAAAAAAATATCACTAAATCATTAGAAAAATACAACACATTCCTTGGTGTTGAAGTTAGGGAAAGCAATGGTGACGGAATATTGCAAATTCCAAGATCAATAAAGAGATGTGTTTTGCTCGCATGTTTCGCCGCCGCCATATAGCTGGAATATTGCCGAGTACGGCGTAAAACACTCACTCACTCGTATGTTTCACGGGGTAAGGACACAACAAGTCAGTTGTGTCAACGATCAGTGACGTCCTGAGTTTTACCGCAAAACACATGAGTGGAAGAACGGATACTGTTTTTTAAAGGTCACATGCAGCGTAAAACACAACTTTCCAGATTCTGATACCTTTCGGTATGGACATACCGAAACAAATCGTCAAAAATGCAAATTCAACTTATAAAGTTGAAAAATAACGCGATGAAAAAAAACGCGCGAAATCGGCTTTGGTGTTAGCTATTTTTCTAATGTTTTGTTGATATCTCACAGGCGCGAGCTTTTTATATGTTATGACAGTAAATAAACTGTTTATATAATTTCATTTTTCTATTTCACCATACGTTCTTCTTACCGAGACACTTTCTCAGTTCGATACTTAAAAGCAATGTCATTATTTAGCGTTGACAGAATTTCTAACTGTGATATAGATATGTCGTTGTCACAGACAAAACTCAATGTCTTGTTTTATTGACACCTGTGTGTCTTCCTGCCTGTCTGCTAATGACAATATTCAATACACAGCTGCTATCACTGAGATCATGCAATTTGAACTTAACACCTATCAGGTTATACACCATAAACAAATGCATTGATTTATGGCCCGAGTTCAGTCTCTGTCACATTATGTAATTAAACAGACAGGCAGGTGTGATACTTGAACACATGACATGTTATGATGTCTGTTGATTGCAAAGTGTTATACACAAAAAATGAGCATATATTTACTAAACCCAACATCTCTATATACACACACAATGAGACGTGCATGAGGGCGGCATCTGCAAAAATGAACCAGCCGTTACACTTGAGTGCACACCCACCCGCTTTGACTGGGTTCGGTATCCCGGCTGCTTCGTTTCGAGGGAGGTAAACCCAAGTACAAAATATTGCACTTTTGATTTGCGATTATACGCTTATAATTTTGTTTATTTGTTTTTTCATAATCAGCAATGCATATTATGTCTTGAAGAAGTGATAATTGTGTTTTAATTATGTTTGCTTTTTTGGTTGCATGTGACCTTTAACAACCAAACAAGGAATGGGAACATGTGATCAATATCGGGTAGGGCTTGAACCATTTAAAAGGAATTTTGTACGTGAGTAGAGTAGTGCGGCTGTTCTATCAACGGCTGGTTGGCTAGCTTGTTGTTTAAGGCCGCAGTATTATTTGTTACACTGCTATACTGAGTCGAACAAAACCTTATGGAAGGTCGCGTCAGCTAACCTTTTCAATTGACCAATCAGAACACAGCTTACCAAATCGCGAAAGTTGACATTCGCACATACTTTTTGAACTTTTACCTCGAAAAAGTTTTGTACCCGAACGATTCCGAATGCTATTTTCCGAACGATCGCTTCCGAGTGATGCACATGGAGCACGCCACAACAGTGAGTAAACATTTGCAGAAAATAGCGTTTTGTCAGTATTCAAGGATGTCAGCTTGCGGAAATATTAGCTAATGATAACCATGTCAACAGAAACCCAAAAGCGTATATTCTGCAGGTCATATATCAGTGTGTTTTATGCGGGTTTTCATTTGTTGTGAGATCAGTGTTGGTGACCGGGGAAGAGAAAATCCATTTTGTAAGTCCCAGATCAATAAAGAGATGTGTTTTGCTCGCATGTTTCGCCGCCGCCATATAGCTGGAATATTGCCGAGTACGGCGTAAAACACTCACTCACTCGTATGTTTCACGGGGTAAGGACACAACAAGTCAGTTGTGTCAACGATCAGTGACGTCCTGAGTTTTACCGCAAAACACATGAGTGGAAGAACGGATACTGTTTTCTAAAGGTCACATGCAGCGTAAAACACAACTTTCCAGATTCTGATACCTTTCGGTAAACAAATCGTCAAAAATGCAAATTCAACTTATAAAGTTGAAAAATAACGCGATGAAAAAAAACGCGCGAAATCGGCTTTGGTGTTAGCTATTTTTCTAATGTTTTGTTGATATCTCACAGGCGCGAGCTTTTTATATGTTATGACAGTAAATAAACTGTTTATATAATTTCATTTTTCTATTTCACCATACGTTCTTCTTACCGAGACACTTTCTCAGTTCGATACTTAAAAGCAATGTCATTATTTAGCGTTGACAGAATTTCTAACTGTGATATAGATATGTCGTTGTCACAGACAAAACTCAATGTCTTGTTTTATTGACACCTGTGTGTCTGCCTGCCTGTCTGCTAATGACAATATTCAATACACAGCTGCTATCACTGACATCATGCAATTTGAACTTAACACCTATCAGGTTATACACCATAAACAAATGCATTGATTTATGGCCCGAGTTCAGTCTCTGTCACATTATGTAATTAAACAGACAGGCAGGTGTGATACTTGAACACATGACATGGTATGATGTCTGTTGATTGCAAAGTGTTATACACAAAAAAAGAGCATATATTTACTAAACCCAACATCTCTATATACACACACAATGAGACGTGCATGAGGGCGGCATCTGCAAATGAACCAGCCGTTACACTTGAGTGCACACCCACCCGCTTTGACTGGGTTCGGTATCCCGGCTGCTTCGTTTCGAGGGAGGTAAACCCAAGTACAAAATATTGCACTTTTGATTTGCGATTATACGCTTATAATTTTGTTTATTTGTTTTTTCATAATCAGCAATGCATATTATGTCTTGAAGAAGTGATAATTGTGTTTTAATTATGTTTGCTTTTTTGGTTGCATGTGACCTTTAACAACCAAACAAGGAATGGGAACATGTGATCAATATCGGGTAGGGCTTGAACCATTTAAAAAGGAATTTTGTACGTGAGTAGAGTAGTGCGGCTGTTCTATCAACGGCTGGTTGGCTAGCTTGTTGTTTACAAGGTTTTGTTTAACGCGAAAAATACTGAGGCTAAACTTACTTAGACTGTTTAACGCCGCACTCAGCAATATTCCAGCTATATGGTGGCGGTCTGTAAATAATCAAGTCTGGATCACACAATCCAGTGATCAACAGCATGAGCATCGTTCTACGCAATTGGGATATGATGACATGTGTCAACCAACTCAGCAAGCCTGACCACCCGATCCCGTTAGTCGCCTCTTACGACAAGCATGGGTTATTGAAGACCAATTCTAAACCGGATCTTCACGGGTTCAATCGACGGAGGCGAATCGCCGTTACCCAGTTTCCCAAAATTGGACGAACGTATCCGCTCTTATGCTGAAGTTGTTGTAAGAGAGATGGACTGAGGCAAAGCAAAATTATGTGAATGTAGAACCTGTTGTTGCCTTGTCTGAATTTGCTTCAGTACATAAATACAATGATGTTAGTTAGACGTAACGGTCGTCCGACCGCTCATTCGTTGACTTAACGACCCTCGACGGACCAGGTGAGTGTAGAGTCTAAGCCTGAGCCTACAGACAGACAGACAGACAGACAGACAGACAGACAATAGTTTATTAACGTTTCACTTCTGTACAAAGCTAAAGTATACACACAATTGTACAAGTGTACAGAATTATTCAAATATAATTATGAGAGACATAAAAAAGATAAAAACAAGTTTTAACCATATAATAACTCTTTTCCACGTTTTAAAATAAGGAAGCAGATTTTGGCTGTATTAAAGCATATAAAAGGATTGCTGAAAATAAAACATTTTATCAATATCACATTTATCTAAACAATATGGACATGAAGTATTGCACTGGTTAAAAAGGGTCTCTCTCAGATCATCATATAATACACAGTGAAGCATAACATGTAATTCATCTTCAACATCATTAATACAATTGAAACATTTTCTATTTTTCAAATACAATATTTTCATAGCGGCCAGTTTCCACTCTAATCAGAGCAACACTACATCTCCCCTGACAATGCGGAACGGCCACACGAGCAAGTACCTATAGTAGGGTCTGCTGTCGCCCGAAAGCAGTTACGACAATAGCATACGTCTTTATTACAAAGTATCCGGTAAAACTAAAAGAATTTCTGCTTTGGTTTGTAAAATATAACAAACTGAAACTCATAAGATCTTTCATCAATAGTTTCATTATTATTCATCTTCTTTTGAAACAATCCTTTAACGGAAAGATCAAATCTAATGCTTTGTCACAAAGGGCTAACTTGCCAGCGTACCAGCTCACAGGGACTGACTGACTGAGTTTAGTTTTACGCCGCTTTTGGCAATATTCCAGCAACATCACGGCGGGGGACACCTGAAATGGGCTTCACACATTGTACCCATGTGGGGATTCGAACCCGGGCCTTCAGCGTGACGAGCGGACGCTTAAACCACTAGGCTACCCCACCGCCCCAGCTCACAGGGAACTCTTCTCAACCTCTGCACTGTCATGGGCGGTATATCGTGACATTCACGGATGTGATGATGGACGAAGGAAGTCAAGTTCCGTTTCATTTCTAGGCTGTAGATCTGCTTCAGTCCCCAACCAGTTCACGATACAGAAGTGTGGTGATGGCCATGCTGATTATTATCGTGGTACTTGGGATCGTCCCCGTGGCTGTATCAGGTGATTACTTTAAAATAATGTATTCTCTTTGCATGGATTTCAGTGATAGGCATTCTAGGCAGAGACAAGTGTGCATGCATGTAGTCAAGATCACATTGCCTTGACCTTGGTTTGTTTCCAAAACGAGGCTCGGGATACGCGCGTGCACAGGTAGTGGCATCTGAAAATGATGGTAGATGATGAACTGAATGAAAACAATTTCATGATCAAATTATGACTGGAGGTTTCCCCCCCCCCCCCCTTTGAAAATGACTAAAGACCACATTGAAGTTAATGTTTTGCAATGGCAGAGCCAGTCCCCCCCCCCTTTGAAATATTCTGGATCCGCCTATGGACAGTGTTTTGTTACTGACAGAGATGACAGAACGAGGCTGTTTACTCCAGATCTGGAAACTGACCATGAGATAATGTTTCTATGTCCCGTGGGTTGACCTAGTTACGAGCGAGGGTTGAAGGTGGTGGTGGTGTCGTAACTGCTGTCGGGCGTCAGTAAATCCTACAACATTTACCTACTCATTACGGCCGTTCCACATTATCAGGGAAGATAGCAGCTCAGGGTCTCCAATCGCTTGGTCCGTCGAAGTATGCTAAGTGAAGGAGTGAGGGGTGGGACGACAGTGACTCCTAACTAACCACATGACATGTTCTGGCACACATGCATTCAAAGATAACGCATCACAAAGCTCTATACCTACATTGGTTTACTTTGTCTCAGTGCATCTCTCTACCCACAACTTCACCATAAGACTGGCTATCCATGGGAGAACTGAGTGACGTGGATTGGCTTCGGATATGTAGAACTCGGACTACTAGCACTGCTCTCCTAGTGTTCAACGTGTCTTTTTAAGTGGTTCGAACCCACCCTGATCTTGGTAACATGTTCCCAACATATCGTTTTGGTTTGTTAAATCTGCATTTGACCTTGAACTCCTGTGTGACGTGATTGGAAGAATATCGGGCAGCACCGTTCCGCGACTCACCATTTTCACTGATTTGCTTATTGTTTTATTGTGAACTTGCTCTGTCTTTCACAACAAATGTGTTCTGTGTCTACATTTCATGGCCAAACGTCATTCTCTCTAATAATTTCCGGGTAACTCGAGACTTTCTGTCTCCATTCCGTGCTTAACCGTTATCAGTCACGAGAATATAAATATGGAATCTAAATCTAAATATGGAATCTGAGGTAATTCTCTAATATACACAAATGGTATTAATTAAACACCTCCTGTGTTTTTGCAATTATATTTTTCAACACGTACATGAAACCTCTCGTGGTGACCACGATGGAGAACCAGGAGTTTTTCTGACCCGTGAGATCCTTTGACGACACAATGATTTTATGATGATAATTGTTAATTTTATAAAACTCTGATTTTCATACAAATTTCTTCCCAGTGCAATGCTGTACAGGAAAAGGACTCTCAAGCAGTTGTACATCCCTGTCATATTTTCGGAAATGTGTTCGTCAATCATTATTGTTGAGATTCTTAAGAGGCATTTAGAAGTTGGTGAATATATAAGACGAGTATATGGATGACAACTTCTTGTTTATTGTATAAAACAACGTTTCTGGGTTACTTTTGCCCCTTCTTCAGGGATTGATTGCATTGCATTGGCCTGAAGAAGGGGCAAGAAGTAGCCCAGAAACGTTGTGTTATACAATAAACAAGAAGTTGTCATCCATTATATACTCGTCTTATAAATGGTTATTGTTGTTTTGCATGTGGCTATTGACAAGTTCAATTTTAAGTATGATTATAATGTTTCGAAATACTGTGTAATTAAAAGTAATTTACTGTTTAATACAATTTAAGATGGATTTTTACGTTTCAATGTATGAATAGATAATGTCGCAATTCTTAACTATGTTAAACCCGTGAAGATCCGGGTTAGAATTGATCTTCAGTAACCCATGCTTGTCGTAAGAGGCGACTAACGGGATCGGGTGGTCAGGCTCTCTGACTTGGTTGGCACATGTCATCAAATCTCAATTGCATAGATCGATGCTCATGCTGTTGATCACTGGATTGTGTGATCCAGAGTCGACATTTTACAGACCGCCGCCATGTAGTTGGAATATTGCTGAGTGAGGCGTTAAACAACGAACAGAATAGAGGGAAATTGTATGTATGCATGCATGTATGTATGTATGTATGTATTTTTGTATGTATGTATGTATGTATGTATGTTTGTATGTATGTATGGATGGATGGATGGATGGATGGATGGATGGATGGATGTGCGTGTGCGTATTTGCATGCACGAGTGTGTATTCTTGCGTGTGCCAGTGTGTATTCTTCCCACAACAGAGAGGTCTGCTTGAGACAGACATGGTTACTATATAAATGTTCTTCTGATGACATTGCAGACAACCCGTGTGCCCGAGACAGACTGGGGAACTATTGGTTCGGACCTTCCTGCAGGTTCCAGTGCCACTGTTTCGACAGAAGACAATGTGACTCCACAACAGGAAGCTGCTCTTCCTCCGGATGTGAGAAGGGATACTTTGGTCCCGGCTGCCAGTACTGTAAGTTAATAAGTGGAACGGTGTTGTATTTTTGTTTATTTCAAAAACATGTCCGGGTTAGTATCACATTACGCACTGAATACGTAATGTATGTATGTAATAACATAAATGGTCCGCCCTGAATTATAATAAGGTGTTGTTTAATAAATCGTAACTTTTGTTTTACGTGTGTACGATAAAATACGCCACGTGCATTCCCATAGTAGCCTAGAAAAGATAATGCCTGGAAGCGATACACAAAGGGAACAGGTCAAAATGGCCACACAACAATGGCCACACTGACCCTAATCAAAATGGCCACACAAAAAAGTCAAAATGGTCACAACCCCAAGTCAAAATGGCCATTGAAAAAGTCAAAATGGCCATAGAAAAAGTCAAAATGGCCATACACTATGGTTTTTTTCCATATTAATGAGTACTCTCGCAATGTAAGAGGCGATACTAACATTAATGAGTATTCTCGCAATTTTTCTTGATCAATACTAAACAAATACCACTTTCTCGTCTCGTGTTTATCGCTTTCGTCATCGGTAGCAAGAGCGACAGCGCTGTACGAATAGTATGAATCAAGGTTCGGTTTGGATGTCCTTGACAGGCGCAACAGAGTGTGGCGAAGTCAGAATGAGCGTTTTTTAGACAGAAACATGGGAGCGGCAGCCCTCCTACAGACAGAACCCCGTTACATGTCATTCACACACGTGTCACGGGTATTACTACCGTTACGTCCATACCATTTGCACGTGAAGGACAGCAGTGCGTTTTAGCAATTCATTTAACACAATCTGTGGTCGTCTGACGTTCATCGACTAATGCAAATCTCACTCTGACGTCTCCGTCACATTGTTAAACTATATATCTCATTGAATATATAAAATATCAATCGATGGGACACCTTTTTATGAATATCCCCTGCTTAAATAGTTATGATACATTCGGATCTGCAGTTTACTAATCCAGTACTTTAACGTGTTCAGAAGGTCTCACAAATGACTGATTCAAAATTTCCACAAGTTCAGAATGTCGTACAAAAGTCCGATTCAACACTTGGCTATGTATAGTCTGACAGATCAGGAAGTTCAGCACTTTGTCATGTCCAGAATGTCTTAGAAATAACTTCTTTACCATTTTGCCATACCCAAAAGGCCTACATAACAGAGATTCTGCACTTTGTCATGTTAAGAAGGCATTGCAAATACAACTGTAACTGAATCGGCACTTTGCCATGTCAGCAAATAACTGAATCGACACATGATATTGTTAGTGAGGCCAAATGTATCCCTGGTTCAGTTCGCCATGCCGTGAAGGTCTCATATTGCAGTAGTTCAAGACACAATAGCATTGTTCGGGGCTGGACATGTTGTGACCTCTCTTTAGAAGTTTCTGATACTTGTTCCAATGGGTTTGTGTGTCCCTATGAATATTTATGCATTAATGTCCACAACCAAATGGTTAACCTTGATTCACATGTTACAGTCTCCATTGCCCACGAACAACCAACAACACAATCCAGTACTTCGTCGAGGTCATCCTCTGCTGTAGACGGTTTCACCTCCACCAACTCGTTAACACGATCCACCCTGGACCCAACATGGAGCGTGGAGTTACAACACCCTGCCTGGATAGTCTGGGTGGACGTCAATGTGCCAGCGAATTACGGTAGTGTAACGTATTCTTATATATAACCATTCATACCGCAAATCGAAAGTCCAACATAATGAAACGCTGATAATGTTGAGAAATTCTTCAGGTACACCCACTTTAGAAGTATACTGGTAATACCTCAGCATCAGAGTGAAGGTCCATATTGAACACATCATTCATTTTTAACACGGCAAACCGAAAATATTAACAGTAAAATGAACGGTATTATGGTCTTTCTTTCTTTTTATTAACTCCATACTCACCAACATCCCAGCAATATGGCGGCTGTCTGTAAATAATCGAGTCTGGACCAGACAATCTAGTGATCAACATCATGTACATCGATCTACTCGGTTGGGATACGATGACATGTATCAACCAGATAAGCGAGTCTGACCACCCGATCCCGTTAGTCGCCTCCTACTACTAGCATGGGTTACTGCAGACCAGTTCTAACCTGGATCCTCATGGGTGAACGGTATTATCAATAGTAACATCATGTATGTGTCCCCTGTTTTTGTGTTAAGATTGTATATCTCTATGGTTACAGGAACGCGGGAAATAGCAATGACAACAAGAAACAAAGACACGGTCGTGCCGTGTAACGCTACGAACACTTGGATCACGTCTACAACGTTGAGAATCACGTGCAGGAACGTCGTCAACGCCACCAACATAACACTTATCGGAACAGAGTCAACGGAGTCCAGACTGGCTTTGAGTGAAGTACAAGTTTACGGAGGTTAGCCATAGTTTTATGTGATTCTCTAAAACACGGGCCAACGATATCATGGGCTAATTACTCCATTATCGACAACCATGCCTACAATTATTCAGCATACACCCAATGGCAATAATGAACAAGTATGTTTTGTGTGATATTTTACAGAAAAAGACATAAATTGTTCAGTCAACAAGTTAAGTGGAGTGGGTGTAACTGTTTATCGGTTAAGGAGTTGGCTCGTCACACCGAAGACCTGGGTTCGATTCCCCACATGGGTACAATGTGTGAAGCCCATTTCTGGTGTTCCCCGCCGTGATATTGCTAGAATATTGCTAAAAGCGACGTAAAACTAAACTCACTCACTTTATTCTAATACTGTTCAAGAACATGCTTCAATTATGAGTAGACAGGCTCGATATTTTTATGGTGAAAATGTTATCGTAATAGAGATCTCTATTGCCTTCTGTTTTCAATTCGAGTGATATTAACAGTGCTGAAAGAGTTTTTACCTATATTCAAACCTGTCAAGTCAGTCCCCTTGACATTCGCCAATACCTACTTCCAATTACAATAGAAACCCTGTGCTGATTCAGCATGAACCAATAAAGGTTTATCAGGGAGCCCCATTATTGTAATTGAGGAAAACAATTGAGTCAAAACACTGTCACTTCCTGTCGGAACACGTCACACGCCACAAGCTTAAGGCAGTAAGTAACTTAGAGATAAACAAAAAAAATAAAGGTGAGGTGAGGTGAAATTGGGTTTTACGTCGTGCCTGAGAATATTTCGCTCATATGACGACGTGCATGCGTGTGTATGTGTATGTGTGGCTGCTTGTACTAGCCCAGACTTAAGCTGTTTTATAGTGCTAGCCCACTGAGATACCATACCGCAGTGAAGCATGAATACCCCACTCAGACACATTATACTGACTCCGAGCCGACCAGTCCTTGTTGTACCCATTAATGCCGAGCGCATCTTTTGGTATGACGCGGTCGGGATCGAACCCGCGACCTTCCGCTCTCCGGGCGGACGCTCTAACCACTACACCATGGAGGCGGTCTCATAAACAAATCAAACACATAGCCTGAAGACAGTGGCTTTTCTGTGGGACATTTGATATGTAGTCATAGTTGTCTTTTTATCTAATTGTTGATATACATTTTTATTAAAACTATATATTTGGACGTGTATGTAAGGCTTGATATTTGATATTCTGCAATCCATTTTAGTGAGGTGAAATTGGGTTTAACGTCGCACTAAGAATATTTCGCTCATATGACGACGTGCATGCGTTCAGCTGGTTTTATAGTGCCAACCCACTGAGATACCAGTTAAGCATGAATACCCAACTCAGACACATTATACTGGCATTATACAGCCGACCAGTTAGACTAAGTCCTTGTTGTACACATTAATGCCGAGCGCCAGGCAGGGACCAGCAAGTACCATATTTTAACGTCTTTTGGTATGAAGCCGCCCGGGTTCGAAACCTCGACCTTCCACTCCCCGGGCGGACGCTCTAACCACTACACCACGGAGGCGGTCCCCATTTTAGTGAGTGAGTGAGTGAGTGAGTGTGGTTTTACGCCGCTTTTAGCAATATTCCAGCCATATCACGGCGGGGGACACCAGAAATGGGCTTCACACATTCTTCCCATGTGGGGAATCGAACCCGGGTCTTCGGCGTGACGAGCGAACGCTGTATACGTGAATGTTATATGTAAATACACACATATATATTTTCTTTTGCCAGAAAAGGCATAATTTTATATACCCACTTGTCAAATATATTGTCTTCTCCGCTCCGCTATAAAATTATGCCTTTACTGGCAAAAGAAAATATATATGTGTGTATTTACATCTTTAACACCCGTTTCATATATATAATTATGTACATACACACATATTTTCTTTTGCCAGAAAAGACTTTTAGCTTTATCTCCCACCACATCTATAACACCCAGGCATAATGTTATATTCCCAAGTGCCATAAAGCATTATTGTAGATTCTAATTCCGATATTTGTAAGTACAGTAATCTACAGTAATGCGCGCTGGCAAAAGAAAATATGTGTGTATGTGCATAATTATATATATGACATGTGGGTGTTAAAGTTCTCAATACACTGATATTTTCTTTTGCCAGAAAAGGCATCCATTACATTAGAGCGGAGGAGTGGTGATGTTGGCGATGGTTATAGTAGTAGTAGTAGTAGTAGTAGTAGTAGTAGTAGTAGTAGTAGTAGTAGTAGTAGTAGTAGTAGTAGTAGTAGTAGTAGATCGGATCGTCTGCTGATGGGGTGTCCCAAGGCCGTCGCCACCGTTGACGTCGCCGTGACGAATCTGTTCCACAGGTTTATTGTCCGGATGTAGCGGCCTTCAACTGGCGTGGTAACCCTTGGTCTACCCGTTCTTGGACGGTCTTGTGTCTGGCCTGTCTGTTGGTAGCGGCTCAACAAGTAGCTTGGCTGCAATTGAAGACTCTTGCAATGTGACGTTGTGAGGCCCCCATTTCTGCCATACCAATGGCTCTGTCACGTTCGGCTTGTGAAAGTCGAAGCATTTGTAAAGCATTTCTTTGATGTTATTTTTGATACTGCATGGTTGCACTGTTCCACATCTGTATTTATGCAACAATTGTGCACGGATATTTTCCGCAAAGTCCATTTATGCTGATTTTTTTCATGCCAGCACGAAATTCACTTAATCACGGACTTATGCCTTGCTACTCGACCACAGAATGTGTTTCGGCGAATGTTTTCTGAAAACATTTAACTTTATGGCAGTATCTGCAATTGCGAAAACGTTAATTTAAAAGTGATAAGTTTCTTTTGCCCGTTAGTTTATTTGTTTTTAAAAAGTTTCATTTTCAGGCAGAAACATCGCACTACGGGGAGACACATCACAGTCTTCAGTGTTTGACATGTATAATTCATCTCTTGCGGTGGACGCCGGCACTTCCGCCAGATTTTGAAGATAAATCATGTACTCACACGGCAGTTACATCGTGTTCAAATGGTGGGACAACAGATCCCAACTGGATTCTCCGGCTTGGACAGGACTACCAGATATACAGGGTAGATGTGTACAATAGGGATGAACCAAGTAAGTGGGATACAGACAGATGTACGGATTACTGTAGATTAACAGATATACAGGGTAGATGTGTACAATAGGAATACACCAAGTAAGTGGGATACAGACAGATGTACGGATTACTGTAGATTAACAGATATACAGGGTAGATGTGTACAATAGGAATGCACCAAGTAAGTGGGATACAGACAGATGTACGGATTACTGTAGACTAACAGATATACAGGGTAGATGTGTACAATAGGGATGCACCAAGTAAGTGGGATACAGACAGATGTACGGATTACTGTAGACTAACAGATATACAGATATACAGGTAGATGTGTACAATAGGGATACACAGTAAGTAAGTGGGGACAGACAGATCTACGGATTACTGTAGAGTAAGTGGGATACAGACAGATGTACATTACTGTAGATTAACAGATATACAGGGTAGATGTGTACAATAGGAATGAACCAAGATACAGACAGATGGGATTAACAGATGTACAGGGTAGATGTGTACAATAGGGATGCACCAAGTAAGTGGGATACAGACAGATGTACGGATTACTGTAGATTAACAGATATTCAGGGTAGATATGTACAATAGGAATGCACCAAGTAAGTGGGGTACAGACAGATGTACGGATTACTGTAGATTAACAGATATTCAGGGTAGATGTGTACAATAGGGATGAACCAAGTAAGTGGGATACAGACAGATGTACGGATTACTGTAGACTAACAGATATTCAGGGTAGATATGTACAACAGGGATGCACCATGTAAGTGTACGTATGTACGGATTACTGTAGATTAACATACATACAGAATAGACTTGTCATGCAGGGGAGAGGTGTGCAATACATGAACAGGTGATCTGTAGACTTAAGTATTGCTATATGATATATATTTGAATGACGGTAACTTTAAAAAAAAAATTGTTCACTGTATTTCACTTTTATACCATCAATGGAGAAATAAAGAAATAATTATTTAAATCTAAATATTTTGGAAATGTTGTAGTCAGTAACACTACTGACTTAGGCAATAAGCGGAAAAATGAAAATATATATCAGTCAGTAAACTTACTGTCTAGTCGTTTTAGTCAGTATCGCTACTGACTAGGCAGTACCTTATTGGCTAGGCGGTAACGCTACTGACGGAGTTTCCTTATTGACGCTAACATTTATATTATTTGCGACACAGAGTAGATGTGTACAGTATGTGAAGATATTAGTGGGTTATAAAACATATGTATTACTTTACATTCATGCCATATATAGTAGATATGTACAGTTGAATTGATGGGTTACACAAAACCAAATGTTTTCGAATAGATTTCCATAGTAAATTTATATATAGATCCAATTCCTTTTCCGAGTACAGGAAGTTGAACACACGAAGCAAGTTCCGCACCAAATGTCACCTACTTGATAACATCTCTGCTTGAGTCATCGCGTTGAAAACAACAGAACTAATATTGAAAAAATACCGCCAGTTTTAATGACTGGGGGGATGTACAATTCAAACCCCCAACAAAAAATCTTACACTAAATCATCCAGTTACAGCCGTCAGATGATTCTTTCTACACTGAAGTGCTTGTTAAACTTGTTGAAGTATAACCTGTATATTGTATTTACCAGGAAGTAAAACGAGTACTTTGGTTTTATCATACAGCTTAAAAAACAAGTAATATAACGAAATAGTCGACTGTATATCTTTGCCATGACCTCCCCACTTGAATCTACCATTTTTGCCTCAAACACACAAAAATATAATGTCCTTATAAAGCCACGAATGAATTTAACATTAGCATCATATGATATCAGGTTCAGCAACTGCTTAAAGGGCGCATTAAATGAATGACATCTAGACTTTGTTCATTTCTACAAATGGAGTGAGTGATTGAGTTTAGTTTTACGCCGCACTCAGCAATATTCCAGCTATATGGTGGCGGTCTGTAAATAATCGAGTCTGGACCAGACATTCCAGTGATCAACAGCATGAGCATCGATCTTACGACAAGCATGGGTTGCTGAAGACTAATTCCAATCCGGACCTTCACGGGTCGTTGCATAAGAAAGATAACAAGGCTAGTTTTCAGCCTTGATCATTTATCGGATAAACTAAAATCTCATGATGTATTTCTTCTAATTCATACGAGAGTACATAGTAGTAAGTTTTTCCTTAGATGATGTGCGACTCAAAGAATTTCGCATCCGTTTGGGGAAAGCAGGCGTAAGTGGTTTGAAACGAGTATACCAAGATCGGTCCGATACACCACCGGAAGTGACGTCAGTACAGATGCCAGCCAGTCGAACGGCCAACAGACTGGAGGTGACCTTGAGAGGAGACTGCAAGATATTGACGCTGTGCGAAGTTCAGGTGTTTGGTGGTGAGAGTTTGTTCATCTGAAAGGAGTCTTTTTTGTAGAACACATTCATTTTATCAGATGAAAGTTGAAAGGGACATTATTATTTCTCATATATTACCACTTTCAACTCCGGGTATGGCATACAGGGTGTTTTTACTATCAGATTTGAATCATTCTACGTGTGGAGTACGTGAGGTCCAAGTTTGAGTTATTGAATGAAATTCAGAACATTGTCAATCTGTACGATACTGGGGAGATTGATTCATGACACATATTGGCTTTGAAGTATCCTGTTGGTCATGATAATATTCCGTTCTCCGCTGATGTGACAAAATCTTACCATGTACCTTCTCATACACATAATAGATGGCTCAGAATATTTTTGACAATCTTAATTCAAGCAATGAAATGCTCTCTTTCTACTTCAGACTGTCTCGACTACAAATATGGCTTAGAATGCAACTTCACCTGCCGTTGTCGTGACCGAGCGGAAGTGTGCAACAAGGTCGACGGCAGTTGCGTGTCAGGCTGCGCAGATGGCTTTACTGGAGTTGACTGTAAACAAGGTCTGTACAAACTTCAGGCCATCAGATGAGTTTTGTTCCACGAAACATGATCAGAAGACTGACTGACTGACTGAGTTTGGTTTTACGCCGCTTTTAGCAATATTCCATCAACATCACGGCGGGGGACACCAGAAATGGGCTTCACACATTGTACCCATGTAGGGATTCGAACCGGGTCTTCGGCGTGACGAGCCAGCGCTCTAACCAGTAGGCTACCCCACCGCCCCATCAGAAGACGTACATGATGACACAATACAATTAATCCAAGCACAACACTACGGGTAAAGCAGCGTTGGGGGCAGAGAGTAGGGGGATGGTTGACCGTGTTGGCAGGCTTGACTCCAGCCAGGCAGTTCTAGGCCTCTGCACACAGAAACAGATCTTTCAAGTCGTGTGTCTCTCTTTGAAATATGCAAACAGTGAATGGGTACCCGGTAGGATGGAGATTTCGAGAGGACACTAGTGTTTAATTTACCAGGAACATGATTTAATGATTCAGCGTTTTGAGCATGTTTCAGGAAATAGACTTGGTATTTTATAAATATTCACCATATTGTTTTTGTTATTATTTTTTACATGCATCACATCTGATATGATCAGTGGCCTCTGATTCTAATGTGGCTGTTGGTTGATGGTAGTACTATACTTGAATCCTCCATGTTGCAGAGTGCCCAGAAGGACGCTACGGCTTCAACTGCACGAACAACTGCAGCAGCAACTGTGTCGACACTCACTGTCATCACGTAGATGGCACGTGCAAGTGTGTTCCCGGATGGATGGGAGATAGATGTACAACGGGTAAGTTTGGGCACTTCCTTACAAGAAGACAGCCGTGAAGATCCGGGTTAGAATTGGTCTTCTGCAACCAATGCTTGTCGTAAGCGGCGACTAACGGGATTGTTGTTTATAGCTCTACCCATTCATATTCAAGCTATATAGAGCCTGCCTGTAAATTATCGAGTCTGGACCAGACAAACCTATGATTGACAGCATGACCATCGATCTACGCAATTGGGATACGATAACGTGCATCAACAAGTCAACGCGCCTGACAACCCGATCCCGTTAGTCGCCTCTTGGATCTTCATGAGTTGGTGGGTTCGGATCCCAATTTATTCCCGATAGTGTTTCTGTTTTTTCAGCATCAATTTCACCGAAGTGGTCTGAGACCGGCATCACTCCGGATTTTCCTCCCACATAAAGCTGACCGTGATGTAACTGAAATACTGTCCAAAGTAGCGTTAACCGAACTCAATCACTAAATCTCCATGAAAAAAGTCAATGTTGTTGAATGACATTGCGACAGTTGCAGACGAAGAAACAGTGCTTAATTTGAAAGAACTGGCATATATTTAAGTCTAGGGTCATGGTTTACTTGTACCTATTCAGTGATATACACATATGAACTATTCACTGACATTCGCTTTCTATTTTCTGCTAGTCTGCGACCAGGGGACCTATGGACACGAATGCAGTAACAAATGCTCCTCATGCAGAGACTCCATCTGTCACCCTGGCAACGGCACGTGCATCATGGGATGTCAGCGTGGTTGGACCGGAACACAGTGTGATACAGGTTTAGACTTCATCTATTATTAATACAAATATACTAAATAGCAAAAGAAACGCAACTCTGGCTTTTGTCAAGTTTTTAGATAGAAGACATCAACATGAACGCTTACTTTTATGAGACTTCATTTTTTGGAAACTTGCGTTTCTTTTGCTGTTCAGTATAGACTTGTAATACCGTCAAACACCGTTTTGTCGAAGTGGAAGAGACATGCGTAAATGCTTCGTGTTATCGAGTAATACCCAACAATCATTAAACCATAACGAATCGACGAATCAGCAGAAGGATCTGCGTCAAAGACATGGCTAAAACTATGGATATTATTCATATTGCTATTTAAGGCATTCTAGTGAAACAATTTAATTTTCGTTGAAATTTTACATTAATTTGTCTGAGGCTAAAGTTGTGAGCCACATCATCTTTCATCATCAATTATCGAGACCCTAAAGGCTTTGTACGCTATGAAATATGACTCGTTGAAAGAAAATTAGTATTTTTAAGCGTAATGGAGGAGGTTAGGCCTCTTATAAAAAGTGAAATACGGAAATATGTTTTTATGATTGTTTCAAAAAAATTCCAAATATTGAGTTGTTGTTTTGATAATTGAAAAACATAAGTATGAAATGAGAGGCAATGGGTTAGCGCAGTGGATAACTTGCTCGCTCTTCCAATCGAAGACCAGGTTCGATCCCTCACACGAGTATAATGGTTGAAGCCCTTTTCTGGTGCTGGAAGTCCTGGAATCTTGCTGAACACTTCAGTCTTTTCTGTGAAATGCTTGTCATGGCTCAAAATATGTGCAATAAATTTCTTTCTCAGAATGTGACACTGGTACCTTCGGCTGGGGATGTAACGAGACATGCGCAGTAAATTGTGCTGAGCAACGTTGCCATGGAGACACGGGCGTTTGCGCCAGTTGTATTGACGGATGGGAGGGCGCAATGTGCGACTCAGTCAAAAGTAATTTGAGTTTATAATATCGTTAAAATAATCATATTCTAAGAATTGAAATTCCCTCGACTATAGCATGTTCAGATAGGTATTTAAAGCAGGTATATTGTAAATTGTACTTCGTCATCATCGCAACAGACGCTATCTATCTCTCAATCTACTACTACTACTACTAAGAAGTAGTCTTAGTAGTAGTCATAATAATAATAATAATAATAATGTCCACTTGTATGGCGCCGTTTCCACACACTAGTGTATGCTCATGGCGCCCCGTGTGTACAGCTTAAAAAACACAAAACTAGTAGTAGTTGTAGTAGTAATCGTAGTACTACTAGTAGTAGTAGTAGTTATAATCATAATTAACCCTTTGGGAATGGGTCAATGAATGTCAATGAATCAGAGCCTAATTAACATTAAAAGGCCAGCTGACTTGTTTTCTTACTCAGGTTACAGATTAACGTGCGTGGCCATCCCATATATATTTCAGAGACAAACATGACGACGGTGGCTGTGGCTGTTGTCGTCACCCTGCTGCTGTTGATTGCGGTTGTCGTCATCATCGTTGTTTGTCGAAGGAAGTGAGTATAGCGTTGATGAGTATCACTCACCACCATGAGTGAGTGAGTTGGGTTTCACGTCGTTGTGAACAGTATTCGGAATAGACAAGGATGAGCCGAGTGTTCAGATCAGAGCGGAGCTTCTTACTTTACATGCGTCAGGTTGGTGGAGGCCCAGGCAAGAGACAAGGGTAAGCGGAGATTCAGTTCAGACATGCATGAGGTGAGTGGAGATCCAGTTCAGACATGCATGAGGTGAGCGGAGATCAAGTTCAGACATGCATGAGGTGAGCGGAGATTCAGTTCAGACATGCATGATGTAGTGAGCGACAAAGGTGAGCGGAGATCCAGTTCAGACATGCATGAGGTAAGTGGAGATCCAGTTCAGCCATGCATGAGGTAAGTGGAGATCCAGTTCAGAAATGCATGAGGTGTGTTCAGATCCAGTTCTGTCATGCATGAGGTGTGTTCAGATCCAGTTCTGTCATGCATGAGGTAAGTGGAGATCCAGCTCTGTCATGCATGAGGTAAGTGGAGATCCAGTTCTGCCATGCATGATGTGAGCGGAGATTCAGTTCAATCATGCGTGATGTGAAGGAAGCTCCAGCTCTGATATTCATGGGGTTAGAGGAGCTCCAGCTAAGACATGCATGAGGTGAGTGGAGAACCAGTTCAGTGATGCATGAGGTAAGTGGAGATCCAGTTCAGACATGCATGAGGTGTGTTCAGATCCAGTTCTGTGATGCATGAGGTGAGTCGAGATCCAGTTCAGTCATGCATGAGGTGAGTGGAGATCAAATTCTGTGATGCATGAGATAAGTGGAGATCCAGTTCAGACATGCATGAGGAAAGTGGAGATCCAGTTCAGTCATGCATGAGGTGAGTGGAGATCCAGTTCAGTCATGCATGAGGTGAGTGGAGATCCAGTTCTGTGATGCATGAGGTAAGTGGAGATCCAGTTCAGACATGCATGGTGAGTGGAGATCAAATTCTGTGATGGGCGAGATAAGTGGAGATCCAGTTCAGACATGCATGAGAAAGTGGAGATCAAGTGCGCATATGCATGACGTGAAGGAAGCTCCAGCTCTGATATTCATGGGGTGAGAGGAGTTCCAGTTCACAGACATGCATGATGTAGTGAGTGGAGAACTGCAGCTCAGACATGCATGATGTAGTGAGCGAAAATCCAGTTCAGACATGCATGAGGTAAGTGGAGATCCAGTTCAGAAATGCATGAGGTGTGTTCAGATCCAGTTCTGTCATGCATGAGGTAAGTGGAGATCCAGTTCAGACATGCATGATGTAGTGAGCGAAAATCCAGTTCAGACATGCATGAGGTAAGTGGAGATCCAGTTCAGACATGCATGAGGTAAGTGGAGATCCAGTTCAGACATGCATGATGTAGTGAGCGAAAATCCAGTTCAGACATGCATGAGGTAAGTGGAGATCCAGTTCAGAAATGCATGAGGTGTGTTCAGATCCAGTTCTGTCATGCATGAGGTAAGTGGAGATCCAGTTCAGAAATGCATGAGGTGTGTTCAGATCCAGTTCTGTCATGCATGAGGTAAGTGGAGATCCAGTTCTGTCATGCATGAGGTGTGTTCAGATCCAGTTCTGTCATGCATGAGGTAAGTGGAGATCCAGTTCAGAAATGCATGAGGTGTGTTCAGATCCAGTTCTGTCATGCATGAGGTAAGTGGAGATCCAGTTCAGACATGCATGATGTAGTGAGCGAAAATCCAGTTCAGACATGCATGAGGTAAGTGGAGATCCAGTTCTGTCATGCATGAGGTGTGTTCAGATCCAGTTCTGTCATGCATGAGGTAAGTGGAGATCCAGTTCAGAAATGCATGAGGTGTGTTCAGATCCAGTTCTGTCATGCATGAGGTGTGTTCAGATCCAGTTCTGTCATGCATGAGGTAAGTGGAGATCCAGTTCAGACATGCATGAGGTAAGTGGAGATCCAGTTCAGACATGCATGAGGTAAGTGGAGATCCAGTTCAGAAATGCATGAGGTGTGTTCAGATCCAGTTCTGTCATGCATGAGGTAAGTGGAGATCCAGTTCAGACATGCATGAGGTAAGTGGAGATCCAGTTCAGAAATGCATGAGGTGTGTTCAGATCCAGTTCTGTCATGCATGAGGTAAGTGGAGATCCAGTTCAGCCATGCATGAGGTAAGTGGAGAGTCAGTTCAGCCATGCATGAGGTGAAGTGGAGATCCAGTTCAGAAATGCATGAGGTGTGTTCCAGATCCAGTTCTGTCATGCATGAAGGTGTGTTCCAGATCCAGTTTTGTCATGCATGAGGGTAAGTGGAGATCCAGTTCTGTCATGCATGAGGGTAGAGTGGAGATCCAGCTCTAGCCATGCATGAGGTAAGTGGAGATCCAGTTCAGCCATGCATGAGGTAAGTGGAGATCCAGTTCAGACATGCATGATGTAGTGAGCGAAAATCCAGTTCAGACATGCATGAGGTAAGTGGAGATCCAGTTCAGCCATGCATGAGGTAAGTGGAGATCCAGTTCAGAAATGCATGAGGTGTGTTCAGATCCAGTTCTGTCATGCATGAGGTAAGTGGAGATCCAGTTCAGACATGCATGAGGTAAGTGGAGATCCAGTTCAGACATGCATGATGTAGTGAGCGAAAATCCAGTTCAGACATGCATGAGGTAAGTGGAGATCCAGTTCTGTCATGCATGAGGTGTGTTCAGATCCAGTTCTGTCATGCATGAGGTAAGTGGAGATCCAGTTCAGAAATGCATGAGGTGTGTTCAGATCCAGTTCTGTCATGCATGAGGTGTGTTCAGATCCAGTTCTGTCATGCATGAGGTAAGTGGAGATCCAGTTCAGACATGCATGAGGTAAGTGGAGATCCAGTTCAGCCATGCATGAGGTAAGTGGAGATCCAGTTCAGACATGCATGAGGTAAGTGGAGATCCAGTTCAGAAATGCATGAGGTGTGTTCAGATCCAGTTCTGTCATGCATGAGGTAAGTGGAGATCCAGTTCTGTCATGCATGAGGTAAGTGGAGATCCAGTTCTGTCATGCATGAGGTAAGTGGAGATCCAGTTCTGTCATGCATGAGGTAAGTGGAGATCCAGTTCAGACATGCATGATGTAGTGAGCGAAAATCCAGTTCAGACATGCATGATGTAGTGAGCGAAAATCCAGTTCAGACATGCATGATGTAGTGAGCGAAAATCCAGTTCAGACATGCATGATGTAGTGAGCGAAAATCCAGTTCAGACATGCATGAGGTAAGTGGAGATCCAGTTCAGCCATGCATGAGGTAAGTGGAGATCCAGTTCAGACATGCATGAGGTAAGTGGAGATCCAGTTCTGTCATGCATGAGGTGTGTTCAGATCCAGTTCTGTCATGCATGAGGTAAGTGGAGATCCAGTTCAGAAATGCATGAGGTGTGTTCAGATCCAGTTCTGTCATGCATGAGGTAAGTGGAGATCCAGTTCAGCCATGCATGAGGTAAGTGGAGATCCAGTTCAGAAATGCATGAGGTGTGTTCAGATCCAGTTCTGTCATGCATGATGTGAGCGGAGATTCAGTTCAGACATGCATGAGGTAAGTGGAGATCCAGTTCTGTCATGCATGAGGTGTGTTCAGATCCAGTTCTGTCATGCATGAGGTGTGTTCAGATCCAGTTCTGTCATGCATGAGGTAAGTGGAGATCCAGTTCAGCCATGCATGAGGTAAGTGGAGATCCAGTTCAGACATGCATGAGGTAAGTGGAGATCCAGTTCAGCCATGCATGAGGTAAGTGGAGATCCAGTTCAGACATGCATGAGGTAAGTGGAGATCCAGTTCAGCCATGCATGAGGTAAGTGGAGATCCAGTTCAGACATGCATGAGGTAAGTGGAGATCCAGTTCAGCCATGCATGAGGTAAGTGGAGATCCAGTTCAGAAATGCATGAGGTGTGTTCAGATCCAGTTCTGTCATGCATGAGGTAAGTGGAGATCCAGTTCAGACATGCATGAGGTGAGCGGAGGTCCAGTTCAGACATGCATGAGGTAAGTGGAGATCCAGTTCAGACATGCATGAGGTGAGCGGAGGTCCAGTTCAGACATGCATGAGGTGAGCGGAGGTCCAGTTCAGACATGCATGATGTAGTGAGCGAAAATCCAGTTCAGACATGCATGAGGTAAGTGGAGATCCAGTTCAGAAATGCATGAGGTGTGTTCAGATCCAGTTCTGTCATGCATGAGGTAAGTGGAGATCCAGTTCTGTCATGCATGAGGTAAGTGGAGATCCAGTTCAGACATGCATGAGGTAAGTGGAGATCCAGTTCAGAAATGCATGAGGTGTGTTCAGATCCAGTTCTGTCATGCATGAGGTAAGTGGAGATCCAGTTCAGACATGCATGAGGTGAGCGGAGGTCCAGTTCAGACATGCATGAGGTAAGTGGAGATCCAGTTCAGAAATGCATGAGGTGTGTTCAGATCCAGTTCTGTCATGCATGAGGTGTGTTCAGATCCAGTTCTGTCATGCATGAGGTAAGTGGAGATCCAGTTCAGCCATGCATGAGGTAAGTGGAGATCCAGTTCAGCCATGCATGAGGTAAGTGGAGATCCAGTTCTGTCATGCATGAGGTAAGTGGAGATCCAGTTCAGCCATGCATGAGGTAAGTGGAGATCCAGTTCAGAAATGCATGAGGTGTGTTCAGATCCAGTTCTGTCATGCATGAGGTAAGTGGAGATCCAGTTCAGACATGCATGATGTAGTGAGCGAAAATCCAGTTCAGACATGCATGAGGTAAGTGGAGATCCAGTTCAGCCATGCATGAGGTAAGTGGAGATCCAGTTCAGCCATGCATGAGGTAAGTGGAGATCCAGTTCAGACATGCATGAGGTAAGTGGAGATCCAGTTCAGACATGCATGAGGTAAGTGGAGATCCAGTTCTGTCATGCATGAGGTGTGTTCAGATCCAGTTCTGTCATGCATGAGGTAAGTGGAGATCCAGTTCAGACATGCATGAGGTGAGCGGAGGTCCAGTTCAGACATGCATGATGTAGTGAGCGAAAATCCAGTTCAGACATGCATGAGGTAAGTGGAGATCCAGTTCAGACATGCATGAGGTAAGTGGAGATCCAGTTCAGCCATGCATGAGGTAAGTGGAGATCCAGTTCAGACATGCATGAGGTAAGTGGAGATCCAGTTCAGACATGCATGAGGTGAGCGGAGGTCCAGTTCAGACATGCATGAGGTGAGTGGAGATCAAGTTCAGACATGCATGAGGTGAGCGGAGATCAAGTTCAGACATGCATGAGGTGAGCGGAGGTCCAGTTCAGACATGCATGAGGTGAGCGGAGATTCAGTTCAGACATGCATGATGTAGTGAGCGAAAATCCAGTTCAGACATGCATGAGGTAAGTGGAGATCCAGTTCAGCCATGCATGAGGTAAGTGGAGATCCAGTTCAGAAATGCATGAGGTGTGTTCAGATCCAGTTCTGTCATGCATGAGGTGTGTTCAGATCCAGTTCTGTCATGCATGAGGTAAGTGGAGATCCAGTTCTGTCATGCATGAGGTAAGTGGAGATCCAGTTCTGTCATGCATGAGGTGAGTGGAGATCCAGTTCAGACATGCATGAGGTAAGTGGAGATCCAGTTCAGACATGCATGATGTAGTGAGCGAAAATCCAGTTCAGACATGCATGAGGTGAGCGGAGGTCCAGTTCAGACATGCATGAGGTGAGCGGAGGTCCAGTTCAGACATGCATGAGGTAAGTGGAGATCCAGTTCTGTCATGCATGAGGTAAGTGGAGATCCAGTTCAGAAATGCATGAGGTGTGTTCAGATCCAGTTCTGTCATGCATGAGGTAAGTGGAGATCCAGTTCAGACATGCATGATGTAGTGAGCGAAAATCCAGTTCAGACATGCATGAGGTAAGTGGAGATCCAGTTCTGTCATGCATGAGGTGTGTTCAGATCCAGTTCTGTCATGCATGAGGTGTGTTCAGATCCAGTTCTGTCATGCATGAGGTAAGTGGAGATCCAGTTCAGAAATGCATGAGGTGTGTTCAGATCCAGTTCTGTCATGCATGAGGTAAGTGGAGATCCAGTTCTGTCATGCATGAGGTGTGTTCAGATCCAGTTCTGTCATGCATGAGGTGTGTTCAGATCCAGTTCTGTCATGCATGAGGTGTGTTCAGATCCAGTTCTGTCATGCATGAGGTAAGTGGAGATCCAGTTCAGACATGCATGAGGTGAGCGGAGGTCCAGTTCAGACATGCATGAGGTAAGTGGAGATCCAGTTCAGCCATGCATGAGGTAAGTGGAGATCCAGTTCAGAAATGCATGAGGTGTGTTCAGATCCAGTTCTGTCATGCATGAGGTGTGTTCAGATCCAGTTCTGTCATGCATGAGGTGTGTTCAGATCCAGTTCTGTCATGCATGAGGTAAGTGGAGATCCAGTTCAGCCATGCATGAGGTAAGTGGAGATCCAGTTCAGACATGCATGAGGTAAGTGGAGATCCAGTTCAGAAATGCATGAGGTGTGTTCAGATCCAGTTCTGTCATGCATGATGTGAGCGGAGATTCAGTTCAGACATGCATGATGTAGTGAGCGAAAATCCAGTTCAGACATGCATGAGGTAAGTGGAGATCCAGTTCAGAAATGCATGAGGTGTGTTCAGATCCAGTTCTGTCATGCATGAGGTGTGTTCAGATCCAGTTCTGTCATGCATGAGGTAAGTGGAGATCCAGTTCAGAAATGCATGAGGTGTGTTCAGATCCAGTTCTGTCATGCATGAGGTGTGTTCAGATCCAGTTCTGTCATGCATGAGGTGTGTTCAGATCCAGTTCTGTCATGCATGAGGTGTGTTCAGATCCAGTTCTGTCATGCATGAGGTAAGTGGAGATCCAGTTCAGAAATGCATGAGGTGTGTTCAGATCCAGTTCTGTCATGCATGAGGTAAGTGGAGATCCAGTTCAGACATGCATGATGTAGTGAGCGAAAATCCAGTTCAGACATGCATGAGGTGAGCGGAGGTCCAGTTCAGACATGCATGAGGTGAGCGGAGGTCCAGTTCAGACATGCATGAGGTGAGCGGAGGTCCAGTTCAGACATGCATGAGGTAAGTGGAGATCCAGTTCAGACATGCATGAGGTGAGCGGAGGTCCAGTTCAGACATGCATGAGGTGAGCGGAGGTCCAGTTCAGACATGCATGAGGTGAGCGGAGGTCCAGTTCAGACATGCATGAGGTGAGCGGAGGTCCAGTTCAGACATGCATGAGGTAAGTGGAGATCCAGTTCAGCCATGCATGAGGTAAGTGGAGATCCAGTTCAGACATGCATGAGGTAAGTGGAGATCCAGTTCAGACATGCATGAGGTGAGCGGAGGTCCAGTTCAGACATGCATGAGGTGAGCGGAGATTCAGTTCAGACATGCATGATGTAGTGAGCGAAAATCCAGTTCAGACATGCATGAGGTAAGTGGAGATCCAGTTCTGTCATGCATGAGGTGTGTTCAGATCCAGTTCTGTCATGCATGAGGTAAGTGGAGATCCAGTTCAGACATGCATGAGGTAAGTGGAGATCCAGTTCAGACATGCATGAGGTGAGCGGAGGTCCAGTTCAGACATGCATGAGGTAAGTGGAGATCCAGTTCAGAAATGCATGAGGTGTGTTCAGATCCAGTTCTGTCATGCATGAGGTGTGTTCAGATCCAGTTCTGTCATGCATGAGGTAAGTGGAGATCCAGTTCAGACATGCATGAGGTGAGCGGAGGTCCAGTTCAGACATGCATGAGGTGAGCGGAGGTCCAGTTCAGACATGCATGAGGTAAGTGGAGATCCAGTTCAGACATGCATGAGGTAAGTGGAGATCCAGTTCAGCCATGCATGAGGTAAGTGGAGATCCAGTTCAGCCATGCATGAGGTAAGTGTGAGCGGAGATTCAGTTCAGGACATACATGAGGTGAGTGGAGATCCAGTTCAAGTTCAGACATACATGAAGTGAGTGGAGATCCAGTTCAGACATGCATGGGGTGGAAGAGCGGAGGTCCAATTCAGACATGCCATGAGGTGAGGCGAGATTCGAAGTTCAGACATGCATGATGTAGTGAGCGAAAATCAGTTGAGACATGCATAGGGGTAGAGGTGGAGATCCAGTTCAGAAATGTATGAGGTGTTGAACAGACCCAGTTCTGTCATGCATGAGGTGTGTTCAGATCCAGTTCTGTCATGCATGAGGTAAAGTGGAGATCCAGCTCTGTCATGCATGAGGTAAGTGGAGATCCAGTTCTGTCATGCATGATGTGAGCGGAGATTCAGTTCAATCATGCGTGGACGAGGGTATAGTAGGGTGAAAGGAGGCAGTAAGACCGAAACTCCGACATCTAAAGAGACAAGTATCAATCGAGACAAATGGAACACGTAAGAAATGAATTACCTCTAGGATGATGATACAACGCAGGTGTACTGTGATGAAAGTGCTGTTGCTTTTTTCTCACGATCAGTCTAAAAAATCTTCAAAAAGTCCTAAACCTAACTGCAAACATAACTTCAGAGTGAAGTCGTTTTTTATGAGAATTTTCCCTTTCAGACAAAGTCCAAAATATATCCAGTCCAAAAAGAACCTAGAAATACAATGGTTCAGTGTCTGAAGGCGGGTCTTAGACACTACCCACTCTGGTGACTCGATACTCGCGAGAATGATTAAAGATTAAGGACAGAGGGTCTCTTATATGGTAATAGCGTGAGATACGCATTAGTTCAAAAACATCAGCAGCTGTGACTTTGCAAGAATATTGCTAAAAGTGGCGTAATACTATACTCACTCAATGACATATTAGCATTGCTAGCTGTTAAAACCGTTTTCACCGTCATTGTACTACAGCGCAAGTGTGAACAGTACTGGGACGCCGAGGATGACTTTGACGTGCAGGAGTTCAAGGTCACTGTTGCAGACACAACGTCATATGCCCAATACACAGTCCGAACTCTTAAAATATCGAAGGTAGGTGCCAACCAATCTCCCATCACACACGTTAATGACACTTTTTGTAACATTTACAATGTGTTATTATAATGCACTGGAAACATCGTGTTATGTGTTTATCTGTTATTTGTATGTTATTTGTCTGTATGTTGCCATCCTGCAGCCAAACAGTTCCGACTCGCCCCGTTCGGTGACGCAGTACCACTTCACAGCATGGCCAGACAAGAGTGTGCCTTCGTCACCATGGTCACTCATTCACTTCCGGAACAATGTCATGACCTCTGACAGAGAAAAGGGACCAATCGTCGTGCACTGCAGGTATATACATATATCTAACACTCGTAATGCTGGAATGCCTGTCGGCGTGTTTGATTGCAAGGTTGTATATGCACAAACGTGATACTAAGAATTTGAAAGGAAATTGTGAAAATAATAATTATGGTATGTGCTTTGAGTCCCTGGCATCCTGCAACTCGGACCGATTCTGAAACATCTACTGATGTTAAAAGGAACATTACTCTTCAACAAATATTCGTCAATCCGGAAACTGGTTAATATGAACTGTATCGTCCGGTTTCACAAGGTTTTGGTGTATATGTTATTCGATGTATGTGTGTGAGAAGGAGTGAGAGAGAGTGTTGTATCAGCTCAACTTTGAAGTTTCGGGGCTCGCTTACTTCTGGATTCGTCTAATTCATGGTTTCTCAATCTCATTCTCATGGCAGGCTTCATTCCATAGTTTTCCATGCATGTGCTGATTAAAGAAAGAGCAAACTTAAGTATCTGTTCAATTTGACCGTAAGAAATAAATGAATATTATTGATGTTAAGACGTAAACAAAGACACAGAATGAGAGAGAGAATGAGAGAGAGAGAGAGAGAGAGAGAGAGGGAGAGAGAGAGAGAGAGAGAGAGGGAGAGAGAGAGAGAGAGGGAGAGAGAGAGAGAGGACAGAGAGAGAGAGAGAGAGAGAGAGAGAGAGAGAGAGAGAGAGAGAGAGAGAGAGAGAGAGAGAGAGAGAGAGAGGTTTAATATTACATTATGGAGTACGCTAAGGCCAGAGTGTTACCAGTCTCGAGTGTACACCGTAACAGATTACATACTGCGTACTTAACAAAAGATAACCCTATTGGGAAGGGGGCTGAGGTCCACCATAAGAAAGGCGAGGAAGAGCGGGTCATTGTTGGATTTGTTGTCACCGTCCTTTTTGAAAAACACTTTATGTTCAAAGAGCAGCCCATTGCTCACTGAGAAGCACAGTAGATCGTTGCTTTGTTGTCACTACAACATATCCACTCATGTATAGTATGTGTGAGTGGTTTATCTTGGATCTGACTTCCTTATTGGTCCTTATAGTCAGGAAGTAGCGGGAGGTTTCAAGTGCAATCATGTGACGTCATATCCGGTTAATGGTTGCCACGAGTCTCTTTCAGCGCTGGAGTGGGTCGAACGGGAACCTTCATTGGTTTGGACTGGCTGATGCGAATGGCTGACGAGGTTGGCCACGTTGACGTCTACGACTGCGTTGAACGCATGAGGGCAGACAGGGTTAACATGGTCCAAACATTGGTAATAAATTCACCTCAACTGCATAAGAAGTGGGCTAGCCTAGTGGTTAAAACACCTCCACACATGCAAACACTTCTCCATCTTGAACGCGACTCCTTTCAACTCTCTTAATGAAGCCATGCCCACCAATATCGATGCTTCACCCTGAATAAGGTCTACACGATATCAGTTTCAACTTTCTAACATTGCTGAATACACTGTGTTTTAAATCTGGGGATTTTCTCAGATACACTGTGAATCTGTTCCACAGAACATACTTGATCATGAAAAGGGTATGCTGTGGTCTGTTCGATATCCTAACACTTTCCATCATTTTATTGTATAGAATCTGTTACTGACGTTTTGTGGATACTTTTGAAAGGTTGCATGAAACTTTTCACTTGATACTTTTTCCACCTTCTACTAACATGAAACATGAATGGGGTCCACTCGATATCAACTAACACTTTCCATCATTGTTACTTTACATGAAAAGGATCCACTTGATACCAACTAGCACGTTCCATCTCTGATACTTTCCATGAATAGGGTCCACTCGATACCAACTGAAACTTTCCATCTCTGATACTTTACATGAATAGGGTCCACTCGATACCAACTGAAACTTTCCATCTCTGATACTTTACATGAATAGGGTCCACTCGATACCAACTGAAACTTTCCATCTCTGATACTTTACATGAATAGGGTCCACTCGATACCAACTGAAACTTTCCATCTTTGATACATTACATGAATAGGGTCCACTCGATACCAACTAGCACGTTCCATCATTGCTACATTCCATGAATAGGACCCACTCGATACCAACTAGCACTTTCCAGCATTGCTACATTCCATGACTAGGGTCTTTATTGTTGTTTTATTTGAATATGACCTATTTATGGCACCAGTATTGCTGTCTGACATGACCAGTGTCTGCTAGACACCAAGTGATCCAAGTCAACTTACTTCCCTGCAGGACCAGTACATCTTCCTGCACGAGGCGCTCGCCATGTCCGTCCTGCTTCCGCCGCCACAGTCAAGTCACGCGTTCCTTTCCCAGCCAACCATTGACGACGCTGCCCTGATGTCAGAGTTCATGGTCAGTATGACGTCATGCATAGTCCCGTCTGACAGTGTCTTGTTTCCATGAAGTCCCAGTTTTTGAATAACTGATGGCGTCACGATATTGTTCTTGTCTAAACGTGCAATAAAAAACAAAAGTACGGGTCATTATGCACAATTATAGAGGAGTTCTACATGGACAACTACGCAGTCAGTTTAACGTAGGGAAATCATTGTCATACGAATTCCGAATGTAGAATCAGCTGTATGAGAGAGAAAGAAGTTTAAGAAAAGGTTAAAAAGGACATCATTGTAACAATGAATCGTTAATGAGAAAGTTATCGCCCTGTTTAACGTTGTTTTCTTGCATATATTGTTCATTGTATGTGAGAAAGAAATCTGAAAGCAGCATCAGAGAAAGAGAAAGAGAGAGGGCGTTGAAAGGTACAAGTATCTAACTAGGTGTCGTTACTTCGGACACTTTCTAATGGGAACCTTTACGACCTAGTTTCGTATACTTCCGGCACAGCAACTCGGTTTTGGGCGATTTAATAAAAACCATCAAATGCATCCCCACGGAAAGCGTGTGTATATGCCTACTACATACATCAGAGATATGGACAAAAGCTTTTGATATTTGTGAGACCTTGAAAATACGATATAGTCATTGACGTGTGCGTAATTGTACGGTTTTCGATCATGTCACCGTATTTCTGGGATGAACCTTTACATATTATATAGTATGGGGTGTTGATACTAAATCGGGGCCTAGTTTATCGATGTTCTGACCCGCAGTGGGGGCCTATGGTCACTGCTTAAATTCGACATGACATGCATGTCTTCCAGAAACTGAATTCTTTCATTGGCGAAGACTCCGAGAGAAACAAGGAATCCGCCGGGTTTACACTGAGGTCCAGCGAGAGCACGATGAGTCTCGGTACGTCACATGTTCTGCATTTCAGAGTAATCAAAAACAACCAATTAACTTCGATTTTTCACCCTTTTGGGATGATATACCTAAAAACCGGTCATACTCACAGGCCCTTGTGTCTTTGAGAGGGTTAAAGAGTTAAAAAATATTTTTGAGATGACCCCCGACTCGAAATACATCATGTCATGATTTCGTTGGGTCGGGGGTCATCTCAATTTTTAAAATATATTTTCTAATCTTTAATCCTCGAAAAGATACGAGGGCCTGTGGGCATACTGTGTAAATCAGACTGACAATCCATATAAAACATTTCAGTTGACAATGACAATAATACAGTACGAATGCCTATTCAGATATATGTCCTAGCCCCGATTTCTCGAAACAAACTTAAGTCTGAGTTTTAACTTAAGTTAGAGTTTTTACTCAAATTTGAAAAAGCGCAGGTAAGTGCATTTCCCAGAATAAACTGAAATCAATATTAAACTCAAATTTAGCAGACAATTTGAGTTTTGATGGATAGATTACTTAAGTTGTTTGGGGTTTTTTATTTAAAAAATCCAGTTGAGTTAAAGATTCAGCTGTTTCAAATTGTCAAACTCAGTTTGAAATTTGAGTAAAAACTTAAGTTTGTTTCGAGAAATCGGGGCCTGGTAATGTTTGTATATAAATGACCCCTATCTTCAGCAGATGAGGGGAATGGACCCAAAGACACTCCCGGAGATGACAATGACGGCTTGGATTATGCTGGTGTCGTCTTTGTTCCGGTCAGTAGCCGAATAAGGCCTTGCCTAATATCATATTTGTTTATTTGGCACAAGAATGGCCTTTTACGCCCGAGGTGCTGTCATTCGTTGGGCAGCGTTCCAAAGTCTTAGAGTGTGCCAGAACCGTATGACTTCGGTGCGAATATCAGATTCGTGGATTCCGAGTTTCTCAGTACAATACGCATGTTCGTGAGTTTCACCAATAGCTAAAAAACACAGGTCAATTTCCTGTTCATAACACCGTTAAAAGGCGCAGTGTACCTTTGGAAAACGTCATGCCTTTCAGAAAATGGTCAAATGTATCATATGTTATATTTGTGATAAACTTTCTCAATAAAGTACAAATTCATTTTCAAAGGGGCACACAAAGTACGTTATCTTTACTACCAGTTGTCAAGCTTACATTTTGTAAAAGTCGCGTTGGCTGTGTGGGTTAGATCACTGACTTCAGTGCCTCACACTGGTGGGACTAAACCCAAGAGGTACCAGAATCTGTACTTTACTGAGAAAGTGTAATCCCGAATATAACATAAATGTTAAGTTATTTATCCGGTTTCATTATTTTTTGGTTAAATAAGATTACACTTTTCGAAAAATTCAATGGATGACAGGAACACTTCAGAATGATTTTTGTGGTGCAATTAGTTGCAACCTACTTCTTTTAGGTGACTAATCTTGTAGATTGCTATTGTTTTGATTTAACCAGCCACACAATCTAACTTCGAAATTGATAATTATGCCTTTGGTTTGTAATCATATATATTGGCGGTGCTGAATGATGTAGGGATGTGTAAGCTTTAACGTTGCTAAATGTTCCTTAGTCTTCGACTGACTGACTGAGTTTAGTTTTACGTCGCTTTTAGCAATATTCCAGCAATATCACGGCGGGGGGACACCAGAAATGGGCTTCACACATTGTACCCATGTGGGGATTCGAACCCGGGTCTTCGGAGTGACGAGCCAACGCTTAAACCACTAGGCTACCCACCGCCCCCTTAGTCTTCGAGGAATTTTGACCGAAACATGAGGTTTCGTGATCTGTTTTTAGTCACACTGTCGTGTCATCGTTCCTTCTAGAATCGGGGGTCGTTGGGGTAGCCTGATGTTTTAAACGTTCGTTCGTCACGCCAAAGACTCGGGTATTATTCGCCACATTGGTGCTATATGAAGTTCATTTCTGGTGTTTCTGATATTGCTGGAATATTGCTGGAATATTGCTAAAACTCGGCGTAAAACTCATTCACTCACTTGTGCAATAATCCTGAACGCAACGTCAAACCCATTTTACCTCGCCTATTGCGTCTGTTAAATATTCGGAAACAACATTTCAAGTAAGGACCGTGTGTACATGCCTTCATCATTGTTGCACCAATCTCCCTAGGGTTTCTGGTATCGCAAGCAGTTTCTGCTGATGGACACCCCGGATCTGACCTCTGCCGACGAGTTCTACAGATGGATGTATGACCTTGACATTCAAACTATTGTCACCTTGGATCACGTGAGTTTACAGTTTAGAAAGAAAGTTTTCTACAGTCTTACATGCATCAAAGAAGCTCCTGGCATACACAACCTTTTAGAAATTAGTATAAAACAAATACTAGATAAGAATGACGAGAGATGCAAAGCTCCTTAACATGGGAAGATCCGGGTTAGAGTTGGTCTTCAGCAACCCATAATTCTTGTAAGAGGCGACTGACGGGATCGGGTGGTCAGACTTGCTGACTTGGTTGACACATGTCGTATCCCAATTGCATAGATCGATGTCCATGCTGTTGATCACTGGATTGTCTGGTCCAGACTCGATTATTTACAAACAGCCGTTATACAGCTTGAATATTGTTATGTGCGGCGTTAAATAACAAACCAACAAGATGACCTTCAAGATACCCATGTGGCGAGCTGAACCCGAGTCATCATTGTGTCGGGAGAACTTTTGGACCACACACGTACCATATCAATCAATCTTTATTTTTCTTTGTAGTGGAGGCCATAGGCCCAGGCTACACTTCAGGATTTCAGAGCGGTACATATGTGCATATATAGTTCAGAAGACAATACGTTAATCTACAAAGTATACAAAAGGAAATATGATATTATTGGCATAGAAGTGGATCTCTAAGTTTCATTGCATTGTGTATATAAATAGCTAGGTTTTTACAATATATGGATTGCCAGTTGACATGAGCATATTAAACTTATGAATAGTGGGATTCGAATAAAAGTTATGTGGTAAATACAAACATCTCAGATTTTGATAACATTTACATACCAAAATAGAATGAAATTCATTTTCAATAAAGTTATCTTTACATACAAAACATAATCTATTTGATCTGGGTTGATTAATATATCGACCGGTTTCAATTTGGAGGCGGTGTGAAGAACAACTGAATTTAGCAAGGGCCGATCGGAATTTTGAAATTGATAAATCTTTTATGTACAATTCAACATTAAATGAGATTTTAAAACAAGAATAAAGTGAAAATTTAGGACTATTTACAAGCGATGTGCGCCATTCTTGTTCATAACTTGCTCTTAATCTAAAAACAAATTCTGATATGAATTTATCGACATTACATAAATGTTGCTGCTGTTCCCACATAAAGCCAAATCCAAGAGTAAAGAATATTCTTAATTTTTGATGCCCAGTTTGTTTTACCATTTACAGAGTCTAAAACTAACATGTTATAACATTTCTTTACAAATCTGGAATCGGGCATTTTGCATATTTTACACCAATATTTAACAACTTTTTTATATATACATATATACATTTGATACTGGCCACATTCTCCCCTAACTACATGGTTCGAAGTCAACCGTTTGACGTTTAAAAAACGTTTACAACAAAACATATGTACAACTTCGACTTCTTTAAAATTATCAACTCCCCATATTTCAGCTCCATATCAGAAGACTTTAGGACATATTTGTTGAATTGTTGGTTGATTATAAGGTTGGTTTATTTGTTTAACTCAGCTTTTAGCAATGTTTAAGCTGTATGGCACCGGGCTGTAAATAACTGCGTTTTTACGATACAGCCAAGTAACTGACATCATGATCATCGATCAACAGAAGTACAATATACGGGGGAATTTCAAGGTCGATTGTGGTTGCAGTTGAGAAAAGCTGGTCAGTCATTAACGTCATCGATAGATGAAAGATTAGAAGTAGAAACTATTCAGGTCAACCACAGATTAAAGGGTAGTGGTCCCAGCCATTCGTGGGTACTATCTAATCCTGTGTTTTGTCTGTTCGCAGGATAATCCAAAACTGTGGCCAGAAGTCAATGACGTTGTTGAATTCGACAGTTGTCGGGTGACGTGCACAAGCAAGGAGACTCAGGGGCGTGCTGTCGTTAGAACGCTTGTTTACCAGGAGGAGGTAAGTACCGGATCACTCGTGAACATTTGTAAACTGTTTCCTTTAAATATCTATAAGTAGGATCTCACTCCCAGCAAACGGAAACATGTCAACAAGGACAATGAACGCCGGACATGGTCTGATAAATATCGACCCGCACATCAACCACAGACAACATTGAGACAGCGAAGTTGAAGTATTTTCGTTATATATTAAAATATTCATGGATGGTGTAAATGTATTTTAACTGGAAGCTATCCAGCTGTACATAACCCACGTGATTCACAACTGGTAATCACTCGCAATCAATCGAGTCTGGACCAGACAATCTCTATGTGAGATTGTGCCATATCTCCTGTATCATGCCACGTTGCATCATATCTCCTGTATCATGTCCCGCTATACCACATCTCCTGCATCATGTCACGTTGTACCATATCTCCTGTATCATGTCCCACTATACCACATCTCCTGTATCATGTCCCGCTATACCACATCTCCTGTATCATGTCCCGCTATACCACATCTCCTGTATCATGTCCCGCTATACAACATCTCCTGTATCATGTCCCGCTATACCACATCTCCTGTATCATGTCCTGTATCATACCATATCCATCTATGTATCATGTCCTGTATCACATCTCCTGTATCATATCCCGCTGTACATCTCCTGTATCATGTCCCGCTATACCACATCTCCTGTATCATGTCCCGCTATACCACACCACATACCACATCTCCTGTATCATGTCCCGCTATACCACATCTCCTGTATCATGTCCCGCTATACCACATCTCCTGTATCATGTCCCGCTATACCACATCTCCTGTATCATGTCCCGCTATACCACATCTCCTGTATCATGTCCCGCTATACCATATCTCCTGTATCATCCCCTGTATCATGTCCTGTATCATGTACAGCATCTCCTGTATCATGTCCCTATACCACATCTATACCACATCTCCTGTATCATGTCCCGCTATACCACATCTCCTGTATCATGTCCTGCTATACCACATCTCCTGTATCATGTCCCGCTATACCACATCTCCTGTATCATGTCCCTGCTATACCACATCTCCTGTATCATGTCCCGCTATACCACATCTCCTGTATCATGTCCCACTGTACCATATCTCCTGTATCATGTCCCCTATCATGTCCTGCCATCCCACATCTCCTGTATCATGGCCTGCTATACCACATCTCCTGTATCATGTCACGTTGTATCATATCTCCTGTATCATGTCCCGCTGTACCATATCTCCTGTATCATGTTCCACTGTATCATATCTCATGTATCATGTCTCGCTGTATCATATCTCCTGTATCATGTCCCGCTGTATCATATCTCCTGTATCATGTCCCACATCTCTTGTTTCATGTCCCGCTGTACCATATCTCCTGTATCATGTTCCACTGTATCATATCTCATGTATCATGTCTCGCTGTATCATATCTCATGTATCATGTCTCGCTGTACCATATCTCCTGTATCATGTCCCACATCTCATGTATCATGTCCCGATGTACCATATCTCCTGTATCATGTCCCGCTGTATCATATCTCCTGTATCATGTCCCGCTGTATCATATCTCATGTATCATGTCCCACATCTCATGTATCATGTCCCGCTGTACCATATCTCCTGTATCATGTCCCGCTATACCATATCTCCTGTATCATGTCCCACATCTCATGTATCATGTCCCGCTGTACTATATTTCCTGTATCATGTCCCGCTGTATCATATCTCCTATATCATGTCCCACATATCATGTATTATGTCCCGCTGTATCATATCTCATGTATCATGTCCTGCTATACCGCATCTCCTGTATCATGTCCCGATGTACCATATCTCCTGTATTATGTTCCACTGTACTATATCTCCTTTATCATGTCCCGCTGTACTATATCTCCTGTATCATGTCCCGCTGTATCATATCTCCTGTATCATGTCCCACATCTCATGTATCATGTCCCGCTGTACCATATCTCCTGTATTCTGTTCCACTGTACCATATCTCCTGTATCATGTCACGTTGTATCATATCTCCTGTATCATGTCCTGCTATACTGCATCTTCTGTATCATGTCCTGCTATACCGCATCTCATGTATCATGTCCCGCTCTACCATATCTCCTGTATTATGTCCCGCTGTACCATATCTCCTGTATCATGTCCCGCTGTACCATATCTCCTGTATCATGTCCCGCTGTACCATATCTCCTATATCATGTCCCGCTGTACCATATCTTCTGTATCATGTCCCACATCTCATGTATCATGTCCCGCTGTACCATATCTCCTGTATCATGTCCCGCTGTACCATATCTCCTGTATTATGTCCCGCTGTACCATTTCTCCTGTATCATGTCCCGCTGTACCATATCTCCTATATCATGTCCTGCTATACCGCATCTCCTGTATCATGTCCTGCTATACCATATCTCCTGTATTATGTTCCACTGTACCATATCTCCTGTATCATGTCCCACTATACCATATCTCCTGTATCATGTCCCGCTGTACCATATCTCCTGCATCATGTCACGTTGTATCATATCTCCTATATCATGTCCCACATCTCATGTATCATGTCCCGCTGTACCATTTCTCCTGTACTATGTCCCGCTGTACCATATATCCTGTATCATGTCCCGCTGTACCATTTCTCCTGTATCATGTCCCGCTGTACCATATCTCCTTTATCATGTCCTGCTATACCGCATCTCCTGTATCATGTCCTGCTATACCATATCTCCTGTATCATGTCCCGCTGTATCATATCTCCTGTATCATGTCCCACATATCATGTATCATGTCCCGCTGTACCATATCTCCTGTATCATGTCCCGCTGTATCATATCTCCTATATCATGTCCCACATCTCATGTATCATGTCCCGCTGTACCATATCTCCTGTATCATGTCCCGCTGTATCATATCTCCTGTATCATGTCCCACATCTCATGTCCCGCTGTACCATATCTCCTGTATTATGTTCCACTGTACCATATCTTCTGTATCATGTCCCACTATACCATATCTCCTGTATCATGTCCCGCTGTACCATATCTCCTGTATCCATATCTCCTGTATCATGTCCTATATCATGTCCTGCTGTCCATATCTCCTGTATGTCCACTGTTCCATATCTCCTGTATCATGTCCCACTATACTATATCTCCATATCTCCCTGTATCATGTCCCTATACCATATCTCCTACATGTCATATCTCCTGTATCATGTCCCGCTGTATCATATCTCCTGTATCATGTCCCACATCTCATGTCCTGCTGTACCATATCTCCTGTATTATGTTCCACTGTACCATATCTCCTGTATCATGTCCCACTATACCATATCTCCTGTATCATGTCCCGCTGTACCATATCTCCTGTATCATGTCCCGCTGTACCATATCTCCTGTATCATGTCCCACTGTACCATATCTCCTGTATTATGTCCCTGTATCTGTGTACCATATCTCCTGTATCATGTCCCACTATACCATATCTCCTGTATCATGTCCCACTGTACCATATCTCCTGTATATGTCATGTCTATGTCCTACATCTCCTGTATCATGTCCCCTGCTGTACCACATCTATCTCCTGTATCATGTCCCGCTGTACCATATCTCCTGTATCATGTCCCACTGTACCATATCTCCTGTATCATGTCCCACTATACCATATCTCCTGTATCATGTCCCGCTGTACCATATCTCCTGTATCATGTCCCACATCTCATGTATCATGTCCCCCTATACCACATCTCCTGTATCATGTCCATGCTATACCATATCTCCTGTATCATGTCCTGCTATACCATATCTCCTGTATCATATCATCTCCTGTATCATGTCCCGCTATACCATATCTCCTGTATCATGTCCCCTGTATCATATCTCCACATACCATATCTCCTGTATCATGTCCCGCTATACCACATCTCCTGTATCCTGTCCCGCTATACAATATCTCCTGTATCATGTCCCACTATACCACATCTCTTGTATCATGTCCCGCTATACCATATCTCCTGCATCATGGCCTGCTATACCATATCTCCTGTATCATGTACCACATCTCCTGCATCATGTCCCGCTATACCATATCTCCTGTATCATGTCACGTATTATCATATCTCCTATATCATGTCACGTTGTATCATATTTCCTGTATCATGTCCCGCTATACCAGCTGTTTTGCATATCTCATACAATGCCATGCAATGGTCACTATGTCCTGCAGGACCTCGAGGCTACGATGACCCACCTGACCTGTCCGGGATGGGTGGACTCCACCAACCTGTCGGAATCCCCCTACATTGTGATCGACTTTATCAAGACGGTCAAGCAAAGTATCATCGCCGACAGACCAGTTGTAGTTCAGAGCAGGTAATTTCGGGTTAACGTCACTTTACGCAACCATGACCTTGTCTTGGCTAAAGACGTTTCTTTTTCAGAATCTGTGTGGTATCTGGTAACGTTGGTTATGGACATCTGCCTCAAGATAAGATCCGTCTTATGCTCCATTGCTTCATTTTCTGGCAGCGTTTTACGTCGTTAACTTCATGACATGAAATCGTGTAGCTCTCAACAGTGTCCACAGACATCGTGACATTGGTAAAAGGGCCAGTTTACATGAAACTGAACCTTTTCTCTTGCACTTTTTCAGCATAACAAGTGTTCAATAAGTAGTTTTATAGCAAAACAGTACAGATATCACGAGTAACGAATATATTTTTTGTATGATATAGTTTCATAATCTGCACATGTACATTGGCCTTATTATAGTCCGTCAACTTTTGGCACCCTGTTTTTCACAATTTATATAAAACTCCTGAATATTTTCAAACACTACTCTGTTCATATGGTAATTGTATACCGTGACCTAACAAGATATCGATTTTGGTCATTTTAAAACGATTAGTAAAGATTTTGCCTTTAAACCTGTCATATAATAATAGTAAAATGTGGAGAGTTTTACGAGGGGTTAACGCACCTGATGGAAAAGCCAACAACACTGTAAAATGTGTGTCAGCGTGATATGTACATGCATGGGTTTTACATTAGCACGCTCAGGTGATGTCAAAGATCGTCAACACGCACAGGTTGTGGGGAAAACGATGTTGAACAAAGATGACCGGCAAATCATCAAAAGAGTTTACAACTTTTCAAGCGCGAGGCAAACTGAAAAACTCTCTTTTTTAATTGAATGTTTCTCCAAAAGACATTTAATGCCACGAAGATCTGTAAAAGAATATTGCATAGAGTTATCTCTCATGACACTATTTCAGAGCCTGACGATGACATGGCAGTTAAATAGGGGACCGTCTCAAAAAATGCAAAGAAAACAAAGCTTGATGAATTCGATAGAAGGGTTGTGAGGGACGTCATGCGTCGGTTACATCGATCCATATTGTCAAGCAAACTGAAGAAAATATTGTTCAAAAGAAAACCATGACATCATTGTATCAAAGCATACCATACGCAAGCTGTTGCTCAAATTTGGATATAGAAACAAGAGATCAAACAACCAGTCTTTAAAGACTTCAATGAATCTTCTTGCTTAAATTGGATTTATGATGATTATAGAGTCCCTGTAGATTTGCTTGCAGGCGTAACAATGTAAACAAGATGCACGCGTGTCACACCATGTTGTTGGCTGTTCCATCGTATCACTTTACTCCTCCCTTGTATAACTACTTCTATTTTTCATGTTTTTATAAGATGGCTTCTTAAGAACAAGCTTTAATAATTGACATAAAATTCTTAAATTTAAACCTTGGATAGGTCATAAGATATAAAGAGCGTATGCACAAAAACTTTTTGAAGGCATTTTTGGTTAAAAGGTATATTGTGAAAAACAGGGTGCCAAAAGTTCAATTGACGGACTATAGGCCCATTGAAAGGACTGTAGATACAGGTGGGTGTTTCTTGAGCCTGCATGTAGCCTACAGTTCTAACCCTCGTGTTGCCTCGCCGTCGGCTGGCTTTAAGCACTGGTCAGTTGAAGTGTAGCTCCCCATAAAGGTCAAGACACATTCTTAACAAACTGGGCCGCTGTTTTATGATGTCAATTATATCATAATAACCATGCAGTTATGATTAAAGTTATGTTGACACTAGTGTTGGGAATTGGTGAAAACCTCATAATTGATGATTGCTTCATTACAACCGATCAATCATCGAAAATAGTTGGTTAGCGTCATTAATGAAATTTTCCTGTTTTTTTGTTGTTGTTTTTTGTTAATGAAAATTTCACATCTTGAGAGGATTACTACTTAACTAATATGTAAGGAACATAAAATTCCATGACTCTTTAAGATAAATGTAATCATGACTTGAAACAAGCCTGTAGTGGTTATGAAATGTAACTTACAAAACCAACCTTGTGAAAAATATTGTTAATGCAAAAAAGTGTTCCAGAATTGTTTGTGTTCGATTATGAGAAAACATGATCGATTGCTTGGTCGTTTAGTCACTGCGACCAATCTTCGATCATTTCAATTAATCGGACCACCACTAGTTGACACAGAATAGTGCTATGTTTCAACTCTCATGACGATACCGTAACGCTATATCCTTGTGTTAACGTCACCGTTAACGTGGTTTCAGTTCCGGTTAACCTATATACTGTACAATGGTTTAGTTTATATTATGTTTCATTCGCGTCCCTTCAGGTTTTGGTGTTTTGTTGTAACGCCGCACCCAGCAATATTCCAGCTATATGACATTTGCTCAGCTGATAGGGACAGATAACACGGGTAGCTACTGTGCAAGCGCTGTCTCTTAATACAATTGTCGCATTGTTGCTATTTACTCAGCTGACATATCCTGGCATCATCATCAGTGCAAATTTGGGATTCGAACACATGATAAGCGGATCTGGGATTGCTTATGGTTGGTTGTTGTTTAACGCCGCGCTCAGCAATATTCCATCTATATGGCGGCGTTCTCTAAATAATCGAGTCTGGATCAGACAATCCAGTGATCAACAGCATGAGCATCGATCTACGCAGTTGGGAGACGATGACGTGTGTCAACCTAGTCAGCGAGACTGACAACTGATCTTGTTAGTCGCCTCTTATGACAAGCATGGGTTACTGAAGACCAATTCTAACCCGGATCTTCACTGGGGCCCGGTCACGCAATCATATATATTGTACAGACCGCCGCCATATAGCTGGAATATTGCTGAGTGCAGCGTTAAACAACAAACCAATCAACCAACATATATTGTAACGTCATGTTACGGTAACGCTCTTAAGCACCTTAATGGCGTATGTTACGTTACATTTCAAGCCTGCTTAGCTCCCCACTGTCCACCTGCACCTTTAACCGTAACGTGTATTCCAGTCCGTCACACGGTAACGGAGGTATATTCTGCTGTGTGTCGACTATGATGGACCAGGCGGAGGCTGACCAGACAGTGGCCATCCCACACGTCATTTCCCAGGTTCGAGCCTACAGACCAGAGGTCATCCGGGAGCATGGTGAGTTCGTGATCAAAATGACATAATGTGGTTTGCTTTAAAACTGCTTTCACGTTATTTCCTTTCATGTCACAGTCATAATTCAAAATGATGACATATTTTAACTACATGTATATAGGTCCTTTCAAATTATCCAGAATTTTTCATTCAGTGTTTCAATCGAATTTTTGCCAATATTGCCACTTTTCATTGTTGACGGTATATGTAGTGACGTCATAAGATGATGACGTCAAACTTTGACCTCATATTGATCGTGTTTTGCACGTGCTTCCTGTTTAAACGTCTTCCCTCCACGTGACAGTGACAATCATTTCTTAAAATCAGTAAGATAGATAGTGTAAACGTTTCTGTGTTATATGTATTTTGATAATTATGAGATTCGTTATTTCTTCAGGCGGAATACAACCTGTGCTATCAATGTGTGAAGAGCCATCTTGACGACACCCACGTGTACACCAACTACTAGACGCTCGACCAGGGATGGTGACAGGTGCTGGAGTATTGGTCGTGTCTGACAGAGGCGTGGTAGCATGTGTTGGATTGCTGTTAGGGATAGTAGAACGTGATAGTGTCTGATGTGGACTAAGGGTAGTGACATGCAGTGGCATGTGTTGGATTGCTGGTAGGGATAGTAGAACGTGATAGTGTCTGATGTGGACTAAGGGTAGTGGCAGTGGCATGTGTTGGATTGCTGGTAGGGATAGTAGAACGTGATAGTGTCTGATGTGGACTAAGGGTAGTGACATGTAGTGGCATGTGTTGGATTGCTGGTAGGGATAGTAGTACGCGATAGTGTCTGATGTGGACTAAGGGTAGTGACATGTAGTGGCATGTGTTGGATTGCTGGTAGGGATAGTAGTACGCGATAGTGTCTGATGTGGACTAAGGGGGTAGTGACATGCAGTGGCATGTGTTGGATTGCTGGTAGGGATAGTAGTACGCGATAGTGTCTGATGTGGACTAAGGGTAGTGACATGTAGTGGGATGTGTTGGATTGCTGGTAGGGATAGTAGTACGCGATAGTGTCTGATGTGGACTAAGGGTAGTGACATGTAGTGGCATGTGTTGGATTGCTGGTAGGGATAGTAGTACGCGATAGTGTCTGATGTGGACTAAGGGTAGTGACATGTAGTGGCATGTGTTGGATTGCTGGTAGGGATAGTAGTACGCGATAGTGACGGATGTGGACTAGAAGGTAGTTACATGTTGTGACATGTAGTGGCATGTGTTGGATTGCTGGTAGGGATAGTAGCTGGGGATGGTGACTGATGGACTAGAGGGTAGGACATGTTGTAGTGACATGTAGTGGCATGTGTTGGATTGCTGGTAGGGATAGTAGTTGAGGGATGGTGACGGTGTGGATGTGGACTAAGTTGTAGTGACATGTAGTGGCATGTGTTGGATTGCTGGTAGGGATAGTAGAACGGGATAGTGTCTGATGTGGACTAGAGTAGTGACATACAGTGGCATGTGTTGGATTGCTGGTAGGGATAGGTAGATAGTGTCTGATGTGGACTAAGGGTAGTGACATGCAGTGGCATGTGTTGGATTGCTGGTAGGGATAGTAGAACGTGATAGTGTCTGATGTGGACTAAGGGTAGTGACATGCAGTGGCATGTGTTGGATTGCTGGTAGGGATAGTAGAACGCGATAGTGTCTGATGTGGACTAGAGGGTAGTTACATGTTGTATTGGGGGCAGGCGTAGTGGCATGTGTTGGATTGCAGGTAGGGATAGTAGCTGGGCGATAGTGACGGATGTGGACTAGAGGGTATGTTGTATTGGGGCAGGCGTAGTGGCATGTGTTGGATTGCTGGTAGGGATATTAGTTGGGGATAGTGACGGATGTGGACTAGAAGGTAGTTACATGTTGTATTGGGGGCAGGCGTAGTGGCATGTGTTGGATTGCTGGTAGGGATATTAGCTGGGGATAGTGACGGATGTGGACTAGAAGGTAGTTACATGTTGTATTGGGGCAGGCGTAGTGGCATGTGTTGGATTGCGGGTAGGGATATGAGCTGGTAGGGATATTAGCTGGGGATAGTGACGGATGTGGACTAGAAGGTAGTTACATGTTGTATTGGGGCAGGCGTAGTGGCATGTGTTGGATTGCGGGTAGGGATATGAGCTGGTAGGGATATTAGCTGGGGATAGTGACGGATGTGGACTAGAAGGTAGTTATGTTGTATTGGGGCAGGCGTAGTGGCATGTGATTGCGGGTTGGATATTGCTGGTAGGGATATTAGCTGGGGATAGTGACGGATGTGGACTAGAGGGTAGTTACATGTTGTATTGGGGCAGGCGTAGTGGCATGTGTTGGATTGCGGGTAGGGATATGAGCTGGTAGGGATATTAGCTGGGGATAGTGACGGATGTGGACTAGAAGGTAGTTACATGTTGTATTGGGGCAGGCGTAGTGGCATGTGTTGGATTGCGGGTAGGGATATTAGCTGGGGATAGTGACGGATGTGGACTAGAGGGTAGTTACATGTTGTATTGGGGCAGGCGTAGTGGCATGTGTTGGATTGCGGGTAGGGATATGAGCTGGTAGGGATATTAGCTGGGGATAGTGACGGATGTGGACTAGAAGGTAGTTACATGTTGTATTGGGGCAGGCGTAGTGGCATGTGTTGGATTGCGGGTAGGGATATGAGCTGGTAGGGATATTAGCTGGGGATAGTGACGGATGTGGACTAGAAGGTAGTTACATGTTGTATTGGGGCAGGCGTAGTGGCATGTGTTGGATTGCTGGTAGGGATATTAGCTGGGGATGGTGACGGATGTGGACTAGAGGGTAGTTACATGTTGTATTGGGGCAGGCGTAGTGGCATGTGTTGGATTGCGGGTAGGGATATTAGCTGGGGATAGTGACGGATGTGGACTAGAGGGTAGTTACATGTTGTATTGGGGCAGGCGTAGCGGCATGTGTTGGATTGCTGGTAGGGATATTAGCTGGATGCTGAAATAGGAGATAGTGACAAAAGCGGAAATACGGGGTAGTGGCAGTTGCTGAAATAGGAGGTAGTCATAGATGCTGAAATATTGGGTAGTGTCAGTTGCTGAAATGGGGGTAGTGTCAGTTGCTGGAATAGGAGGTAGTGGCAGTTGCTGAAATAGGAGGTAGTGTCAGTTGCTGAAATGGGGGTAGTGACAGTTTCTGAAATGGGGGGTTGTGTCAGTTGCTGAAATAGGGGTTAGTGGCAGTGGCTGAAATAAGAGGTAGTCATAGATGCCGAAATATGTGGTAGTGTCAGTTGCTGAAATGGGGGTAGTGTCAGTTGCTGAAATAGAGGTAGTGACAGATGCTGATATAGGGGTAGTGACAGATGCTGATATAGGGGTAGTGACAGTTTCTGAAATGGGGGGTTGTGTAAGTTGCTGAAATAGGGGTTAGTGGCAGTGGTTGAAATAAAGGGAAGTGACAGATCCACCACTGACACAGTGTTCACATCAAGCTTGTAGATATACGCGGTATAACAACGTTGACTGATGCTCTTGTCTTCAAAGGGTTTGTCACTCGTGGCCATATCACACTCTTACAGAAAACATTGTTGACAGCCCAACAAGGTGTCATGGATTATATATTGTTACTTTATATGTTACCGACCTTAAACAACTGTCAAGTTCAGTTGTGTGAAAGATTTTATTTACAGCTTTACACATGTCATATATATGTATATACAATCAATAAATTGCATAATCCACAGTCCACAATAGTTGTGTTTGAATGACCGAGAGGCCACAAACACGTTCAAACAGAGGTCATGATTCATAGTGAGTGAAGGAGTGAGTGAGTGCGGTTTTACGCCACTTTTAGCCATATTACAGTGGGTGACACCACAAATGGGGTTCAACTGTTGTACTGTTGGGGATTGAACCCGGACTTGGTTGTGACGAGCGAACACTGTGACTACATGACCATGAATGGACTAGCCACTGACTGTTACATCGATTTGTCTTTCTGTAATTCTTCATTTATTTATTTGCTTTTCGAAAAAATGCAAAGTGACTTGCTGGCGATGAATGTTTATGATCTGATTGGTAAATATAGCTTTTTGCAAGCTATGCTAAGAACGTAGTTTTAACTTGAATCAAAATGGAGAGCGACAGGAGTTCTGTTTTGACATGAAAATAGCATGTATTTTGTATAGACGTACAATCACAATTGGGTATTTATAGAGCGCTATAGTCCATCCCACATGCATGCTCAAAGCGCGTCTTTGTTTTTTCCCTCGATCATTGGATGTCAATCTCAGCGGCACTTCATATTATTAATCTCAACTAGGCGCACAGAGTTAATGTGACTTTCCCATCCTTTCGAGGTACCCATTCACAGCTGGGTGGGCTGGGACACATAATCACAGTACACAATTATGAAAACATAATTATGAATCGACAGCCTATGATAAAATCTGGTGTGAGGGTTACCTGTTTTAAGAAAAACAATTATTGGTTTAATAATATTATGAGACGTGTGTGGGTGATTTATTATAATACAATGAGTTGTGATGTTGATGATTCATTAACGGTTACTAGTTGTGTGAGCGATCAAACTGATATAAAGTGTATAGCAGATTAATGTGAACACTATTCTGGACACAGGCGTGCAACAGACTATTCTGAACACATGTTTGCACAGACTATTCTGAACACATATTTGCAACAGACTATTCTGAACACATATTTGCAACAGACTATTCTGAACACATATTTGCAACAGACTATTCTGAACACATATTTGCACAGGCTATTCTGAACACAGGTATGCAACAGGCTATTCTGAACACAAGTTTGCACAGACTGTTCTGAACACATGTTTGGAGCAGACTATTCTAAACACACGAGTGCAACAGGCTGTTTTGAACACATTTGTGCAACAGACTATTCTGGACACAGGTGTGCAACAGACTATTCTGAACACAGCTCCTTAACAGATTGCTCTGAACACAGCTGCGCAAAAGATTAGTCTGAACGCAGGTGGGTAACGGATTAGTCTGAACACAGGTGCATAATAGATTAGTTTCAACACAGGTGTGTGGAAAGATTATAATAGTATGTAGATTTTCAACACAGGTGTGTGAAAGATTAGTCTGAACATAGGTAACAGATAAATCTGAACACAGATGTATTCCAGGTAAACGTGACCACATAACAAGATTCTATTTATCACAGTCTAATCATTCTCCTTATTCACGAAATGGACACTCATATCTTCCGGCTTTTTACCCCGGAGCCGTAGTACGAGATACAGGGCAGTGGTCCCTAGCAGCACACCCAGGACCAACATCCCAACAGCAAGACCCGCCTTTGCCCCTGTAATAGACAACACGTGACATGGTCACATGACAATGGTATCCTGCCACTACGCAGCCAGGCAGTTCGCAGACGCCATATAACAACAATGGAACTACAAATTCTTGATGAAATGTAAGAGATTATTAGCTCCAGTTCATCACGATGTCCATCAAGGGAGCACAATATTGCACATATACACTAAATTAACTTTGGGATAAGTCATAAGCGTTCACCTGAATCATCTTGGGGCTTCGTAAGGTATTGATAGTGGAGTGCCGCATTGGGGTCGTATGGAATACTGCCTTTTATAAGTGTACCTGAAAGATGGAAAAAAGGTTTAGTCGTTGAATGACATGTTTGTTTTCCTGCGTTATTACGTTATCAGAATATTTTAGTAGTGGTTGTCATGGTGATGTAGCGTTGAAACAGCATTTCTTACGGTTGTCATGGTGATATAGGTTTGGAAATACTACAACGGATATCGCCATGGTGATTACTTTTAGAAGAGCTAATAATGGATGTCCTGGTGCCATAGTAGAGGGAGTTATATTGGTAGTTGTCATGGTGATGTAGCGTGAATGTCTATCCTACTTGTTACTCGGAGGTAATACATCTGTCGGCTTTTAATTTTTATATAGCGGTGTGGGAACTGTGCTACTGGGGTGAGTGAGTTTAGTTTTACGCCACTTTTACAATATTCCAGCTATATCACGACGGGGACACCAGAATGGGCTTCGCCCATTGTACCCATGTGGGGAATCGAACCCGGGGCTTCAGCATGACGAGCGAACGCTTTAACCACTAGGCTACCCCACCGCCCCAGTGTTAATGGAGATCGTCATGGTGATATGGTCAAGTCGACAGTGATGTCATTTACTGCGCCATCAGGACATAAAAAAACATACTGTTTTGGAACATCAGAGGTGTATAACGGAATTATAATACCTCTAAATTTGATTTAAAATCGAACACATTGCGTGGGGTTTTAAATAAAAAAATTAGAATGACTTTAATTAACCATTTTTTATTTAAAACCTCACGCTGTGCGTTTGGTTTTAAATCAAGTTTAGAGCTACTATAATTTCGTTATATAACTCTGATTTTCCAACACAGTGCGTTTATCTCCACTTTACCATATCCGTGTTTTTAAGATTTAAAAAAATACATACTGTGTTGGAAAATCAGAGGTATATAACATGATTATATACCTCTGAATGACTTTATTTAACCAATCACAATCCAGTGTTTGTTTAAGTCAGGTAGAATACGGGTTCACTCACGTGTGTACAAGTCACATATCTTATCAGGGACGACCGTGACGGGATTACTCCTGGGCTGGGCAGAGGACAGTCTACAGTCTGTTGTATTGCCACAGAACTCAAAGCTCTTGCACTCGAAGCCGCTCTGCTCCACGCATAACTTTGCACAGGCGTCTCTTGTGACGTCGGACACCACGATGTCGTCATGGCTGCTGATGACGCTGTTGCTAGTTTTGCTGAAGTCGTATACGTAGTTTCCTATTGGAGAGAACGACAAATGAGGGAGTATGTTCTACATCAAACCTCCTGCTTTATACATGATACCCATCATGGGAGTCGAACTCAGACCTTCGGGGCGAACATTATAATTACAACTCCCCAACCGAACAATGAGTTATTTGTGTTGAAGTTTTCGAAAATCTCATCAAACAAATCTGTTTTTACAAATATGTGCAATGACCTTGGACATAAAAACGTTCGCGTGGGTAACACAGGTTCAGTTCTGTTTTGCTTGCAGTCTTGGTAATAATTTTCAATAAACTCCTAATGAACGATAAATTATGTATTAATTAATACACGAGTTTTGCAAAATCATACAAACGACCTTAAAAAGACAATGGGTGGTTTATAATGCATTTAAGTGTTTAAGTGTTTACTTTGAATTAAGAATTGTTGAAACTAAAATATCAAATTGAATACAGTTTGTGCATACTGTGCTTATATTTGTTTACCGTGAATTCATATGACCGTTTTGCTGTGTAATACTGACAAAACCGTTTTTTAGCAAAAACAAACAAAAACATTTTTCCGAAAGAAGGAATAAATGACCAGTTGTTCACACTTTCAGTATCTCAAACAGCTGTTTGATCATGTGCATGCACGCATTTGCGTTTATTATTCCAATAAGTTTTTAAATATTGCAGCTCACTGGAATAGTGATCACACATTGGGCTGGCGACGACGGACGTATCTGGCACCTCCAGTATGTGTTGTTTCCGGAGACCACAAGACTTGAGGTTGGGGCAGTAGTCGAAGCTCTTGCAGTCGAAGTCGGTGGTGAGGGAGCAGCTCTTGGCGCACATGTCGGGGGAGTTGACTGATTCCAGATTTTTGTCGGCAGGTGTCAGCAGGACCTGGCCGGGGTACTTGTTGAAGTCGTACACATAACTCTCTGGGGAAGACACGTGTCTCTCTTTAGTACAAATGCAGTTTACTGGGAACACATCCGCCATGTTTGGTTCATGTTTCTTAATAATAATAATAATAATAATAAGTACATTTATAATGCGCCAAATCCAGACACAAAGTGTATGCTCATAGCGCTACATAAGAGATTCTGACATCACGAGGTTAAGAGATAGCGGCTAGAAATGATTAGAGTCTATAGAGCTGAGTGAAGAGAAATGTTTTGAGACTGTCTTTGAACATTTGCAGAGTAGAGATTCCTTTAAAGATCACATATACTCTAGGGGGGTACAAATATATAAATCACTAACTGGCATCGCATTAAATGAAACCCCGACATTAAAACTACTCACTTCGGTCTTTAATTAACTTAAATCGACCTTTTTGACAACAGTGCACAATTCTCACCCGCGAACGAAATTTCAACCAATCAGTGCGGGGCGTCTCTGTGACGTCATATGAGGAATAGATATGAGGGCCGATGCAGAATTCATTTACATTTCAGGGGGTAAATTATCTTGTTTACAGGTTTGTATAAACCTAAAATCGTGACAACTGTTGTGGAAAATGAAAGCTATATGTTCTCACAATCTACTGTCATTTAATTTTGTCTCCTGCTTTGCCTAGTTTCCGAGTTACAACTTGTTTTCATAGACGATTCTGTCAAAATCGCTTGGTGTCGTTAGGCCTTATTTGTATAATGACTGATCCAAATTGATCCTATTTCTGTGTTTTTTTACCTCGATATTTAATCATGTCATGTAAAAATCTGTTTGTATTCTCATAACAGTGTCGGCCCATAAGTTTTCACATGCAATACAGCAATTAATACTCCCTTGTTGTAACCCGTGTTAGGGGGTATAAACCTACACATGTTATTTGTCATCATTCACTTGATGGTCAGTTAATGAATTTATAACAGGTATAATTAGTGGTAACACACTTCAATTACCCGACAAAGGTTCCCATTTGGCATTTCTTGTGTCTGGAGTAAATACTCAACATTATAAACATCGATCAAAGGATTAACCGATAACACGCTGATTGATTAATTACTTTTATCTTACACAGCGGATTTGTCAAAAGGTAGTGTTTATATATGTCCATTTACTAATCTATACTGAATACACTCTGTCGTGTCGGTGTCTGCGTAAAAACAACGTCCTTCTTTCAAAGGATTAACCGGCAATACATTGATTGATTGCCCATTATTGGCTAACTAAATTACTGTTTTTAAAGAAAGGCGGACATTATGCAGTTAGTTGCCAGGTGTGCTATCTTGGGTGACCAATGAGACTATACACCAATGTGACATACCTGAAACGATATATCACTTTTTCGTATAGTAGACTGTTAAAAGACACATTACTTAGAACAGCTGCAGATGAATGGCATATCACTCGTTTTTGTGGATATTAATGGATACATTCCTCGAACAAGGTAATAGCCTGACATTGTTCCTATAAATTTAATCTGTTTTAATTTTAATATTTGCATTTTGTTTTTATTCATTTGTGGTAGCATTCAACAGAATCATTGTTTTCGCCGTGAAGTGTAATGAGACAGACAACATACACTAGGGTGTGTGTGCGAATTATGATTCACATTGGCAAACTATAAAATGTCTAGATATTACAGTTCTGTTATAAATTCACTATAAGTATCAGCAGATCGTCTGCTTTTTATTTAGTTTCAAAATGCATACAAGTATGATAATAAACTAATTAGGATTATAAGACCAAATATAAAGACGCACATTGACTAGAATCTACATACTGGTGAGTGGACATTAACCATGTGAATGTAACTTTATCGCGCAGTATTGTGACTTCGACCCCCACCTCGCTTCCGTGGAAGAAATCGTTATGTTATAAGTTGTGTCATGCAAAATCCTTTTGGTTATGATTCCAATACATATTTAACTACGAGTAGAAGTAGTTTTGATTTTCTAACTTGATGAAAACAAACCATAATCTCATTAATTCTAACAGACTTTAGCCCGTCACTTTACGATTTTCAAAAATGGCGGCGCCCTGTCGCAAACATCCGCCGGTCTGAGGATAAATGTTATTTAGGTTTGTTTTCACCGAGTTACAAAATCAAAACTACTTTCTACTGGTAGTAAAATATATATTTGATTGATGGCCAATAGGATTTTGCATGACATAGCTTATAACATAACAATTTCTCTCGTGGCAGCGAGGTGGGTGTCAATATAATACTACTTACAATATTATTGTTACTTCGACCACAACCTCGCTTCCGAGGAAGACATCGTTATGTTACAAGTTGTGTCATGGAAAATATTTATGGTCATCAATCATATACATATTTTACTACAACTAGTAAGTATCCAAGATATTTTTATGGATTAAACTTCTTTTTAATTTCTCTCACGACGTTTCGAGACCATTCCTGATGAAGGGCCCTGGAATGGTTTTGAAACGTCGTGAGAGAAATTAAAAAGAAGTTTAATCCATAAAAATATCTTGGACATCAATGTACAACTTCTAAATGCAACTGAAAGACAACTAGTAAGTAGTTTTCATTCTTTTACTTCCGTGAAGCGATCTGAATACAAGTAAGATATCGTTTCAGGCTTCCACAACGGTCGCTTCGCACTCACAAACATAACCCATTTAGCACGAACTGCGGGGTCCTGTGGAAATCTGTGCATGGTGACACCATCGCCCGACCCCTAGGAGCAATTGACGACAAAGCAACGATTCGGCATGTCGTCGTTCATGTCGAGAAATCATCAACATGATGAGCGTGCTACACACTTTTTATACAACTAACTGAAAATCGTTCCTCATATGACGTCACTGCAGTGCTCTGGCGACAGAGTTACGTAACCTGTCTGTGGTTTCGTTGGCGGGCGAGAGTGAAGCAGGCGACTTTTTGGCAACTGTTATTCGCTCGGTATTAATTAACAACAAGTTTTTTAAGAATAAATTTGGTGTTCCGCATAAGTCTAACCACAAATCTTTCATATGTAATAGTTAAAAGAGTACAAAAAAACAAAGTTTATTTGTTCTTTAAGATAATCTGGGAGTTTATTCCAGAGAGTGGTGGCATTGTAAGTAAATGATCTCTGACCAAATCGTCTCAGACGTGGGGTTGGAACAGAGAAGAGATGTTGTTGGGCAGATCGGAGGACTCTAGATGGGTGGTAGACTTGTGTGAGTTCAGACAGGTAGGAAGGCGCTGATTGGTGATAACACTGATAAGCCAGTGCAAGCACTCTATACTGAACACGTGCATCAACAGGTAGCCAGTGCAGTTTCATCAGTATGGGCGTGATGTGCACAGATTTCTTTGATCGTGTCACTATCCTTGCGGCAGAATTCTGAATGCGCTGAAGCCTGGACATTTGTTCATTGGTGATGTTACATAAAAGACTATTACAGTAGTCCAGCTTGGATAGCACTGAACTCCTGACAAGCATATGGGCAGTATCAGTAGACAGCAGGTGCCGGATGTTGCCGATGTTCCTGAGATGATAGTGACAAGCTCTGCAATTCATAGTGATGTGCTGATCCATTGACAGGTCATTGTCGAGGATAACTCCCAGATTTCTAACACAGTCAGTGAAAAGAACCTGGGACTGTCCAACACTAAGAGATGAAACATTTGCCTTGTTCCGCTTATCCCGTGTACCAATCAACATGGCTTCTGTCTTGTCTGTGTTTATTTTCAACATGTTTGTGTTGATCCAACACTGAATGTTGCTGGTGCAGATACCCATATGAGAGACAGCAGTCTGGGCGTTCTGAGGCAGGAAGGAATCAAGTAACTGAGTGTCATCAGCGTAGAAATGGTGACCAATATTCATGGATGAGATGAGTTTTCCCAGATCAGAGGTGTAGATGGTAAATAAAACTGGACCTAGAACAGATCCTTGAAGAACACCACATTTCAACAGAGTCTTGCTGGAGGAAACCCCTTGGATAACAACAGATTGAAACCTGTCAGTGAGGTAGGATGCGAACCAGTCCAAAGCCACTCCATCTATGCCAATGGAATTCTTCAAAGTTCCAATGAGTCTCTCGTGATCGATTGTGTCGAAGGCGGAGGACAAGTCCAACAACACTAATAGGCCCACCTTACCACAGTCGCATGTTGTAAGTAACTCATTGGAAACTCCCAGAAGCGCCGTTTCAGTACTGTAGCCAGGTCGATAAGCTGATTGAAACTTATCAAGAAGGGAGTATCTTGAAAGGTGTGATGAAAGCCTCATCTTCACAGCCCTCTCAATTAATTTTAACAAAAATGTCAGGTTAGAAACGGGACGATAATTCTTTAGTTCTGAGTTATCAAGTCCTTGTTTCTTAATGAGCGGACCTACAACTGCCTCTTTAAGAACCTTAGGAACTGTTCCAGACTGGAGACTCTGGTTAACAATCCTGGTGATGACTGGAAGAAGTAAGTCCATGTAAGTCAGCAGGATCTGTGTAGGAATAGGATCAAGGCTGCACGTGGTTGGCTTACTGGACTTGATAAGAGAGAGGACATCTTGTTCAGAGAAAGCTTCAAGTATGTCCAGTTTTTCTCCCACAAACTGAACCGGTACATGATCAGCATTCGAGTTTTTCCCAGAAAGTGTTACATGGAAATTTTGACGTATCTTGTCAATCTTATCCACGAAGAAATTATTGAACTTTTCAACAAGTACATCATTAGTGTTAGCTGGAGGGAGAACAGTATCTTTCTTTCTGCCCATCAGCGCAAAGATAAAGTTGTATAGAGCACTGGATGAGTCCTTGCATTCTATAACCTTAGATGCACAATATTCACCTTTTGCTCTCCGAATCTTTTGAGCTAAAACATCATGGTTGTACCAAGGAGTACTTGTTTTCTGTTTAATTATCTTTGTGCATGGGGGAGCATGTTTATCAAAAAGGGTTTTCAAGGTGTTATTATAAGTGTCACACAAGTCATCAAGATCTTCTGGGGGATCAGAGACAAGTTTTGTATTCCTCAGGTCGCTGGCAAACGAAAGCGTATCCATGTCCTTAAGATTCCGACAAGTGACATCTACGTACTCAATCGGAGGACCGGAAAGTGAGAGATTGAAGATGATCATAAAATTATCAGACAACTGTCTATCTTCAACAGAGACACTTTTTATCAACTCACAGTCACTCCTTGTAGCCACCCAATCAATGACGTGGCCATTTTTATGTGTAGGAACATTCACATGCTGAACAATACCATGAGCGTCAAATAACTTCCTGATTCGTATCACTTCTGAACATGCCATCTTTTCAAAGTGAACATTGAAGTCTCCCATGATGAGTATACACTTTTGTAAATGGCCGTCTAGAAAAGAAGTAATATCCTGATAAAACTGTGATACCCGAATCTTGTTTGCATTTGAAGGAGGGGGTCAAAAAAGACAAACTGTCCTAAGATTGACTTTGGAATAGGATATCAACCCTTCCATTAGTTCAAAGGAATCATACACAGAGACTGAAGTATCAATAATTCTTATCTTCAGTGATGTCCTGTGAATAACTGCCACTCCACCTCCAGTAGTATGCCTCCGAGGAACATGTAGCAACTTGTATCCGCTAGGAGTCATTTCAGCAATTAGCGAGTCGTCTCCCTTTTCTCTCAACCATGATTCAGTAATAAACAAAGCATTCAAATTGTCATCAATGATCATGTCTGCGATATCAAGAGTTTTATTGCCAGAGGACTGGGCATTCCACAATGCCATTTATAAGGGACGTTTCTGTTTTTGTTTTGGATGTATATGGATTAAGTTATCACAGTTTACAGCCCTTGAACAAGGGATGTCACTGCGTTGTCCATAGCTACAGGAAACAATGGGAATCCTTCTTTGTTTCTTACGCCCGGCACGACAGGGGCACTTTTTACTTAATGAGCTACTTAATAAGCCACGTGCGAGTGCGTCACAGTTTGAAATACTGGAGTGAGTATACGTTTACGCCGCAATTAGCAATATTCCAGCAATATCACGACGGGGGACACCAGAAATGGGCTTCACACCATGTGGGAATCGAACCGGGGTCTTCGAGGTGACGAACGAACACTTTTACCACTATGCTAGCCACAGCCAGGAAATACGGGACAATATACTTCAAAGTAAGCCTTTGTGTACGTTCATGTGATTCCGGATTTATATTAAATATCAAACCAATATTTCATAAACGTCTAAAATATGGACTTCAAGATCGAAAAGGTACCCGGAAATGATGATCGGAATGGCATGAGACAAGTTACGTTCATCGGACCTCTTTTTAACATACCTCTTTTTAAATTTGCTGACAGAGATGGCATTTACAGAGGCATTTAATTTAAGCTGTTGTGTTGGAGCAAAGCTTCAGAAACCCAGAAATCTTACTGAGGAAGGGGTTTGTGCACACACATTACCAAATTGGCGGAAGATAGCCTGTAAATGTATTCCTGCGATGTTTTCGATAGCATGTAATTATCGTGTTTTTGTCCCTATTTCGAGGTCCTTGTTGTGCATAGCAGGACATCAGAGCCACTGATAGTGACCACACATTGATTCAAGGCGTTGTGAAGAATTTGCGTCCCTTAGACGCAGAGGATCCGATGATCCGAATTGATTACGAATTTGGTCTGTCGGCACATAGCGTGCTCGTGACTTCAACAGGAAAGTTAAGCAACACGCTTCAATAGCCACTTGGTACTACACTGACAAAGCCATTCCGAGGAGCAACAGACTCCTCTGCCCTTTGTTTAAGGAGAAGATCGACCGTCAGCATTTTGTTTCAAAACGACACAGCTCTGTTAAGGTAATATTAATGGGATACGGTTGAATATACCTAAGGCTCATTACTTTCCACGTCTATCCGTGTCCCAGTTACTTGGGAAAATGAGGTGTGGTTGCGCATGCTTTTGTAACTTTTGTGTGATTAAAATATGTTATTAATCTGATGTAATGATGCGTTTTATCATTATTCTCTTATTGTATTGTATTACTGTGATAATGCTTGTGATTTTAGTGTCTCATAGACCAAATGGCCGGGTGCTTTTTATGTTTAATGTAAAAGCACGTGACACTTTAATAAACATTTTCTCTCTCTCTCTGTTTCAAAAGGACACAGCTCTGTTAAGGTAGTACGATTGGGACACGGTTGAATATACCTACGGTTAATTACTTTCCACATCTATCCGTATCCCAGTTCCTCGGCAAAATGATCACATCCCGTTTGTTATCCCCCTTGTAGCAGCTATCCATTTATTTGAAACACGAAGTCCATCAATCCATTACATAACAGTACCATCCATTTACTGATATCAATAATTATATAATAAATACCACTAAAAGAATATGTAGATGCATAAATGACAGTATTACAAAACACCAACATCACGTAAAGAATACAAGAAATCGGTGACCACTGACTTGCATACAGGTCACAGTAGGACTGGGATGGTGACCACTGATTTGCATACAGGTCACAGTAGGACTGGGATGGTGACCACTGACTTGCATACAGGTCACAGTAGGACTGGGATGGTGACCACTGACTTGCATACAGGTCACAGTAGGACTGGGATGGTGACCACTGACTTGCATAAAGGTCACAGTAGGACTGGGATGGTGACCACTGACTTGCATACAGGTCACAGTAGGACTGGGATGGTGACCACTGACTTGCATACAGGTCACAGTAGGACTGGGACGGCGACCAACTTACTTGCATACAGGTCACAGTAGGACTGGGACGGCGACTAACTTACTTGCATAAAGGGCACAGTAGGACTGGGATGGTGACCACTGACTTGCATAAAGGTCACAGTAGGACTTGGATGGTGACCACTGACTTGCATACAGGTCACAGTAGGACTGGGATGGTGACCACTGACTTGCATACAGGTCACAGTAGGACTGGGATGGTGACCACTGACTTGCATACAGGTCACAGTAGGACTGGGACGGCGACCAACTTACTTGCATACAGGTCACAGTATGACTGGGACGGCGACCAACTTACTTGCATACAGGTCATAGTAGGACTGGGACGGCGACCAACTTACTTGCATACAGGGCACAGTAGGACTGGGACGGCGACTAACTTACTTGCATAAAGGTCACAGTAGGACTGGGATGGTGACCACTGACTTGCATACAGGTCACAGTAGGACTGGGATGGTGACCACTGACTTGCATACAGGTCACAGTAGGACTGGGACGGCGACCAACTTACTTGCATACAGGTCACAGTAGGACTGGGAGGACTGGGACGGCGACTAACTTACTTGCATACAGGTCATAGTAGGACTGGGACGGCGACCAACTTACTTGCATACAGGTCACAGTAGGACTGGGACGGCGACCAACTTACTTGCATAAAGGTCACAGTAGGACTGGGATGGTGACCACTGACTTGCATACAGGTCACAGTAGGACTGGGATGGTGACCACTGACTTGCATACAGGTCACAGTAGGACTGGGACGGCGACCAACTTACTTGCATACAGGTCACAGTACAGGACTGGGACGGCGACCAACTTACTTGCATACAGGTCACAGTAGGACTGGGACGGCGACCAACTTACTTGCATACAGGTCACAGTAGACTGGGACTGGGATGGCATACAGGACCACTAGGACTTGCATAAAGGTCACAGTAGGACTGGGATGGTGACCACTGACTTGCATACAGGTCACAGTAGGACTGGGATGGTGACCACTGACTTGCATACAGGTCACAGTAGGACTGGGACGGCGACCAACTTACTTGCATACAGGTCACAGTAGGACTGGGACGGCGACTAACTTACTTGCATACAGGTCACAGTAGGACTGGGACGGCGACCAACTTACTTGCATACAGGTCATAGTAGGACTGGGACGGCGACCAACTTACTTGCATACAGGTCACAGTAGGACTGGGACGGCGACTAACTTACTTGCATACAGGTCACAGTAGGACTGGGACGGCGACCAACTTACTTGCATACAGGTCACAGTATGACTGGGATGGTGACCACTGACTTGCATACAGGTCACAGTATGACTGGGACGGCGACTAACTTACTTGCATAAAGGTCACAGTATGACTGGGACGGCGACTCACTTACTTGCATAAAGGTCACAGTAGGACTGGGACGGCGACCAACTTACTTGCATAAAGGTCACAGTAGGACTGGGACGGCGATCAACTTACTTGCATACAGGTCACAGTAGGACTGGGACGGCGACCAACTTACTTGCATACAGGTCACAGTAGGACTGGTTTGTGATAAGGACTGAGAAGATGACCATCTTACTTGCATACAGGTCACAGTACGACTGGTTTACGAGGAGGCTCTGGCTGTTGTCGGGGTGGAGTCTGCTCAACATGCAGTCCCCGGTTGTGTAACAATACGAAAACGACTCGCAGTCGAAACGGCTGTCCTCAGAACACGCCGTCGCGCAATCGTCCACAGCCATCTGGTGGAGGATGAAGTCGTTATGGAGGAAGGCAGCGTTGTTTCGGTAGACCTTGTAATGCTTGAAGTACTGTCCTTAATGAAAGATGTTATACATTCATAAGGTGTTCATTTAGTTGAAATATTGATCAAAGTTGTAATTGCTGAATACTTATTCTAACTGATTTTCATGGCTGTTTCAGCCTGTTTGTTTGTTGTTTAATGCTACACTCAGCAGTATTCCAGCTATATGTCGGCGGTCTGTAAATAACCAAGTCTGGACGAGACAATCCAGTGATCAACATCATGAGTATCCATCGATCTACGCAACTGGGATACGATGACATTTATTAACCAAGTGAGCGAGCCTGACCACCAAGCCAGGTTAGCTGCCTCTTACAACAAGCAGTTAGACCAAATTTGACAGTGATCTTCACGAGTATTGCCTCTTACAACTAGCAGTTAGGCCAAATTTGACAGGGATCTTCACGAGTATTGGTTAAAGTAGTGTGAACACAACTCACTAATGTTACACTAATCCATTATAGAAACATTTGAACTGGTGATCCATCGTACCCACAGGTATATTCTTGTTCTCCGGACAATTTGTATTGCTACCCCAGACTCGAACACACAGGTGTAAGAGGTGTTGCTCAAATGATGTAGACTTACCTTCTGTGACAGACGGGGGAGTCGTCATCATGATGTCATCCCTTACTCCGTTGGCGATGTACATGATCGTCTACGGAGATAAAACATTTATGACATTCAAAAGACGCATATCACTGAAAGTTAAATATATAATGGTTGTCACCCCCTTCAATTTTTTTAATTGGAGAGGGGGTGTGGGGTGGGGAGGGGGGTGACAACCATTATTGGCATGAGTATAGCATTGGCCTTTGAAAGTCTTTCCTCAGACAAACATCTTTATGTACTTGTTTGGGGCGGTGGGGCAGCCTTGTGGTTAAAGCGTTCGCTCCTCACGCGAAAGGCCTGGGTTCGATTCATCGCATGGGTACAATGTGTGAAACCCATTTCTGGTGTCCCCCCATGATATTGTTGAAATATTGCTAAAAACGCCTAAAACCCAACTCACTCACTCAATTCTGTACTTTTTAAAGAAAGGCAGCAAATCTTCTTACGGCATACCAACGACGGTGCCTCGCGTGTCGATGTAGATTGTGTCAGGCGGAGGAATGGAGGAATTGTATTGCCTGTTTTTCCGAGTGGGTTTTTAAGACTTATGCACCTTTTATGATTCACTGCTCAAAGCAAATACGTTTTCCCTCAAGAATACGAAATCTCGAAAAGACTTGGAAAGAAGGTAGTGTGATACATGTGGTCTCACCTTAGGCAAGTGAGTTTGTTCATAATTGCCACTATTCACCCAGTAGAAAATAGGTACCCGGTGGGATAAGTCATGTGACTATGACCTTCTAGCGCTTAACAGGCAGCTTGGATTATCCGGGGTAATAATGTGCTGTGCTTTGATTGTCAGCGCTATGAGCATACCTAGTGTGGAGGATTTGGCGCCATATAAAGGGACACATTATTATTGTTATCATTATTGGACAATACACAACAAAGCATTCATTGGTCCGTGGTATCGAAGCGAAACAAATAAAAACATTGTGAAGTTGTTGTTTTTCTGAAATGTAGGTGTTTTCGCCAAAAATAATATTCGCAGTTTGCGCACCTATAACCGGATAGGGTGAAATTCATTCCACTTTTTAGGAGGTCTCTGTTGGATAATGATGCTATGCTTACAGTGCCTTCCATCAGTGTATCTGAATCAGTTTATTGAGTTTAACGATTTCACAAAACTTCTAACGTCTAGAGGGGCGGTGGTGTAGCCTAGTGGGTAAAGCGTTTGCTCGTCACGCCGAAGGCCCGGGTTCGATTCCCTACATGGGTACAATGTTCTGGTGTCCCCCGCCGTGATATTGCTGGAAAGTTGCTAGAAGCGGCGTAAAACCCAACTCACTCACTCACTCTAACGTCTAGAACGATTTATCTGTTGCTGTACCTCACCTGGTTACCGTAATTGATTGGGATCTGTATCAGATGCTTGTACACCAGATCTTTGATGGTGTCGTACACATGCAGCATGTCGGGTTCCTGAGCAGAACCGTTTACGGTACCTGGAATGAGATACTGCATGTCGTAGTAGTGGTAGCTGTACCCCCTGTAGGCGTCGTAATACGTGATGGTAGTAGTAGTAGTAGTAGTAGTAGTAGTAGTAGTAGTAGTAGTAATTATAATAATAGTAGTGATAGTGGTTGAAGTACTTGTTTAACGCCGCACTCAGCAATATTCCAGCTATATGGCGGCGGTCTGTAAATAATCGAGTCCGGACCGGACAATCCAGTGATCAACAGCGTGAGCTTTGATCTACGCAATTTGGTTACGATGACAGGCGTCAACCGAGTCAGCGAGCCTGACCACCCGATCCTCTTAGTCGCCTCTTACGACAAGGAAGGGTTGCTGAAGACCAATTCAAACCTGGATCATCACGGGTCTAGTAGTAGTAGAGATACTAAAAGCAGCATTGCAAGTACGAGTAGCTTTGGTTGTAGATGAAGTAGCATGTGTGGTGGAGTAGGGATTGTTGGAGTAGGAGCGGTAGCAGCAGCAGCAGTTGTAGTAGTAGCATTACACCCAACAAATTTAACGGGTACTCACGTGAGTAATGCGTGCAGATTTGATTGTCATTTCCAATATCAGCCGGTTGCATGCTGTCGTCGACGTGTGTTTTGCTGAGTCGGCAAATACTTGAGGAGGGACAGATGTCGAAGCTGTTGCAGATAAACTGGGATTCCTTTATGCAGGCTTGGGCGCAGTCGTCGGGGGATTTGATGTTTGTGATGGTCTTCGATGTTGCGTGGGCCGGGTGGGGGCCTTGCAGCTTGGTGAAGTGTACTGTCAAGACACAAAGGAGTGAGTGAGTGAGTGGGTGAGTGAGTTTAACGCCGCTTTGAACTGTATTTCAGTTACATCCCGGCGTATCAGCTTAATGTGGACGAGGACCGGGGTGTCCTAGTTGATAAAGCGTTCGCTTGTCACATCGAAGACCCGGATTCGATTCCCCATGTGGGTACAATGTGTTAAGTCCATTGCTGGTGTCCCCCGCCGTTATATTGATAGAACGGTGCAGCTTTGATGGAACCAACGAGCATGAATGACGCTGAAAGATCAAGAAGCTTGGTCACAACGAACAAAGAAGAATTATTTAAGGGCAACGTCAATATGGTCATCCATGTCTGGTTGAAGGGAGATACTGTAGACACACAAAGTATAAGGTAAATAATCTGGATCGTTCACCCCGTACCAACACCCGAATATTTTTTTCCTATTTTCTTTGTTTTCGCACGTTACTAATCAATAGCCATGCTATATCGGCACGGCATCAGACAGGCCAGCGACAAGATCAACGATACCATTCAATACAGTTAACAAAGTCATACGCCCAACCATTGTGACTCACATAAGAGCCGTCTCTTACAACAATTACAAGGTATTCTGACCAACAATCCCTCCTAGTGTCACTAGATCTGTGACTGACATAAGAGCCATCTCTTACAACAATTACAAGGTATTCTGACCAACAATCCCTCCTAGTGTCACTAGATCTGTGACTGACACAAGAGCCGTCTCTTACAACAATTACAAGGTATTCTGACCAACAATCCCTCCTAGTGTCACTAGATCTGTGACTGACATAAGAGCCGTCTATTACAACAATTACAAGGTATTCTGACCAACAATCCCTCCTAGTGTCACTAGATCTGTGACTGACATAAGAGCCGTCTATTACAACAATTACAAGGTATTCTGACCAACAATCCCTCCTAGTGTCACTAGATCTGTGACTGACATAAGAGCCGTCTATTACAACAATTACAAGGTATTCTGACCAACAATCCCTCCTAGTGTCACTAGGTCTGTGACTGACATAAGAGCCGTCTATTACAACAATTACAAGGTATTCTGACCAACAATCCCTCCTAGTGTCATTAGATGTGTGACTGACATAAGAGCCGTCTCTTAAAACAATTACAAGGTATTCTGACCAACAATCCCTCCTAGTGTCACTAGATCTGTGACTGACATAAGAGCCGTCTATTACAACAATTACAAGGTATTCTGACCAACAATCCCTCCTAGTGTCACTAGTTCTGTGACTGACATAAGAGCCGTCTATTACAACAATTACAAGGTATTCTGACCAACAATCCCTCCTAGTGTCACTACATCTGTGACTGACATAAGAGCCGTCTCTTACAACAATTACAAGGTATTCTGACCAACAATCCCTCCTAGTGTCACTAGATCTGTGACTGACATAAGAGTCGTCTCTTACAACAATTACAAGGTATTCTGACCAACAATCCCTCCTAGTGTCACTAGATCTGTGACTGACATACACAGTCGTGTCTTACAACAATTACAAGGTATTCTGACCAACAATCCCTCCTAGTGTCACTAGATCTGTGACTGACATAAGAGCCGTCTCTTACAACAATTACAAGGCATTCTGACCAACAATCCCTCCTAGTGTCACTAGATGTGTGACTGACATAAGAGCCGCTCTCTTACAACAATTACAAGGTATTCTGACCAACAATTCCTCCTAGTGTCACTAGATCTGTGACTGACATACACAGTCGTGTCTTACAATAATAACAAGGTTCTGGGAACCTATTCTGACCAACAATCCCTATAGTTTGTTGCAAGCTACAAGATGTGTTACTTACATATGTAGTCGTGTCTTACAATAATAACAGGGTTCTGGGAACCCATTCTGACCAACAATCCCTATATAGTTTGTTGCAAGCTACAAGATGTGTCACTTACATATGTAGTCCACCTGTCCTAGCAGAGTGACGGTCATGTAGACGTTGTTCAGGTTGGAGTTGACTTGAGGCTCCTGAAAGCGGATTGCCGAGGAAAAGGTCATATCGGACAACACCGCGAGAACCTCCCGCTCGAACAGGATCTGTATATCGTCCAGATAGGGGTCGAATGGTTCTTGAAAAGAGAAAAATAAGTATAGTTTGTTTGTTTGTTTGTTTGTTTGTTTGTTTGTTTGTTTGTTTGTTTATTACTTAACGCCACACTGGGCAATGTTCCAGCTGTATGGCGGTGGTCTGTAAACGGTTAAAATATACACTACTTACTGTCGAAGGTGACCATGAATCTGTGTCGTTGGTCGTCGCCGAAGCAGTTCTTGATGTCAAAGACACTAATGCCAGGATCCTCGTCGTCAAAGTCGTAGAAGTTATACACCATGAACATGTTGATCTGCCGACAGATTCATAAGATCCACAAATCATAATTGGCCACGCTTGTGTTTCTAGGTTTGTACGGCCCATGCTTGTCGGTTTTACGTAAGAAGTGCACGTTTAAAACGAGCACCACTTCGGGATCGCCACCCCCATTAAACAGACACGTTGTTCAATGTCATGCTATTCGAAGTGGCGTTATACCAACTCACTCACACATCAGTTGCTTGATATAAGTGAGACGACTGACTGAGTTTGGTTTTACGCCGCTTTTAGCAATATTCCAGCAACATCACGGCGGGGGACACCAGAAATGGGCTTCACACATTGTACCCATGTGGGGATTCGAACTCGGGTCTTAGGCGTGACGAGCCAACGCTTTAACCATTAGGCTACCCCACCGCCCCTAAGTGAGACGAGTGTAAGACTGATACGCAACGTATTTCAGATTGCTTGACATGGCGAAAGGACCAAAATGTCGCAGATCTTTGACCTTTTACACGCTTTGGCCAAACAAACGAGGATGGTGCTAACAGAACAAGAATCGAAATCATTTGAGAGTAATAAACAGCGTTTGCAACTCCATCTCAAAAGAGAGATGGCCGGAACTATATATAATGAGCCTAATAACAGCAGTTAACCCCATCAAATTCTACTGAAGATGTGCCACGACCTGGATGAAGAAGGTATACCCAGGGCATCGTAACAAGTGGGCCACATGGCAACGGCATTTTACGTTCCGTGAGCAGCCGGCGCCATCTTTCAGCCTGACAATGCTCGTCCTCACAATCTGTACTGACTTCGTGAGAACTAACAACATACATATACTGCCGTGACCGGGGCAGGAACTCATCTGACCAGTTGTGGAATGAGCACGAATAACGTTTACGTCAAGGCAAAAAAAAATACAGAAAAGAGATGCCAACCTACAAGATGTCAGGACAGTTGCCAATTTAGCAGGACGTACCGCTTGATGCCGTGTATGGAGAGAAAATGTCTTTAGCATTAGAGTATTAGGACATTAATTTATTTCTTTTAATACAACACTATGAGAAACATGACCAAGGGTCGTAGCCACGCGTAGCACATCCTGGCAGTTAAGGGGCGCAACTCTTCTTATCTGTGTGTCGGATGATAACTCTATCTTATTTTTGTTGGGGTCTTATCATTGTAAGACGGACGTACTTACATCAGGTGCGACGACGTGGACCATGACGGGCTGTTCCCTCGTGACGTCACTGCTTTGGTCTGCCACCATGTTCCAAGCACTCTAGAATTCATTTAAACAAGTCAACAAAGCCATCAAAAAACACATTCTGCTCTGAGCATAATGAACGCCATGCAGGGATTGATGTACACAATGGAATATCAAGAGAACAATGAGCATGCTACGTTGTCAGAGTGAGTGCGTGAGTGAGTGAGTGAATGAGTATGGTTTTACACTACTTTTAGCAATATTCCAGCAATATCACGGCAGGGGATATCAGAAATGAGCTTCACACTTGGTACCCATGTGGGGAATCGAGCTCGGGTCGAAGACGTGCGGAGGCTTTAACCACCAGGCTAATCCACCGCTCTTGTACGTTGTCAGACGTAACGTCAATAATCTGTCTTGTCAAAACTGTACGTAAACCATAACACCCGTCAGCATGAAAAAACATGTACGTTATGCAGAAATTATCTCCTTAATTTTGTTCGATCATAAAAAAAGGCATTGGGAAAAAAAACACATAGTAAAAATAAATGTCTTAATTGAACGCTAAATTTACGTTAACGTCTTAAACAAAACCCTCAAAATACGTCAACATATAAACCAAATAACCGTCAATGCCTTAACAAACCCCAAATAACCTCTAACAACATCAAGTTTATTGACAAAACCTTCAATGGCCGACGAAGTAATCATCGAAAACTGAGAAGCCTTAACAGTTGTTAGATCAGAAATTATCAACAAAAACGTCGATTCTTGCCCAGATCGCAAGCGAAATATGTTTTGTACCAAAATCGACAAGTCATCAAACAAAAACAAGCAAAGCATTTGACATACCGAGCAGTTTTCAATTTCAGTCATCAAGACGCTTTTCTACGGAAGCCAACACATGGCTCTAAAAGGCTTCCGTAGTATGGTCATATAAAATCTTTACATTGAACACCGAGTTGACCTGTTTATATATATCACTGACACTAACTGACCCTGTCCATAATTTTAAATAAACTTTGAAAACAATAGTATATACAATCCCAGATACATTGTTTCCACGTCCCTGGTGAGTTCCGAATGCACACAAAATATAAAAATGACATTCTAATGAACACGATGTTACAGTGTTATAGAATTTTCCTTTCTTTGATAATTGACGACTGCTCGAGTGTTGGTAGGCTAATGATGTTTGGGTATTCCCTCGACTGCCGAGGATGATGCTTTCTGTTCACTCACCGACTGGAAATAGTACTGGAAGATCGCCCTCGTCGTTTTGTTGATGGTAGGGAAGTAAAATTCCGGCACCTCTGTCTCAAACACGTCGCACCGGATACCTCGGGCTGTTTTCTGAAGTCAAAACCTGATAGTGGACTACCATGCCGTTTGCAGGTTCATAGACATTAATGGTTGATGTTTTGGTTGTATACTATTCAACATATGACAAGATCAAAGTTAATCAAAGTAACCACACAAGTCAAGTACGATATTTGTCCCTCTCTGATGTAGTGTTGGGAATTGGTTGAAATCTCACAATTGATGATTGGTTCAATACCAACGACCAATCATCGAAAAAAATTGGTTCGCGTCATTTTTAGATTTTCCTATTCAGGTTGTAGTTGCAGATAAGTATAAATATAAACATTTGGTTCTCTGTTGTTTTTTGAAACTGCACAAATTACATTTGCAAATTTCACATCCAGTGTAAAATAATTCAGTTCCAGTGTAACATAAACTTCCCAGATTCTTCAAGAAATATTCAGTCATGACTTTTCAGAAAGTGAAGTGAGTTTTCTTAGAAATAAACACGTTTTCAGGCACTGATATGTTCCATCATCAAGTATTTCAAACTCTATTACAGCGGTTCCAAAATCGTTTGTGTTCGATTATGAGAAAATGTGATCGATTGCTTGGTCGCTTGGACACTGCGACTTATCTTCGATTATTTCAATTAATCGGAACACCACTACTCTTATGCCGAGTAGTATAAGTATGGCATTTTTTGTGTTGAAAGACTTTAACAAAAGATGGGCTTAGTTTGTATGTGTGAGATGTATGATGTACCAAATTGACAAAATTAAGCTTGTTTTCCATGGTGATCTGGTCGATGCAATAGCTATAACGCATTCCATGTGTACATTATTCAAATGGTATTTTCTCGCATTTCTCAATGTTTTGCGTGAGTGATGCCACTGTGATTGCAATATAGGTTACCTCCCCTCCATATGTGTTATAACAAGTTGGCATGGTGATGAAGCACGTCTACTATTCTACGCATTCGTCAGTTGGCATAGTGATGTTGATTATTTCGTCACTCCTTGCATGTGCATCATACCGGTTGCCATAGTGATGACGTATATCGTACCTCCCCTGCATGATTACCACGAAATTTGCCACAGTGATGATATATATCTTACCTCCAGCGCATTGTAAGATGCCGGTTTCCATAGTGATAATGCATATGTTACCTCCCTTCATGTGTACAGAAATGGTTGCCATAGTGATGACGTATATCTTACCTCTCTTCACGTGTACAGAAATGGTTGCCATAGTGATAACGTACATCTTACCTCCACTGCATGTGGACAATAACTGTTACCATAGTGATGACGTATCGCTTACCTTCCCTGCATGTGTACAACAATGGTTGCCATAGTGATGACGTATTTCTTACCTCCCCTGCATACCTATACTGGTAGTCGAGACCAAACATCTCCAGGGGTCCCTTCATCTTAACCACAAACGCTCCGTTGTTAGCGAACGCCGCTTTGTCCTTATCATAATCTGGTTGTGGGGACGCTGTGATCGGGGTGATGGTGCAGTTTCCCTGTACCGTGTCGATGTCGTAGGAGATGCCTTAACAGAGTGAGTGAGTTTACTTTTACGCCGCTTTTAGCAATATTCCAGCAATATCATGGGGTACCAGAAATGGCCTTCACAAATCGTACCCATGACTGTGGGGTCGAACCCAGGTCTTCGGCGTGACAAGCGAACGCTTCAACCACTAGGCTACCCCACCGCCCTTGCTTAGAGAAGAAAATCCAATCGACGTCATGAGCATCGATCTTAGCAATAATTGAGATATGGTGCTGATGCAGTCGCTTTGATGCATAAAAATGCATCGTCGTTCCAGAAACGTTCCAGAAACGTTCCGGGTAATTTGACCTTTAATGTCATTCCAGAAACACCAATGGTAATTTGACCATTATTTCACTCCACAAACACCAATAGTAGGGCTGCGCAATATAACCGGTTTACCGGGTATTTACCGGTTCAGACATGAAAACGATACGTATTGCGATGTCATTTTGACATGCATTCGGAAAACTTCGTAACACCCGGAAATCTCCGGATATTTCCGGGGTTTTTTAATTGTTCTTTTCCCTGTTTCATTAGTGCCAAATGTTACTTACATTTTTATTTTGTCATGATTAAAAGTTTTTACAAAAGGTTAATCAATCAGTGATTTTGTTGTGTTTTTGCTTTATAATCAAGCATTAACTCGATTATAAGTAGTTTTTGTTAAAAAAATAATCCTTGCAATATATTGCAATACATATCGCAATATATGCTTTCGCATCGCAATATATCGCAATATAACAATTCTCTGCGATACCCACCCCTAACCAATAGTAATTTAACCATAACACTTTTCCAGAAAATGCCATGCTTACGGACATATCATTAGTTTACTACCACATACCCGTGTTGAAGTCGTGTATATACGTCATCGTATACGGTGAGTAATAGGGAGGCGAAGCCAGGATGTTGCGGTAGTCATACCGAGCCAGTTTGTACTTGGAATCGTACCACACCTAACGCCGAGAAGACATAGAAACACTGACATGAGTTCTGGTCGCTTATGTCACTTGGAAGCTACATGAATGGTAAATGGTAAAGATGGTAAATTCACGGACGAGAGCTTATATACTCTCCCAAAAAAGAAACGCATCATGAAAATAGTAATTTCATGTAGCAATGAATTAAAACGTGATTCATTTTACAAAAGGTTTTGCTCTGTTTATGAGTCCTATGGTGTTTATGTTTTGAAATATCACAACAAAACGCACCATCCGTAAAATACCCGTATTTAACAGCATGATTTTCAAATTCGGCGTGTAGTGTCACAGAATACACAGTTCACATGCAATGCACGTGAAAGTTGGGGACCAGATAGTCTCAATGATGGGTATAAAAGATTGATCGCTGTCTGTCGATTATTCACTGTATTTGGAATATTGTTGACGAACGCAAAATGCCACGTCTAAGTGACGCCAACCGTCATATCGCTATTGGTTTGCTTGAAGCTGACCAGTCTCAACGTGCAGTTACCCGACGCATGAATGTTCACCATAGCACCATTTCACGGCTCTGGGAGAGATATCGCCGGCAGAATGCGGTAGCAGATGCCCCTCGTAGTGGGCGACCTCGAGCGACCACTGCGGCGCAGGATCGCTACATCTGGGTACATCACCTGCGTCATCGAACAGCTACGGCGACCAGTACCGCTCGACAAATACCCGGATTGAGGAGGCTTTCTGCACAGACCGTCAGGAACAGGTTGAGAGAGGCTGGTGTACGTGCCAGAAGACCTTATTTTGGCCCTGTGCTTCGACAACAACATCGTCGACATCGAGTTCAATGGTGCACCAACGTTCAGGCCTGGAACCTACCGAATTGGCGTAGAATCTGGTTCAGTGATGAATCACGATTTCTATTGGAACGACGCGATGGAAGAATGCGGGTGTACAGACGTCGACGTGAATGTTTCGCCGACGCTTGCGTTCCCCAGGTGGACAGATTCGGCCGGGACGGTGGTATGATGTGGGGAGCGATCACCTGCCGTAGGAGAAGTGATTTGGTGATGATCCAGGGCAACCTGACAGCTCAACGGTACTGTGACAAAATCCTACGCCCACACCTCCATCGCCAGAGGTAGTTGTTTCAACAGGACAATGCCAGGCCCCACACAGCACGTCACACTAGAGACTTCCTCCAGAACCACAACATCAATGTGCTCCCCTGGCCCTCAAGATCACCGGACTTAAACCCGATCGAACATCTGTTGGATGCCCTGGACAGACAGGTGCGACGCCGTAACCTTCAGCCCCAGACACGAGATGCTGAGACTCATGCATTCGATGCCGAGGCGATGCCGTGCAGTTCTGGATGTCCACGGTAGTCACACGAGGTATTGACTTCAGCGCCACCACACGTCTCCATGTGACACTCAAACTGACTTTCCTCGAGTTGGTGCCAAAGACGGATAAGTCTGCATTCCCTGTGTGCAATTTCGCTTTATTTCATTGACTCATAAAGCCTACCAGATGTTTCAAAATAAACATAAAAATACAGTTGAAATTCCTATATGCGTTTCTTTTGTGGGAGAGTATATATCTGCCTCTGCAGGACCGATCATTGCCGTGCCTGACTTAATACTGGACAAAAATAGTCAGGGATATATGTAAATTTTGAAATTGTGAATAATGATCTATAAATTTATTCATTGACACACTGATAAAATATCAATCATAAAAATACCAATATCCATAACTTATTTTTGTCCAGTATATTATACATTTAATTCACAACTACGTCACTTTTAAAGGTTCGCTTTTTCGTTCCTTCGTTCGTTCGTTCGTTCGTTCATTCTGTCGTTCATCCATTCATTCAGACAGTTAGCTTCGTTCGTCCATTCATCATACATTTATAGATATATACCTACGTTCATTAAGTCATAGCTAGATGGATGGGTAGATTCATTCGTTCGTTCGATTGTTTATAAATAGACAGACAGACAGATATGTGTTATGTTATCACCCGGTTCCATTACTTACGTCTACTGCGCTGGCGACCTTCTTGTCTGGGATGACGACCTCCATTCTGTAGGAGAACTGTTCCGGCATTGACGGCAATGGTTTTGTGTCCGTGTACCCTGGGGAACAAATGGAACAGCGTCTACTCCCTTAGTCACAGTGAGTGAGTGAGTGAGTGAGTGAGTGAGTGAGTGACAGTGAGTGAGTGAGTGAGTGAGTGAGTGAGTGAGTGAGTGAGTGAGTGAGTGAGTGAGTGAGCGAGCGAGCGAGCGAGTGCGAACGAACGATCTTGATTCCAGATGCAGTTATTAAAACGGTTACGGATTAGAACAGACGGTAATGGGTTTCTGTCACGTTTGTGAATAGTACTGCAAAACGAATGGTATCAAAAGTAGCTCAGGAAGTTAAACAAAATAGTCTGTGACAATTATATTTACGTGTAAATTTTGCGAGAATGAGCTGGTAAAGGCTACAAGTGTTTTATGATCTTATTTATAACCTATGACAAATGAGTGCAATTATCATCTTGCATTCGAAGGCATAACGAATGGGAGAATTATCATAAATTGCTGATCAAAAGAGAGCATTGACATACAAAATTGACGAAATAATTATATACTGGGCTGAAAGTCAACCCCCGGCTGAGAGACACTCATAGAAATGAACTAAGACAGACCCGAATCCAAAACGTCACCATCATATGACCATTTTAAGCCACCATCAAACAAGGCTGCATACCATTGTGTACCCAACAGTATAGGTACTAAGTAACCATTGTAAGTGAATAATCGTATAACCCACCGAAGTTGATGGACGAGTATATGGCTCCGTATGTCCGCGTCTGCGCAGAAAGAAATTGAGTCAATACTCACAATACGTAATGTGTAACATACAAAAATACATAGTACTATACGTAACATTACGCACAATACGTACTCGTGTAACATACAAAATACATTAAATTATGTCTAACAATGCTCACAGTACGTCATGTGTAACATACAAAAATACATTGTACTATCTAAACAATTCGCACATTACGTACATGTGTAACGTACAAAATACATTGTATTGTGTGTAACAATAGTTACAGAGCATCGTTACATTTGTAACATGTGAAAATACATTGCCGTATATGTGACAATACGTAAAATATAATGTCAAATGCGTATCAAACATACAATACAATCTGATTAACATCAGATATTCCTGTTCCTGTGCGGGAAATGAGCAATCTGGAGAAACTCTATTAAAGCCATGAAAGAGTGAGTGAGTTTGGTTTTACGCCGCTTTTAGCAATATTCCAGCAATGTCAGGGCGGGGGACACCAGAAATGGGATTCACACATTGTACCCATGTGGGGAATCGAACTCGGGTCTTCGGCGTGACGAGCGGACGCTTTCACCACTAGGCTACCCCACCTAGGAAGGAAATGGTGGAGGATGGTGGAGGAAATCTGAGTCATGAAAGACGTACCGAGCCATCGTCTTCTGGTATATCTATCTGGACCTGGTTTTGGTACAGCTGGTCTAACAAATCGCCGTAGGCTTCTGAGATGGTCTTCTCGTGGGCAGAGGTAGGGTCCACGGTGCCTGTAACGACACACGTAACAACAGATGCAGAGACAACAGATGCAGGAGAAAAATTATTAGTGATATATCCTGAGAGAAGCAAATAACGGAACACAGGAAAATTCAAGCGTTCCTTTAATATTTTTCCAGTTTTCATCACCAACTTTGAATAGCGCTGTGGGAGGAAATCTGAGAATGAATAAAGGAACACTGCTATGAAGTGGTGTTCCCTTATTTGTTTCCCTCAGTATATATTTGTTAAGTTGCAACTAAGTTGCCAAGTATTTTAGTAAGGGTGCGCTAGTATTTTTTAACGATCAGCGACTCCCGACAAGAACAAGGGACGTCACTCTTCACAGCAAATAGTGATAATGGGAATATGCACCACACACTTAGTATAATGCATCTTTCTATATCAAACTTCTTACAAAATAGAACTTCATACCGTACGAGTGTTAAGAATATTTTGTCACTTATATATTTTTACTATATATTTGTTCACAATTAATTGATATTACATATATTTAGAATTCGTAAGTCCGGACATTTGCTAATGCAGGGGATATGGCTCAAACCACTACCGCCCACGCAAGCTGGTTTGTATGAATAACGTTTTTCTACAGAACACTTGCTTTTGAGGTTTTGAAATCATATCCGCCTTCGTACAGGAATTGAAACGCTCACAAAGAACAAAATGGTAACATTTAGAAAATAGAACCTTAGTAAGCGGTGAGGTGAGGTGAGGTGAGGTGCGGTGAAATTGGGTTTAACGTCGTGCTTGAGAATATTTCGCTCATATGATGACGTGCTAGCTCACTGAGATACCATGCCGCAGTGAAGCATGAATACCCCACTCAGACACATTATACTGACTCCGAGCCGACCAGTCCTTGTTGTACCCATTAATGCCGAGCGTCAGGCAGGGACCAACAAGTACCATATTTTAACGTCTTTTGGTATGACGCGGTCGGGGATCGAACCCGCGACCTTCCGCTCTCCGGGCGGACGCTCTAACCACTACACCACGGAGGCGGTCCTTAGTAAGCAACTTTACCTAGCTAATTGCGGGTGTGGGGTGTGGAGATCAAAGATGGTGATCACTTTGGGCAAACCAGGTATGTTGCTGACAAACCATAAACATCATGAGGACGAGTCCCGGATGAAAGGGACGCAACTCTGCACAGACGACACCACCTTGAAACACTCACGTGAGAAATGGTCGCATACGCTTTGCTTAAGAACAGCAGTTCCATCTCCAATGTGAGCCTTGCTGAGTTTGCATTTATACCCGTCCAGTGGACAGAAGTCAAAACTGCGGCAGACGATAGCCTCACTCGAAACACACAGGTCTGCGCATGTTCGGGGATCTGTGATGTTGTTCCAAACCACGTCATCACTCTTTTCAATCTCCGATTTGGGGACGAACGAGAACTGTGCTGAAATTAGAAAACTGAAATTGGAAGCATAATCAGCAATTTAACATTAATGAGTGTGCTGGGTTAACCGCTGATTTTAGCGAGGAACACCCAAAGTGATTCTGAAAAAGGGATACGAGTCAGGATCTTTCTCTCTCTCTCTCTCTCTCTCTCTCTCTCTCTCTCTCTCTCTCTCTCTCTCTCTCTCTCTCTCTCTCTCTCTCTCTCTCTCTCTCTCTCTCTCTCTCTCTCTCTCTCTCTCTCTCTCTCTCTCTCTCTCTAAAAGAAATACCTGTCATTGGCCGTTTAGTAATTCATTGATTATTGATATGAAATACATTTTTCATATCAACATATCTTTCATATCTTCATATCTCTATCCTCATCACATCCCACCGACCCAAACTTCGTCTTTCTCAAAAACCTGATCCAACCACGCAATGAACATTGACCTACCTGCTGGCGGCGTTCGGTCCACCAACGTCGCGCTGACGTACACGTTGGTGTTGTCGTACTCTACCCTGAAGCGCCCGAGTCGAATGGGGTTGACATTCATGGTGCTCATGAAAACTATGTGAGACTTCAAGATCAACAGGTCTTCCTTGTCGCGGTTGAACTGTTTCGGTTCTGAGAGAGAAACATATAAAATGCTATGCCAGTTCATCGCTCATTCGATTACTAAATTTGAGTGAGTGAGTGAGTGAATTTGAGTTTACGCCGCTTTTAGCAATATTTCAGCAATATCACGGCGGGGGACACCAAAAATGGGCTTCACACATTTTACCCATGTGGGGAATCGAACCCGGGCCTTAGGCGTGACGAGGGAACGCTTTACCCACTAGGCTACCACACCGCCCCTTATTAGATTTGAGAACCCTAGTCAACCCGGCTTACCACATTTCTGGCAGTCAGGGATCGTCAGCAGTGATCAGTAGTACGAATCTTTGAGTGAATGGGACGGATGGTAGCCTAGTGGTTAAAGTGTTCGCTCGTCACGCCGAAGTCCCGGGTTCGATTCCCCACATGGGTACAATGTGTGAAGCCCATTTCTGGTGTCTCCCGTCGTGATATTGCTGATTATATTGCTAAAAGCGGCATTACACTAAACTCACCACCACCATTGAGTTAGTGAGTGAGTTAAGTTTTGGGCCGCTTTTAGCAATATTCCAGCAACATCACGGCGGGGAACACCAGAAATATGCCATGTGTACCCATGTGGGGAATCGAACCCGGGTCTTCGCATGCGAACAAGCAGACGCTTTAACCACTAGGCTACCCCACCGTCCCAGATAATGTATTTTACTCGTATTACCGTCCCCCAGAAACTGAAACTGGACTGTGAACCCCAGTTTCCCTGTGTCAGGAAAACAGTCGGAGACGTCGAAGGCCCTAAGGGAGGGACTGTCCTCCACAAAATCCAAGAAGTTGTAAACAACATGATAGCCAACCTGAAAAACACGTGCAGACTCCATTCAATTAAGCCCCGTTTATCTGGGTGATGTCGCTCAAAGAACATAATATCGGTAAATAATTGAATGCTTTTGTCATCTGAATGACAAGAGACCAGGTATCAAAATTCGGATTAAAAGATTAAGGGTACATAATTTCTTTGCATATCGTCACAAAGGAATTAGGGTTTCCGGATGAACGAGTGTCCGTAATATCGAGGTTTCATATTAGGGAAAAGTCAGCTGCTAGAACACGAAGACTAGTTCAAAAGAGGTCAAATACACTTAGACTCAAACAGAGATTTTAAACTGTTTCATCCATGGTCTGGTCACTATATGGCTGAAATGTTGCTGAGGTTAAATTGTAACTAACTCACTCATCCATGGTCTATCGGACGGATTAGTCAGTGAATTTGGTTTAACTCCGCTTTGAACGGTTTTTCAGTGCCACTGAGAATCAACATCATGTAGCTTGAAGAAGTTCTTACACGTTTACCATTTTGATGGAACCGATGCTGACTTAGGTATAGATCTTAGATTCAAACCCATGATCCGGAACCAACTATGGAATGGAATTGCGTTGCCTCTGGCAACTGCGCCACCTGCGACTTCCCTTCCCATTTTAACGGAATCATTATAAGACGCTGCAGTAGCTTTAGTATAGATTTTTACTCGTACATTCGAGATCTCAATAATACATGTTTAAAAATATCTTGCAATTTTTGTGTAGAGTCCATAACAAAAGATGTTTCTTTCACAAGATATCGTATAAGAAATAAGCATGACCTTGACCCTTTGACGTTGTGGAAAACAACGACATCTATTCACAAAATAACTTTTGAAATGTACACGTACTGACAAAGCCGTTACTTCCAAACGGAAGGGAAAGCGGGTCTGGTATGATGTGTATCCAGTGTTGGGATCGTCACCCCATCCTTCCTGGCAGGAACAAGACAGAAGAGACAGTGAAACTGGCACGGAGACATATAGACAGCAAACTGGACGCCGTCTCTATCTCAAATATAACAACATAAAAAGCACCGGAGACTGTTTATCTTATAGCAGAATGTAATTTAAGGGCTAAATGTATGAAGCGCCTTTTTTCAAGTTTTAATAATATTTTTGTTTCCTCCATATTGCTTATGACTCGAGACTGATCTAATTATATATATGATTCAGACAGGTAGCAAACCTCCAGCAAAGGAGTAAGAAAATTCGCTGTATGTCGGCATATAAAAAGCGAAACAGTAAATAACGCTTGTAACGAACACCATTGTAACAAACTTACGGATATGACAAACTCTTTTGTGTTAGTTTTGTCCTTTTTTAAATGTTTGTCATTTTGTCTGCTTTTTGTGTGTTATTGTTTGCTTTATATTTTAGTCGAAATGCCTGTAACAAACTATGGTTATAACTAAAATTGGTGGTTCCATGCGTTCGTTCGTACTGTATATGCAGATATATGAATATAGGGTGAGTGAGTGAGTTTAGGTTTACGCCGCAATCAGCAATGTTCCAGCTATATGACGGCAGTCTGTAAATAATCGAGTCTGGACCAGACAATCCAGTGATCAACAGTATGAGCATCATGGGGATCTAAGCAATTGGGATACGGTAACATGTGTCAACCTAGTCAGCGTGCCTTACCACCCGATCCCGTTAGTCACCTCTTACATCAAGCATGGGTTGCTGAAGATTAATTCTAACCCAGATCTTAACGGGTTAATAAAGATAGCAGTATATGGACAGGTAGATGTTAACATCGAGACTGCTGAGACAGTTTGGCTTAGCGCCGCTTTAAGCAGTATTCTTGTTGTATTACAATGCGTCTGCTGAATATGGGAGAAAAACCCGGAGTGATGCTGTTATCACTGATATCAGGGATTCCTATAATTTTGGTGTAGCCAACGAGGAAAGACATGGTGCTTACAACATTACCGGGGAGGACTGGGATCACAGGTTCCTTGAGCGCCCAGGGGACATAACTCCTACAGCGAATTGCGAGGCTCTAGACCATTTATTTACCCATGCCGGCGGCATCGTAACGGATTAGGTACATGTACATAGATAGGTAAATAAGGACAAGGAAACAAATTAATATCATTCACGTAGATACATGAATATAGGAACTTATCAATCAAGGAAATTGATTACGGTATGGAAAAACAGGTTACTTCATGTACACGTAGATTTATATAAGTTAAATACGTTGACGTATAGTTATGTACATGATAAGACGCATGTAAATTGAATATCAATCTATTATTTACTTATGAATTAGTGCAAGCCACTGAAATCAGGAATATGCGGTAGAACAGAACTTAACTTACAGACAGGAAGTAGTATTCGAAGGTCACGTTGACATTAAGGTTGCCTGGGACGCCGTAACCTGACCTCACAGATGTGTACACGTCACATAGAGCGTCACGTGCATACCGCTGAAAACATTTGCATGGAATGTAAGTTAAAACGTAGCGCAACTGGGAAGGGTGTAACGGTGAAGGACACAAATCCACGTACTACAGAATGTCTTCGAGCGAAACACGTGAGTTTGATAAGCTACACTGGGCTTCCTTTTTTAGGGACCGTTCATGATATTTAGGGCAAGTGTTTGTGTGTGTGTGTGTCTGGTGGGTGTGGGGGTTCATGTTGATATTTATGGAGAAGCATGTTCAATGTGAATGACACCTCTATTTAGAAAGAGAGAGAGAGAGAGAGAGAGAGAGAGAGAGAGAGAGAGAGAGAGATAGAGAGAGAATGAGAGAGAATGAGAGAGAGAGGAGAGAGAAAGAGAGAGAGAGGCATGTGTACAAAACTGATGATTCCCCTACCTCCCCATGACACACTCCTATGTCTCTCTCGCTCTCGCTCTCTCTCTCTCTCTCGCTCTCTCTCGCCCTCTCTCTCTCACTCTCTCTTTCTCTCTCGCTCTCTCTCTCTCTCTCTCTCTCTCTCTCTCTCTCTCTCTCTCTCTCTCTCACACAAACACACGCACACGCGCGCGCACACCTTAAGTTGCCATGAATAATGAACGGTCCCTTTGTGTATAACTTAAAATATTACGTCGGCATTATTCCCTTTCTTAACAGGATAAGGTGTTACACTCCTAGCTAAAATAATGTATGTCTAGTTCAGCGAGATATGATCGCTTGGTAACTGGCTTTAATTAGCAAAACTTTGATGTCACCCTCCCTCACTAATACAACATGTGCCTCTCATCCAAGCATCCCAAGGATGGGCAGCTTCAGGTGAAGAATCCACACATGAAATGTCTGTAGACAACCGTTTAGGAGTGCCACTGACCAGTAAGTAGGGGACTACAGATGAGGACAAGTGGACTCGTGGTCTGGGCCAGTGAGACTTCTTGGGACAGGAAATGGCCAGTGGACCTCAAATTAGGGCTAGCTGATTACTGACCAGGGAAAGTGGACTACTGATCGCCGCTGATGTATGAGATACTGGACTACTCACCTGGAGGGACTACATGTACTGACCTGTCCGGAGTAGGTGTAGTTGCTGTTGAGACCGAAAAACTGAAGCGGGTTTTTCATCTGTAGAATGAAGGAGCCATTCTGTTTGCTAGCTTGGGGATTCATCATGTCATCAAAAGAACCGTTGACCATTGGAAATACTGAACAGTTGCCTGTTACCTGGTCCCGGACATAGCGGACACCTGGGCATACATACATATACACTTTGCGGGCACCTGGACATACATTTATAGACATAGCGGACATCTGAACATACATACATCTAGACACTGTGGGCACCTGGACAAAAGATGTAAGATAGAGAGGACAGCTGGATATAGATGTTTACATAGAGTTGAAATCTGGAGACAGAGAGAACACCTGACATTGATACATAGTCAGAAAGTACTCCTGGACATTGATGTCCAGACAGCGTAGAGCAGACGCCTGGATAGTGATGTATAGAAACCTAGGAATACGTGTATTGACAGAGCAAATACCTGCACAAACGTGTATATAATGAACCAAAACCTTGAAAATACTTAGACAAATACATATACGAACATACAGATACACAAGACGCTGTGTCATCTCTATTATAATTCAATGTCAGTAACAACAATCACTAAAATTAGATACTAAATGATTACCAGCCAGCCACTCGGGTTAACACGTGGATGTATATGTTGACAGAGAGACAGAAATACAGCAACATCACGGATTTTGAAAGGGTCGGAAGGTAGATATATAGCACCAGCATGATGCAAGGTTGTCCTCATTTGCCTCAAAGACCAGATGTATGATGAACATACATCCCAACTCCTGGAATCGTGACATGCTTACCGTAGTTAAAGTCGTGTATCTCGGTTATGGGGTTGAGAGTGTTGATGGTAGATGTCATTTGGTCCGGTCTGTGGTCGACTCTGATGTACTTGTTGTCAGAATTGTACCAAATCTAGAAAAAAGGAGTTTTTCTGTTGTACGGATTACTTATTTCCAAAAGGACGTTGATTTGAACTGACTGACCTATTGAATCACTTACTCACTCTCAAAAGCCTTCGTAAATCTAACATATATTCGTGAGTTATTAACACTCTAAAATCGCAACCGACATCAGCCTGTATTAAAATCTCTTTCACATCGTCCAACTGTCATCCTGTTCTGTAACCGTTAACCGACATCAGCCCGCATTAGAATCCCTTCCACATCCTACGATACTTCCAACACCCATCCTGTTCTCTAACTCTCAACCGACATCAGCCTACATTAGAATCCCTTCCACATCCTACGATACTTCCAACACCCATCCTGTTCTCTAACTCTCAACCGACATCAGCCTACATTAGAATCCCTTCCACATCCTACGATACTTCCAACACCCTTCCTGTTCTCTAACTCTCAACCGACATCAGCCTACATTAGAATCCCTTCCACATCCTTCCAACACCCATCCTGTTCTCTAATACGATACTTCCAACACATCCTGTTCTCTAACTCTCAACCGACATCAGCCTACATTAGAATCCCTTCCACATCCTACGATACTTCCAACACCCATCCTGTTCTCTAACTCTCAACCGACATCAGCCTACATTAGAATCCCTTCCACATCCTACGATACTTCCAACTCTCAACCGACATCCTGTTCTCTAACTCTCAACCGACATCAGCCTACATTAGAATCCCTTCCACATCCTACGATACTTCCAACACCCATCCTGTTCTCTAACTCTCAACCGACATCTACATTAGAATCCCTTCCACATCCTACGATACTTCCAACACCCATCCTGTTCTCTAACTCTCAACCGACATCAGCCTACATTAGAATCCCTTCCACATCCTACGATACTTCCAACACCCATCCTGTTCTCTAACTCTCAACCGACATCAGCCCATCCTACGATACTTCCAACACCCATCCTGTTCTCTAACTCTCAACCGACATCAGCCTACATTAGAATCCCTTCCACATCCTACGATACTTCCAACACCCATCCTGTTCTCTAACTCTCAACCGACATCAGCCTACATTAGAATCCCTTCCACATCCTACGATACTTCCAACACCCATCCTGTTCTCTAACTACATTAGAATCCTTCCACATCCTACGATGCTTCCAACACCCATCCTGTTCTCTAACTCTCAACCGACATCAGCCCAATCCTTAACTCTCAACCATCAGCCTACATTAGAATCCCTTCCACATCCTACGATGCTTCCAACACCCATCCTGTTCTCTAACTCTCAACCGACATCATTAGAATCCCACCACATCCTACGATTAGAATCTAACTCTCAACCGACATCCTACGATCCCTTCCAATCCACCCACCCTCCTTCTCTCTAACTCTCAACCGACATCAGCCTACATTAGAATCCCTTCCACATCCTACGATCCAACACCCTTGTTCTCCTAACACCCATCCTAGGAATCCCTTCTCTAACTCTCAACCGACATCAGCCTACATTAGAATCCCTTCCACATCCTACGATACTTCCAACACCCATCCTGTTCTCTAACTCTCAACCGACATCAGCCTACATTAGAATCCCTTCCACATCCTACGATACTTCCAACACCCATCCTGTTCTCTAACTCTCAACCGACATCAGCCTACATTAGAATCCCTTCCACATCCTACAATACTTCCAACACCCATCCTGTTATCTAACTCTCAACCGACATCAGCCTACATTAGAATCCCTTCACATCCTACGATACATCCTACCGATGTTCTCTAACTTCCCGACACATCCCCATCCTGATACTTCCAACACCCATCCTGTTCTCTAACTCTCAGCCGACATCAGCCTACATTAGAATCCCTTCCACATCCTACGATACTTCCACACACCCATCCTGTTCTAACTCCACATCAGCCTACATTAGATCCCTTCCACATCCTACGATACTTCCAACACCCATCCTGTTCTCTAACTCTCAACCGACATCAGCCTACATTAGAATCCCTTCCACATCCTACAATACTTCCAACACCCATCCTGTTATCTAACTCTCAACCGACATCAGTCTACATTAGAATCCCTTCCACATCCTACGATATTTCCAACACCCTTCCTGCTCTTCAACCCTCAACTGACATCGGGGCGGTGGGGTAACTTTATGGTTAAAACATCAGCTCTTCACTACTGCTGGAATAATGTAAAAGCGACATAAAACCATGCTCAGTCAGTCAACCGATATCAGCCTGTACTAGAATATCTTCCATATTCATCGATACGATCTTGTTCTCTAAAGCGGGCTTCACACGGCAAACTAAAGTTTGACAACACATGTTAAAATTTTAAAAGTTGTCAAACTCGCGTTTTCACTCGTCAAACACACGTTGTCAAACTTTCGTGTCATTTGAGTGCCGTGTCTCTATCGGTGCGGTCATGTAACAATTTCGTTGACTGCGATTGGTTGTTTCTGAACAACATGAGTTTGACAACACTTCACTCGTCAAACTCGAGTTTGACAACACCGAAAGTTTGATGGAAAAGTTGGTGAGAATACAGACCGAATCTATTTCTCGACAACAGTTTGACAACTCTGAAATTGGTGTTGGTGGCGAGTTGTTGGAACGTTCACACTCTCAAACTCGAGTTTGAAAATATGTGTTGTCAAACTTTAGTTCGCCGTGTGGAGTCGGCTTAACCCTCAACCTACATCAGCCTGCTCTATGTCGGCGTTCACAACGTCAATGATCTCCTGGCGGTAATAGTAGTTTGATGGCAGTTGTGGTAAACCTTTAGTGTTGATCCTGCCGGGGCATTCCACATTGTTAGGTGTCTGGAAAAATCCGGATTCAATAGATGTTAGATGTAGAAATATACTGACGTTCATAAGAAAGTACACACCTGGTGTTTTGGGACTATTTCCATTAAAACCATAAATATTTCGCTAGCAATGTTGTACCTGGGTACAATATCTGGTGTTTTGGAAACACTTGCAAAATGTTTGTGACATGGCAGAATCAAAACACTTTTTAAAATATTAATGCTGTTTTAAAGAAAACATTTTACCAAAGAATCAGGTGACTGTGTACTTTCTTCTGAACGTCAGTTTATGTGAAGATGGAACATACACACTAAACACCAAAAGAAACGTTACTCTCCTACATTCATGAATAGCTTTAAAACTATCACAGATATGTTAGAAGGTATTAGTTTACAAGAAGCTTAACGACACAACTTTATGTAAATCACGAAAACAAATTCTCAAATGCATTCATATTTAGGTGAAATGCATCTTTTGTCAGAAGAGTTAAACTGCCCTATTTTCGTCCATGCTGAAATAAACCAATAACAGTGATTTAGATGTCCAAAAGAAAGATTAAAACAAGAAACAACTATTGAAGAGTGTGTAAAATTGTAAAATAATCATTCCTATGATTCAGCCTTATAAAACATTTTCTGCTGATTTGCCTTAATGAAAACAAGTAACACGTGTCTTTGATACCGTGACAAAATGTTTAGGCACATCTAAACTTATCTTTGTTAACATTTTTGCTTGCAAAGTAATATTTTTTCATTTTCTGTTTACACATAGAAATATCAATCGCCAGAACGCAGCAATATTCAAGCATTATTTACATCCATTTCAAATGTAGAATGATTCTGTAGGGTATAAAGAGGGCCTAGCATGCATGATATGATACACAAGTACGAGAAATATGCCACGATTAACAGCTGAAGAGAAAGAAAGAGCCATTATAATGGTGCAGATTGGGTCGACATACAATGCTGTTGTCAACGCCCTCGGATGCCATCGTATCACGGTTACAAGATTTATCCAGGGCTTCAGACAGACTTGGGTCCCCATCGACAGACCAAGAAGTGGACGTCCAAGCATCACAACGCCAGCTGGAGATAGGTACCTCCGTCAGTAAGGAAGGAGGGTAACGTTTCTTTTGGCGTTTAGTGTACATCATGACAAATGGAAGTGATACTGGGTCTTTGCTCTGTTGGACCGGGAGGGTGGTGAGATTAAGTTGAGGGCTAGGTGAGATGGTGTATTAGGATGATATGGTGGATTACTGTGGGGTGGTGAATTATGGTGGGGAAGGGGATTATGGTGGGATGGTGGATTAGGATCAGGGAGGTGATTAGATGGGGTTTGTGGATTAGGATGAGAAAGATATCTATGTTCCTTGGTGGATTAAGGTAGTCCATTAGGGAGGGTGGATTAGGGTCGGGGGACGTGATTAGATAGGGTTTGTGGATTAGGATGAGAAAGATATCTATGTTCCTTGGTGGATTAAGGTAGTCCATTAGGGAGGGTGGATTAGGGTCGGGGGACGTGATTAGATAGGGTTTGTGGATTAGGATGAGAAAGATATCTATGTTCCTTGGTGGATTAAGGTAGTCCATTAAGGGAGGGTGGATTAGGGGTTGGAGTACTGACTGGAAGGGTACTTAATTCTGCAATTTTGCTATATGTCCGTTTTCACCGTAACAGATAACATGTATTTACATGTACTTTCAATTTCTGATAAATACCTATTTTAGAAATAATTTCGATGTCAGTGTACCTCATAGTCTGTCGGACCAAGGTCGGTGTCGTCCTTGAAGTCGAAGTAGTCGTACACGTGGTGGAACTTCCTCGGGGCAGAGCCGTTAGTAAAAGTTTGCTCTCCAGACATTTCTATTCTCACCGGAACCATCACATGAGTTGATGAAGTTGTCCAGTTTGAGGCTGGCAAAAGGTCAAAGAACAGTCACTAAGAGTTAACCTGTTATAACACATTTCTACGTAGTTTTAAAAAACTGAATTTTAACTCAAAGAAACACTAGATAAGACAAGAACAGTTGTCTGCATATGTGAAGTAAGATGAGACAACAGTCGCGTGTGCTTGAGTAGACAAAGACATAACAAAAAGCATCGCTGCTCGTGTAGTAAGACAAGACAACCAACCATCTGTGCCTGTGTTACACGACAACACAACAGTTATCTATGCTTGTGTCACACAAAACAACACAACAGTTATCTGTGCTTCTGCCACACGGCAACACAACAGTGACCTGTGCTTGTGTCACACAAAACAACACAACAGTTAGCTGTGCTTGTGTCACACGACATAACAACAGTTATCTGTGCTTCTGCCACAAGACAACACAACAGTGACCTGTGCTTGTGTCACACACGACAACACAACAGTGACCTGTGCCTGTGTCACACAAGACAACACAACAGTTATCTGTGTTTGTGTCACACGACAACACAACAGTGACCTGTGCTTGTGTCACACAAAACAACACAACAGTTGTCTGTGTTTGTGTCACACGACATAACAAGAGTTATCTGTGCTTCTGCCACACGACAACACAACAGTGACCTGTGCTTGTGTCACACGACATAACAACAGTTATCTGTGTTTGTGTCACAAGACAACACAACAGTTACCTGTGCTTGTGTCACACAAAACAACACAACAGTTATCTGTGCTTGTGTAACACAAAACAACACAACAGTTGTCTGTGTTTGTGTCACACAAAACAACACAACAGTTATCTGTGCTTGTCTCACACAAAACAACACAACAGTTATCTGTGCTTCAGCCACACGACAACACAACAGTGACCTGTGCTTGTGTCACACGACATAACAACAGTTATCTGTGTTTGTGCCACGCGATATAACAACAGTTATCTGAGCTTGTGTCACACAAAACAACACAACAGTTATCTGTGTTTGTGTCACACGACATAACTACAGTTATCTGGGCTTGTGTCATACGACAACACAACAGTTGTCTGTGCTTGTGCCACGCGACATAACAACAGTTATCTGTGCTTGTGCCACGCGACATAACAACAGTTATCTGTGCTTGTGTCACACGACATAACAACAGTTACCTGTGTTTGTGTCACACGACATAACAAGAGTTATCTGTGTTTGTGCCACGCGACATAACAACAGTTGTCTGTGCTTGTGCCACGCGACATAACAACAGTTATCTGTGCTTATGTCACACGACATAACAACAGTTGTCTGAGCTTGTGCCACACGACATAACAACAGTTATCTGTGCTTGTGCCACACGACATAACAACAGTTATCTGTGCTTGTGCCACACGACATAACAACAGTTATCTGGGCTTGTGTCATACGACAACACAACAGTTGTCTGTGCTTGTGCCACACGACATAACAAGAGTTATCTGTGTTTGTGCCACGCGACATAACAACAGTTGTCTGTGCTTGTGCTACACGACATAACAACAGTTATCTGTGCTTGTGTCACACGACATAACAACAGTACTCTGTGCTTTAGTCATACGACAATAGCTGGGTATGTGTTGTCACTCTTGTCGGGTCCAGTTCACAGAAGATTAGTTCTTCGTTCATCTGCAGTAACACAAGTTAACAGCTCTCTGTTTATCTGCGGTAACAAAAGTTAACAGTTTTCTGTTTATCTGTGGTAAGTCATGTTATTTTTTTTTCATGTGTAGTAACACAAGTTAACAAATACATGTTTCTCTGTGGTAACACATGTTAACAGTTCTCTGTTGTAACACAAGTTAACAGTTCTCTGTTTATCTGCAGTAACACAAGTTAACAGTTCTCTGTTTATCTGCAGTAACACAAGTTAACAGTTTCCTTTTTATCTGTGGTAACACAAGCTAACAGTTCTTTGTTTATCTGCAGTAACACAAGCTAACAGTTCTCTGTTTATCTGCAGTAACCCAAGTTAACAGTTTTCTGTTTATCTGTGATAACAAAAGTTAACAGTTTTCTTTTTATCTGTGGTAACACAAGTTAACAGTTATCAGTAGAAACACACGTTAACAGCTCTCTTTTCATCTGTGGTAACACATGTGAACAGTTCTCTGTAGTAAGACCAGTTAACAGATCTCTGTTTATCTGTAGTAACACATGTTAACACTTCTCTGTTTATCAGTAGAAACACCAGTTAACAGTTTTCTGTTTATCTGTAGTAACACATGTTAACAGTTCTCTGTAGTAACACCAGTTAACAGCTTTCTGTTTATCTGTAGTAACACATGTTAACAGTTCTCTGTAGTAACACCAGTTAACAGCTCTCTGTTTATCTGTGGCAACACAAGTTACCACTTCTCTATTTATCTGCAGTAACACAAGTTAACAGTTCTCTGTTTATCTGTAGTAACACAAGTTAACAGTTTTCTGTTAATCTGTGGTAACAAAAGTTAACAGTTCTCTGTTTATCTGCAGTAACACAAGCTAACAGTTCTCTGTTTATCTGTAGTAACACAAGTTAACAGTTTTCTGTTTATCTGTAGTAACACAAGCTAACAGTTCTCTGTTTATCTGCAGTAACACAAGTTAACAGTTTTCTGTTTATCTGTGGTAACAAAAGTTAACAGTTTTCTTTTTATCTATGGTAACACAAGCTAATAGTTCTCTGTTTATCTGTAGTAACACAAGTTAACAGTTATCAGTAGAAACACAAGTTAACAGCTCTCTTTTATCTGTGGTAACACATGTTAACAGTTCTCTGTAGTAAGACCAGTTAACAGCTCTCTGTTTATCTGTAGTAACACATGATAACACTTCTCTGTTTATCTGCAGTAACACAAGTTAACAGTTTTCTGTTTATCTGTGGTAACAAAAGTTAACAGTTTTCTTTTTATCTGTGGTAACACAAGTTAACAATTCTCTGTTTATCTGTGGTAACACATGTTAACAATTCTCTATTTATCTGCAGTAACACAAGTTAACACTTCTCTATTTATCTGCAGTAACTCAAGTTAACACTTCTCTATTTATCTGCAGTAACACAAGTAAACAGTAATCTGTGCAGGTGTAGAAACAAATTTTTATACTGTAGTTATTTCGAGACCATGTCGTGACAGAGCTTTTTCACCTGTGAAGTAGTGGTCCAAGGTGAAGTTGGTGTTTGCTTGGGGCCAGTACATACACGACTGCCAGTGTAGGGTGGGGAGACCACGTGTAGTACCGTACCCCTTGAACACCTGGAACAAGACATTGTTTAGACAGGCCAATAAGTAAAAGCGACGAAACCTTTTCCACATTCATAAGACATCTCTATTAATCAGTTGATTTTATACTTCTGGTTGTATTATGAGTGTGTATTTTATGAGCCAATATCGGATACTTTTATGATACAAAGTGTTCGGAAAATGTCAGTGTATCCTCCCTCCATAACACGCTTCACAAACACATGCAAAGGCATGTCAATTTTTCACAGGGCAAAACACTAACATATGTCAAAATAGGAAATTTGATCATCATTAGGAAATATAGTAAACAACCAGAAACACTTATCTTCAAGAATGAAGAATGAATCTTCAAAATATTTCGTCCAGTTACATGATCTTGTTACATAATGTTTATTTGAATGTATTACCGGGCCATTTTGGGATCCGAATCGCAGAGCTTGGTTTGCTGGTGGTATATGGCTGCGCCCATCCGTGACGTCATCGCCGAACAGATTCATTTCGTTGGACGTTGTGAGATTCAAAACCTGACAATTTGAATCTGGAACAAAACGGCTAAAACGAACTGACGGATATAACGTACTTGTCCTTTTTCCCCAGCCAACTGCGTTTTATCTGAGTCGAACTACGGTTTTGTCGAACAAAAGGTAGTGGTCCCTTTGAGTTTTTTATAACAGCAGTTTACTGTCAGTCGATTTGAAGCTATTTTGTCCAATTTTTAATATGTTTCAATCACTGTTAAAAAACAGTTAATTATCGTTGACCAGTGAGTACTGTCACTGTACGTTTTTCGTCAACTGAACGTTTTAATATACATCCTTAACTCACTCACTTACTCCAGTGACCGCCTACGTGGTGCAGTGGTTAGAGCGTCCGCCCGGAGAGCGGAAGATCGCGGGTTCGACCCCCCGACCGCGTCATACCAAAAGACGTTAAAATATGGTACTTGTTGGTCCCTGCCTGGCGTTCGGCATTAATGGGTACAACAAGGACTGGTCGGCTCGGAGTCAGTATAATGTGTCTGAGTGGGGTATTCATGCTTCACTGCGGCATGGTATCTCAGTGGGCTAGCACTATAAAACGAGCTTAAGTCTGGGCTAGTACAAGCAGCCGCACATACACATACACACGCATGCACGTCGTCATATGAGCGAAATATTCTGAAGCACGACGTAAAACCTAATTTCACCTCACCTCACCTCACTTACCCCAGTGTGTTAGTTGTACTTTGTGTGGTTAGTGAGGGGGCACGAAGTTGATAACAGATGAAGGGTTTTTTTCTAAAAGACGTCAAATTTTCAACATCCTGAAATGCAGTTCATTTGTTTCTGAAATGAACCTCTCTACATGGACTTTTCTTTCAAGTGAATGGTCTAATTCTTTGTTTGCATTCATTCTGAGTTTGTTTGTTTGTTTATTTTATAGTGCTGCACTCAGCAGTATTCCAGATTTATGGCGGCGGTCTGTAAATAATCGAGTCTGGACCAGACAATCCAGGGATCAATCGATCTAGGCAATTTGGGACACGATGACATGTGTCAACCAAGTCAGCGAGCCCTACCACCCGATCCTATAGTCGCCTGTTACGGCAAGCATGGGTTGCTGCAGGCCAATACTAACTCGAATCTCTAGGGGTCCTATCTGGGTTTGACCTTCCATCGAGCACTTTTCGGTATTAGTAAATAATCCAATTTTCCAGTTTCATAAAATCAATCAGTGTGAAATCAAATTGTCAATATTTCCCTGACCTACTGATGCTTGTTGGTATAGGATCTGTGATTTCACACCCAACATACATCAGTAAACCTTAAATTGTGGTTCCAAATGTACTTACGCACCTGTGTCAACATTAAAAATCTCGCCGGTATTATAGCTGTATATAGAACGGGAGTCCATGCCGTTGGCAAACATTTTGATCAAGCCGATGTTGCCGTCAAAGTTGAGGTACTGTTCCGCGTCCATTGTGTAGCCTTTGTCGATGAAGTTGGCCTCCACGTGAGCCTGGAAGGACTGGAACGACATGTCCGGCAGTGGAGGATCTGAATGGGGGACAGTGTGAATGAGTATGGTTTTACGCCGTTTTAACAATATTAATCCTGCAATATTATGTCTAGGGACACTAAAAATGGGTTTTATACATTGCATCCATGTTTGAAATCGAACCCGGGTCTTCGATGTGCGTCCTTCGAGCGGACGCTTGAACCATTAGGCGACCCCACTGCTGCTGGGTAATAAAGGGCAGATTACCCAGTGTCACTTGTTTGTGTGGAGATTAGTGAGTAGTGCCCCGGACATAACATTGTCTAAAGCAGTAAAATACATGAGTCGGGACTCGACGCACAGGCCAGCAAGTTATAAAGTAGGTCAGTGATTGTCTCGACCCACGGCCAAAGACAGTTATAAAGTAGGTCAGTGATTGCCTCGACCCATGGGCCCAGCAAAGTTATAAAGTAGGTCAGTGATTGTCTCGACGCACAGGCCAGCAAGTTATAAAGTAGGTCAGTGATTGTCTCGACCCACGGCCAAAGACAGTTATAAAGTAGGTCAGTGATTGCCTCGACCCATGGGCCCAGCAAAGTTATAAAGTAGGTCAGTGATTGTCTCGACACACAGGCCAGCAAGTTATAAAGTAGGTCAGTGATTGTCTCGACCCACGGGCCCAGCAAAATTATAAAGTAGGTCAGTGATTGTCTCGACACACAGGCCCAACCACGGTTTAAAGTAGGTCAGTGATTGTCTCGACACACTGGCCCAACAACGTTTTAAAGTATGTTAGACCGAAAAGTTACTGAGTGTCTCGACCAATTGGCCAAGCAAGTTCTTAAGTAGGTTAATAATCGCCTCGGCCCATGGGCCAAACAGTTTGTAGAATAGCTGGATGTATAGCATGTGTCTGGCGCACCCCCATAGTACTGAGTAAATAAATGTCTCACCTGTCGGGTTAGGCTGGGTTCCGGGACCCCCGGTGCAAAACGGCGTGAGGGACGTCACGTCAGTGACGCACAGCAAGACCCACGTCATCAATACTGACACTTTCCGTAACACCTGTACACAACAGATTTGTGAATCCAAGTGACACAGTTTTGTTTTGTTTTGTTTTTAAATTTTATTCACGTCAGTTGGATACAAACGTCAACTTTGCGAGCCTTAAAGTGAGAGACAACATGCGTGGAAAGACACACTTACATATTCAATTACATTATGTGCTGGGAATAGTAGACTATATGCAAGACCGTGGAATCACAATGAAATGCAAGTACTGCATCCTCGTAAGATGAAGTCATAACAGTGACAATGCTGGTGACATTACATCCCATGTTCTATGAAACGAATCCATGTTGACACAGTTATTGGAGACATGGTCGCAAGATCAGGAACTCTTTAAATGCAAAGGAAAGACAATAAGTGAGTGAGTAAGTATGGTTTTACGCCGCTTTAGCATTGTTCAAGTAATATCACCGCGGGGGACACCAGAAATGGGCTTCACACATTGTACCAATGTGGGGAATCGAACCCGGGTCTTCGGCGTGACGAGCGAATGCTTTAACCACAAGGCTACCCCACCGCACCAAAAGACATTTAACTTTATGAGGCACATATTGTCTTATGTCAACATGTTCGTGTGAAATTGGTCTGATAATTCCTGAAACATTTTTCGACAACTTTTAGGATTTTTCTACCAGCTACCTGGATATGAACCTTTAACCTCATGAATTGAAGCATTTTCCACATTGAATTGAAGCATTGCCCCACAGAGATGTCAAAATATACATTCTATTTTATTCTTATGTCGGTCTCTTGTTAAAATGGATGTGATGTGACAAGCTTATGAAAAAAATATGTCGATATTAAATATCGATCTTTCTTTATCTTTACGTATATATACAATCGAAATTATAATTTTTGGTGAGTTCACAAAGTGAGGACAAAGATATATAAATACCGTAACAGCAATTATGAACTCTATCAAAACAGGGCTGTTCACAGGCTGTTACCTTGATATAAGCTTGAAGTAGGCGAGGGACGCGCTTTCGTTATCAGGTATTGGAGTCACATATGATATGTTAGAACACAACATACAAGGGCAAAAACGAAATGTTAAACCTCAAATATTTGCTCTTTTGTTAAATAATAATAGACTAAATACACCTCTGTACATTGGTCGCATCTTTTTAAAAAAATCATGACTTATAAGAAAATGATTATAGGATACATGAATATTTACGCGGCAGTCTCCCAAGACAAATTATTGGGATATTTTTTTCAATATATACTCATGCCAATAATGGTTGTCACCCCTGCCCACCCCAACCCCCACACACTCACACCCACCCCTCTCCAATTAAAAAAATTGAAGGGGGTGACAACCATTATTGGCATGAGTATATCTTGTTATTTTTGTATTGTGAATATAAGTATCAGTGTTTGTATCATAGACAATAAAAAAAAGGTGTGGTTTTGACTGTTGTATACAGGTACTCACCGTCATTCTGCTAGGCCAGCGAGCGGTATCCACCATTGCTGGGTCCTTGCTCTAATTACAAGGTGTAAAGTTCGATGTTATCGGGGAAGAATGGCGGTGTTGTCGCACAGAGAATTTCACGTTATCTTGTTATCATGTATCATATATCGTATTATGAATAATGTTGCGAAGTGAGTGAGTGAGTGAGTGAGTGAGTGTGTGAGTGAGTGAGCGAGCCGCTTTTAATATTATTATTATTATTTAATATTCCGGGTAATATTAAATGGAATATTGCTAAAAGCGGCGTATAACTAAACTCACTCACTCACTCTTCGGTCAGAAGAGCTGGCGGGGTAGTGAATAGATATTATTCATAAAATATCTTGCGCGTTTGTATCATATATATAATGAGGATACCGAGTTAAAACGTGGTTCTAATAACCTGCTTATCCCAACAGGAGACTTTGTGGATCGGATGGTCAGGTTTGGGGACTTTGCCCGGCGTTTGTACTGTCCGGACCAGAGAGAGTCCATAATATACAGGTGTTAAATAATAAACACTCGTTCCAAGAAATGACAAACAAGCATCTTTGATATTCATATTTATATTATTACTGGAATATATTTGAAATGCGCGATACAATGAACAAAACGTCATCCAATATATTATTCATCATCTGAAAGTTAACATGTACATCCTCTTGTCATCCTCAATACTCTCTCTCGATACTCGACAGATAATGAAAGCATTCTTGGTAGCTAGCTCCCAACTGATTATAACATACTCGTTATATACGAATCATCCTCCGAGTTTGGTCCAACATCAAAGCAGTCATCTCTTGATCCAGATCATATTGTCAGGCCAAGCGGAATATTCTTCAACGTTGAGGATCTGAAGTGCAGTGATGTGTTTAAAGGGAAGAAAGCCGTTCCTGATGAGGAAGTTACAGATCTCGCGTCCGTGAGGGGAGTGGCGCTGAAACATCCACTCCATCATGATGTAGCGGACGTCAAATGTTTGGAAAAATTTAGACGCTCGACGGAATACGTTCACCTCGTGACCTTCAATGTCCATTTTAATAAACACCTTCTTGAAGTCCACAACACGCACCAGATCATCCAACACAATGGAATCAACGATGGTGTCGTTAGTATTATGTGTTGACTCGGATACTGGTTCTATCCTAGACCCGCCCACGTTGTACCGGTTGATGAGGACTTTGACAGGCTCCACATGGTCGGAGACAGCGTTGAGAAGAAGGTGGACGTTGTCATGGACTCCGGCGTAAGTTAGAGAAGAATAGAGTAAGTACAGATTTGAACTAATTGGATCTACAGCAACGACCTTTCTACCCATCAAAGCAGCATACACGGTATACATGCCAACATTACATCCTATATCAATCACGTGCATGTTGGGGACGGAGGTCAAGGCCGTTGCCATGGCTGCGAGCAGATCCGGTTCCCAGGATCCAGTGTCCCGGATCTGAGATGAAATAAACTGATCTCGTTTGCTGTAAACACAGAGACGAGTTCCGTTCTTCATAGTCTTGAAAGGAACACAACTACTCCTAGGAACCAGTCTGTGTGGATTGTATACATACACTTTACCCTTCTTATTCCTCTCTGCTTTCTTATCTGAGTAGTTTATCTTCTGCCTTTCTTGAAAGTTATGTTTGTTGAAATGAACAGGGTTGATATAATCGTCAAATGATTCAGTGGGTTGACGAAGTCGTGAGTCGTGGATGTAGTCCAGGTAATCCTGTTCCTCCGTCAGGTGATTTTCCCAGTATCTCGCTCCCCCCGACCCTCCCCAAACAGATGAATATGTGTACCACGCCAGCAGGAACGTTGGTACCGTCACGATCAGTATCGCCGCGCAATACGACTTCGTCATGAACTGATGAACCATGACTTTCACACGAACATGGAGTGGAGCTGGACAAGTATTGCTGAATCATTGACCACCTACTTCCTCGTCGCTCAGCTGTCCGACCAGGTGGAACACGGATAACCTTGTTGCGTGAATTGCGCCGTTCGTGATGTTTTCCTCCATTATCGTTTGGATTTGGAATCGACTGTGTTCATTCTGAGTCGTTGTTCAGAACATCGTAGAAGCTGGAGAAAAAAAACAGAACAGTTTATTCTTGGGGAAAAACCAGTACGTTGATCACTTTTCTGGTTGACGAGGCCCCAATTTCTCGAAACAAACTTAAGTGTAAGTTTTGACTTAAGTGAGAGTTTTTATTCAAATTTGAGAAAACGCAGGAAAATAAATTTCCCAGAATAAAGTGAAATCGATATTAAACTCTAACGTAGTAGACAATTTGAGTTTGGTGGATAGATTACTTTAGCTGTTTGGGCTTTTTTATTTTCAAAATGCAGTTGAGTTAAATATTCAGCTGTTGCAAATTGTAAAACTCAGTTTGAAATTTGAGTAAAAACTTAAGTTTGTTTCGAGAAATCGGGGCCAGGTCGGTTAACTGGATCTAGTGTATTCTGAGTTGTTTATTTGTTTGTTGCGTAACGCCACACTCTACAAAAATAAAGTTATATGACGGCGTTCTGTATAATCGAGTTGCACCAGACAAGCCAGTAAGGGATTTAAATACCCAATACTACACACCTTGGATACGATCAGATGCACCAACCATGTGACCGAGCCTGAACGCCCCATTAGGCTTGGGTTGATGAAGTTCTAACCTTGATCTTCAGCTTGTATGTATTCCAGGCTCATAATTATTCCTCATCAAGTCTAATGAATAATATGGGTCTCGCTTCGTAGTCAAATATAGATGTACGTTCCTCCATGCAATCATTTGATACGTATAGAACACCATTTATTTTGGGCCTAAAAGATTTTTTGAGACTTCAAGAGAAATTAACCGCCTTCAGAGTTACTTCCCTTTGTATAGCTGCAGGCTTCGTCTGCCTTGAGTGAACATGTCAACCGGGGTGGAATTAATAGATTTTATCGCTGCGTCTAAGTCATAAACCTGACTGCTAGCTTTGTCCGCTATATACCAAGGCTTCTAGCACAAACCTGCTCCAGTGTTTATCGGCCTGGGGCGAAATATGGTGAGCGGTCACACTTCCGCATTGGAAGAGGGATTCAGACAAGGGGACACACTTTGCTCTGATAACTTCCATAAATATATTTTATGTTTTTGTCTATGGAATATCAAGCTGCCTCTACTAATTATATAAAACATGATTACTTTCATTTTCCTCAAATCTAAAAACAGTGAAAATTTCGAAACATCCATGAATTCGTAATGTAAACAATTGATTAAACTCGCTGCTGTAGATGGCAGTTACAGGATTGTAGGAGTGCAAAACCATAATTCATATACAAATGAAAGCATTATATGTACCTACCTTACGGACTGAGGCGAAAGCCCAACCCCTGCTATATTCCATCTTGATACCCCGGGACGGAGCCTGTCCCCCATCGTGTCAGCTGCAGGTAAACAGTACGTGCGGTAGCTGAGTGACCTTGACATACGCCATGTCGTCAGATTACTGAGTCCAGGTGCTGACATCCGACAGGGACAGATAACACAGTTAGCTACTGTGCTAGCGCTGTCTCTACATACAATTGTCGCATTGTTGCTATTTACTCAGCTGACACATCCTGGCATCATCATCAGTGCAAATTTGGGGTTCGAACACATGCTAAGCGGATCTGGGATTGCTTATGGTTGGTCGTTGTTTTACGCCGCACTCAGAAATATTCCAGCTATATGGCGGCGTTCTGTAAATAATCGAGTCTGGACCACACAACCCAGTGATCAACAGCATGAGCATCTATCTACGCAACTGGGATACGATGACAGATTGCTTATGGATGCAACTCTGTACTGCGAGTCGCGACGACGCCCGTTACGTCAACACCTGGTGTCATCACTGATACATCTACAGTGATTCTGCTGGAATATTACTAAACGTGAAGTGGAAGTAATTAAAGTCACTGGAGTCATCCATCTTAAAATAATATCTTCTGGGTTGTTTCTTGTAATTCTGAATCTTAATGCATTGATTTGAAAACAGATTTGGATATCCGTGTCACTGGTCTCGTATATTTCTTCAGCTTAATCAGTGGAAGGAAAGAGGCTATCTGTTCACATAACCACAATGTACTATTATGAATCATCTCAATAATATCCAAGATATTTTTTATGGATTAAACTTCTTTTTTAATTTCTATCACAACGTTTCGAGACCATTCCAGTGAACCTGATGAAGGGACCTGGAATGGTCTCGAAACGTTGTGAGAGAAATTAAAAAAGAAGTTTAATCCATAAAAAATATCTTGGACATCAATGTACAACTTCTAAATGCCACTGAAAGACATCATCTCAATAATGTTTTTACTTTTTTAATGAAACATACTGATACAAAATTATGACTGCTGCCTGAGTTCTGCGCATGTCCAGTAGTTCATGTAACACGTGACGAAAGGGTCAAAGGTTGGGATCGCTTGACGTATAGATAACGTAAGACGTTAACATTGATTACTTAGGTTCAAAGTTTCAGCTCTAAAAGCTGTATATGATTGTGTTTAACGCTACATATGTTCATATGAGCGGGACAATTCATGTACAAATATAGTGTTGTTTCTAGGGCTGGATATTGCCCTAATTCTCATATTGCGATATATTGCAATAATTTAAGAGATAGTGCAAGACATATTGTGATATATTGACTGGAAGGTTTCTGTCCAAGCGGGTACATCATAAATTCATAATAGCTCTCTGTGTGCGACATCATGTATGATAAAATAAAAAATGGTAAAGAAAGTGTTTGGCTTAAAAATGTAGAGGATATATTGAATAGATGCGGACTGAGTGATGTGTTCAGAAATCCATATAATTATTCCCCCAAACGGGTTTCATTACAATAGTAGAAGTAGAAATCACCGTAAGGGACAATTTCTGTCTATCCTGGCGAAGCTCCGTTAATAAAAGTTCTAAAGGAATTAGTTATGAACTAATTATAGAAATCATGTCTTTCGAACAATTTTTACTTCTCGAAAAATCATTATATCTCCCGCTTTTGAATTTCAGAACAAGCCACCATGATGTTCCAGCAGAAACAGGCAGATGGCGTGAGAAGAGAACATGTCCTCGACATGTGCTATTCTCCAGTCATTGCAGATGAAGTACACTATCTATTTAGATGTACAGAACGTCGTCTTTATATTAATGAATTATTAATGAATTATAATTTAATTTAAGACAAATGTCAGAATTATTTAAGAATCTGTCGAAATATATATATGTTGTTTTTAACAAGTTAATATGACCTATGCTACTGATATCGCCATTCTTGACTGTTTATGTAATACATGTATATTTATATTCTGTTGCACCAAAGTGGATGCTTTCTGAGAAAAATAAACCTGTCTTGTCATGTTCTTAGTTGGTTTTACACCACACTTTAAGGCTCCTCGTCCCCATTGTGTATGACTGTATGACAGTGGTTTAAAGATAAAGAAAATGATATAGAAACTTTAATGTGGAATGTCTAATTGACGTATTGCAACAAAGTTTTGAGAACATAATGATAAAGGTAATAGTATAACATGATTTTCATGGTCAGTGCTGTTTGCTTCAATAGAATATGCACTTCAATGCAGTTTGTAATTATCGTTACTGTATGATTCATTCAGGTTCAACTCCAATATAAACATGTGTTAACGTAAACCATTGTGAAATGAAGCCCAAACATGATTTAGGTGAAAGGCTTGAGCTTAAAATCTCATGTGACCTCCAATAACTAAGATCCTTGACTGGAATATCATTATACAGTCCTTCATAGACTTAGGCATTTCTGATAAATTGATAAAATATGTACCATCATGAAACAAACGAAAATAATGTGAAATACTCTACTGATAAATGAAAGAAAACTTGGTCCATTTGAGGCCACTTAATTCCTCCACAGGAATAATATTGCACAGCCCTAGTTGTTTCTGCCAACATCTGAGAGTTGCATTGTGGGTCTGTTGTCTTATGGAGTATCAAAAACAGATCACAAATTATAGCTTATAATTTTATTTCATTTTGCAATTATCCAACATAAAAGAGTTTTAATACTTGCTAAAAGGAGATGCATGTAATTTCACATGATCTTTTATAGTAAAAATATGTTTTTGATTTGATTATTCCAAATATACTTATGTAAAATTCACAATATTGAATATATACTTCCCATCAAAAGTTTAGACTCACTTAAAACACTCACTACATGTTATGCATATATATGTGGTTACATCGAAGATGAATTTCTCCACTAACTTGGGGGAGCTAGCTGCAAACTTTATGCAGATGAACTGCACGAGGATCATGCATCAAATTGCTGAAAAGTATGTGCAAATATCCTGCATGTGAACAGCTGCGTTTTGGTTTAAATCTTGTTAAGAATTCGCGTTTTCACTAACTTTTATCATTTATTGCACTCACCACAATAATCTTTTCAACTTTACGAATTTGTTTTACAATACATCAGCTCATGTGTAAACAGTACCTTTAAACAGTATGGAATAGTTTGCAAAATTTAGTTTAGAACCGTTGCCTGATGTAAGTGGTTATATTTACACTAGTGAGTCTAAACTTTTGATGGGAAGTATTTTATAAATCCACATAATATGATAAAGGCAAGTAAATGTAGAATGTCAAAGTGCCTCGTATATACCTTAATAAATAATTAAAATGAGGAAGAAGATCTATTACTGGTGCATTTGTCATGTCAGAAAATAACAGAAATAACGTGTCATGGACAAATATCTTCCAAAAACAGCACTCTGCTTATCATACACTATATAGATAGATCGTTGGACGCTGTCGTCAAGACGCAACAATTAACTGCTGCTAGAAATCTGTGAGTGTGGGTTTGAATCCTGCTTCAACAAAAATTGTCTTTATATATTGGTTTACCAGCAAAATACCCGTGGTCGTAGGTTTCACCAAAGTTGTAACCATCTGCATCACGAGGTTTGTTCCCACATAAAGCAAACACTTCCTGATGTAAATGGAATTCTGTTCCATAGGGGCTTTGTACCAAAGTCACTCACTCATTCGTAATATCATGTCCATGGTGATATCATGGTGTGTACACGACGAGCATCAGACTGAGAATATATATATGTATATATGTATATATGTATATATATATATACTCATGGATATATACCAACACAGTGGCGGATAATACGTCAGCAGTCATCTCTTGATCCAGACCATATTATCAGGCCAAGCGGAATAGTTTTCAGGGTTGAGGAGCTGAAGTGCAGTGATGTGTTTAAAGGGAAGAAAGCCGTTCCTGATGAGGAAGTTACAGATCTCGCGTCCGTGAGGGGAGTGGCGCTGAAACATCCACTCCATCATGATGTAGCGGACGTCAAATGTTTGGAAAAATTTAGACGCTCGACGGAACGCGTTCACCTCGTGACCTTCAATGTCCATTTTAATAAACACCTTCTTGAAGTCCACAACACGCACCAGATCATCCAACACAATAGAATCAACGATGGTGTCGTTTGTATTATGTGTTGACTCGGATGCTAGTTCTATCCTGGACCCGCCCAAGTTGTACCGGTTGATGAGGACTTTGACAGGCTCCACATGGTCGGAGACAGCGTTGAGAAGAAGGTGGACGTTGTCATGGACCCCGGCGTAAGTTAGAGAAGAATAGAGTAAGTACAGATTTGAACTAATTGGATCTACAGCAACAACCTTTCTACCCATCAAAGCAGCATACACGGTATACATGCCAACATTACATCCTATATCAAACACGTGCATGTTGGGGACGGAGGTCAAGGCCGTTGCCATGGCTGCGAGCAGATCCGGTTCCCAGGATCCAGTGTCCCGGATGTGGGATGAAATGAACTGATCTCGACGCCTGCTGTAAACACAGAGACGAGTTCTGTTCTTCATAGTCTTGAAAGGAACACAACTACTCCTAGGAACTAGTCTGTGTGGATTGTATACATACACTTTACCCTTCTTATTCCTCTTTGCCATCTTCTCGGCGTATTTTCTATCCCTCCTTTCAATAAAATTATGGTAATTAAAATGCACAGGGTTGATGTAATCGTCAAATGATTCAGTGGGTTGACGAAGTCGTGAGTCGTGGATGTAGTCCAGGTAATCCTGTTGCTCCTTCAGGTGATTTTCCCAGTATCTCGCTCCCCCCGACCCTCCCCAAACAGATGAATAAGTGTACCACGTCAGCAGTGACGTTAGTACCGTAACGATCAGTATCGCCGCGCAATACGACCTCGTCATGAACCGACGTATTCTGACCTTCGCCATTGAAACAAAACCGAACATGGAGTGGAGCTGGACAAGTATTTTGGTGTAACTGATAAACCCACTTCCTCGTCACTCAGTTTTCCGTCCAGGAGGACCATTGACAGCCTAGGGAGAAGTTTGATTCCTGTTACAGTTCGTCAAATTTCCAGCTGGTTAAGTCTTCAGGGTTATGTGCTTCAGTTTTGATTTTGGACCTATCCAGACTGGACGCTGTTTCTATTCACGGGATATGTCCTTGTTCTGATCAGAATGGACCTGAAACGTTAAATATAAATTGATATATATATATAAGAGAAAGACATTGTTTAGATATATACTCAAGTGTCATTCAGAGCTCATCCACTCTCACCCGTGAAGGTCCGGGTTAGAATGAACCTTCAGTAACCCATGCTTGTCGTAAGAGGCGACTAACGGGATCGGGTGTCCAGGCTCGCTGGCTTGGCTGACACATGTCAACGCATATGGACGCTCATGCTGTTGATCACTGGATTGTCTGGTCCAGACTCGATTATTTATAGACCGCCACCATATAGCTGGAATAATGCTGAGTGCGGCGTAAAACTAAACTCACTCACACTCATCCACTCTCCCCGCCGACCAGATCTGGTTTTAACCAGATCACGCCGACTATCAGGCAGGGAAACAACAAATTCATGAACAATCTTTTGAAGTATTTTTGGTACGACCCGGTCGCGATTCGAATCACCGACCTTCACTATATCCACTTAACCAATAGGGAGGCCTTCTCTAAAAGACCGTGGTTTCCGTGACATATGTCTTACAACTATTTCTACGTGTTTTCCAGAAATATTAGGGAGATGATGATTTTTGTGAATGGCATCCCCCCCTCTAGTTTATGTCCCCCCTTCCGATGTCATGTACAAAATCAACCCCCTCTCCCATAATTGTTAAGCCTATATTTTTTTCATATTACTATGTACAACATTGATTCCCCCCCATCTCCCCAGAACAAAGTGGGTAACACACACACACGCACACACACGCGCACACACACACACACACGCACACACACACACACACACACACAAAAATCATTTATAAGTAAGTATATCTTTGAACAGTCCCTAAGTACATCTTTGACTGTTACAGATGTTCCTTATAAATAGAGAACGCACAAAACATAGATGTGAATATAAATACCAAATATGTGATTATTTATACATATTCACATTGTGAAACATCCAATATGGGTTCCTAGAATAACGAACCACGTAGGTGGTAGACAAATTTTACCACAGCCATTTTCCTTACGAAACAGTGGTTCCATGTTTGCAATGCCGGGGCTTTTCTTTCACTTTACAATACGGTGGTCAAATAGTGGTCTCACATTGTTGTCAAGTCGGATTTAAAATACTGCCACCTGCAAACCTGTAAGAGTCACGGAAACGAAAACATTGTTTTGGTACTCGAATTGTTCAGTGACACTTAAATGAAGCGCATTCAGAGTTACTTCCCTTTGTACAGCCGCGGGGGTTCGCTTGCCCTCGGCGGAATTGTGAACAAGGAGGGAATTGAGCGGTTTAAGCGTAATGTACAACATGAGCCCGAGTTAATTGAATGCTAGCTTTGTCTACAATATACATGGCCTCTGTACCACAATACTGCACCTGTGTTTATCGGTAGCGGGCTAACTATCAAGAACAGTGGTCTCAATATGTTTCACTTCCGCATAGCCTGATGGAATCAGGCAAGGAAGCACACTAAGACCCTGTAGTTAGACATATTGATTTTTTTAGCAAGCTGTGGTAATAAATTAGCTCGTGAATATATTATGTTATTTATTTATTACAATATTGGAACACCTAAAATATACCTGCATTCATTACGATGTAAACTATGGATTAATCATGCAGTTTACGGCATTTAGTTGCAAGATTGAAGCGTGTGCAAATATTACTGCAAATACAAATGTTCGGTAATTTGTCATATCTGTACCTACCTTGGAGATTGGCTTTGAGACCCCACCCACCTGCTAGACCCCCCTCCTGATCCACTGGGACGGGGCTTGTCCCCCATGGTGTCTCCAGCAGGTAACAGCACATACAGTAACCGAGTGACCTTGACATATACGCCAGATAGATTAGCATTCCCGGCACACAGGTGCGTGACCTGGTAAATGCAACCGGTATTGCAGGAGCTTTTGTGAAAGCGCAGGTTGAATGCTATTTTAAACTGACATACATGTGTCTTAATTTCAAACAAGTGTTAATATTATATTTACTCTCCCTTGTCAATGTAGTTTAGTAGCTACAATAATATAGATTGATGAAATGAAAAAGGTGGGGGTGGTGATTACATTTGTTTTTGGTTTTTGTTGTTAAGACCAAATACAGAATCAATCTAATAATTTCGGTTCCACAAAAAAGTATTTGGTCAACTCATAATACCATTATTTAATATTGTTGAATTTTAGCCTTTTTTTCTTTCTTTTGTCCTTTAGAATTATTACATGTTTGTATAGTCTTACTGATCGGTAAATAGTGAGTATGGTTAAGCAATATTCCAGCAATATCACGGCGGGGGACACATTGTACCCATGTGGGTCTTCGGCATGGCGAGCGATCGCTTTAACCACTTGGCCCGAAAAGATAATTAACTTTATCCGGCAGATATTGTCTTATGTCAACATGTTCGTGTGAAATTGGTTTAAGGGCTGATAATTCCTGAAACATTTTTCGAGAACTCTAGAACATCGTGATTCCGGGCCAGTTTAAATCGGTCGTTCCGGGAGATTACTGTGGAGAGCACTAGCACGTCTATTGAGTTCAATGTTAATCAGTACACATAATTCGTTAATCCGGTTATTTATCCGAAGATTTTAAGTGAATTGTCACGATCCGGATAAGCGGGGTTTCATTATACATCTATATAGAATTGTTAATGCATGACAATCATAAGTATCCTTCGTAATTCGAATGTTCAATGAAAGGATGTTGTAAATACGAGAACACATAATATTGTTAAAGACCAGGCTGTTCCAACCTTTGACCTTTTACATGACCAAAATGTTGGGTAGTATAGTATAGTTAATGCGTTATACAGTCTAAGTAAACTTAGGCTCAGTATTATTCGTTACACTGCTATACTGAGTCTAACAAAACCTTATGGAAGGTCGCGTCAGGTAACCTTTTCAATTGACCAATCAGAACACAGCTTACCAAATCGCGAAAGTTGACATTCGCACATACCTTTTGAACTTTTACCTCGAAAAAGTTTTGTACCCGAACGATTCCGAATACTATTTTCCGTACGATCGCTTCCGAGTGATGCACATGGAGCACGTAGTCTGTCTCACAGTCCCTGAACCACATTATTTTCCCTACTGCCAAGCTCTCTATGAAATGCTAAAGCCCTCAAATAAAGCAAGTCTAGATTTCCTCAGGTTGAGTGACTGAATCTCTGGTCTCACTGGGGCTCCTTTTCAATTTAAATGGGCTTGTTTGTTACGATCAAAATTATATATATTCAGAGACTAAGCATTAGTCTAATGGAGCATGCCACAACGGTGAGTAAACAGTAGCAGAAAAATAGCGTTTTGTCAGAATTCAAGGATGTCAGCTTGCGGAAATATAAGCTAACCATGTCAACAGAAACCCAACAGCGTATATTCTGCAGGTCAAATATCTGTGTTTTATGCGGGTTTTCATTTGTTGTGAGATCAGTGTTGGTGACCGGGGAAGAGAAAATCCATTTTGTAAGTCCCGCCGAACCCTAAATAGTAGCTGTTGTCTGATTGGTTAAATCCGTTCGGTCGTCTCGCGTTTGATTGGACGGTCATAGGTCGCTCATAGGTTACCTGACGCGACCTTCCACAAGGTTTTGTTAGACTCAGTATAGCAGTGTAACGAATAATACTGAGCCTAAGTTTACTTAGACTGTGCGTTATAATACGTGGAATCCCCTTAGATCGATTCCGCACATATCATCAATGCGAAAAGAAGCTGAACTTGATATTTTTGCAACACTTAAAAAGTCGAACTTAACCTCTAAGTCACTCACTCACTCAGTAGTGGTAGGCTCGTCGGCTCTCACCAGAAAAAAACAGACAAATACTAACAATTAAATATATTTGTCTCGTCTCTGCATTACTGTTAGTCTATGAATGGGTGTTGTTGGCTGTTTTGTAAGGGAGTTGGTATAATAACACTTTCAGCAATATTCCAGCAATATCACGTCGGTGGACACCAGCAATGGGCTTCTCACATTGTACCCATTTCTAACATGCTTAGCTAAAAAGATCAAAGGCGCCGAATGTACACTTGTTTTGCATTACGTAACACTGTATTGACGTCACTACGCTATTCTCGTCTGCCACCTCGTAATCAAGCGTACCCTCGGTAACCGACGTCACGATGCATGGCAGTTGCCATTGCCTCGTAAAGTCGCCGTAAAGAACACTTTAGTCCAGAACTATTATAGTTAAGGTACGAGGACGTTTAGTGTATATATTACACTACACATTGGGTAGGGCGAACTGTGTTTCTTAAATAGGGAATCGAACCTGGGCCTTTGGAGTGACGAGCGAACGCTTTAACCACAAGGCTACCTAACCGCCCTGTTTAACTTTTAAAGAGAGGCTGGGTTGCCTAGTAGTTACGCTTTGACGCTTCAAGCTGCAAACTGGGATCAATGGCTTGAAAGGTATCGCATGTGCAAAACCATTCTATCACCGTGTATTGACCAGAATATTGCTAAACACGACGAAAAACACCTCACCCCCCTCGTGAACACACACCCGTCCCCCACCCACCCCCACCCACCTATGCATAACGAAAAAGTGAAATGTATTACAATATATTAGAATAGAATACACTCCTATATTTGAGCATCTAACATGAACAACAATTGTTTGAATTTAGCAATAAGAAATTCCCTATGCCATGATTGATTTTAAAGTAAGAAGGTATTAATGACAGCAGCCCGGTCTTGACTCTATTCATCCCCACCATCTGTGGCATTTCCAGTTACTTTTATTAACGCGAGACATTGACTAGTCTCAAGGAACACTTGCAGCATTTCAGCATTCATTCATTGTGGAGCACGAGTCTCACATAAACCAAAGGACTTTTTTCTGGATATTTAGTGGAGATCTTACTTGTCACATTACCTGATGGAGTGGCCGGTGCAGTATGGGGAAGTATAAAGATGTTTCTTATAAACGGTTAGAAGAGTCTAAGGCGAAGGATAACCCCGATATGCGTCGCTTGAAAAGGTTGGTGGTGATACTTGCTGTACTGTGTGTTGCCTTGCTGTGTTTCGTGGCGTATTCGGTTGGAATAAAGGGTTGGTCGGGGAAAGAACATACAGAGCAGACTGGCCAGAAAGTCGGTATAGGAGTGGTGGGAGAACAAGCGGTAGAGAGCATCGAAAAGGATGGGCAACAGAAGGATGGGCAACAGAAGGATGCGCAACAGAAGGATGGGCAACAGAAGGATGCGCAACAGAAGGACGGGATGCAGAAGGTTGAACAACAGGATGGGATACAGAAGGATGTCGATGAGCCTGGCGACCTTCACGAACCCCAAATCGCTCCTCCTAATCCCAACGGGTCGAATGATTTGAATGAAAATGCTTCCTTGCAGATAAATAGCCCTGCTCTAACTGCCTCTCCCAAACACCAAGCTGGACATGAGGAGCCTCAGATTATCACTGGCTCTAACATTCACAAGGCCGATGAGAATAAAACACGGGAACAGTATATGAGCGAAATTAGACAAGATTTGCTGAAACTTAAACTTCAAATGAAGGCTAAGAGCAAAGCAGGGAGAGTAACCGCCGAGAAGCCACAACCTACCCTTCCTTCTACGACAATTTCCCACATGCCTAACAACGTCTCATTGCCTCCAGATCCGAATCCAGAATTAACTAAAAAACAGCTCCATGCTCGCCTCAACATGGTCTTGTCTGACATCAGGAACGACATTGGCGATAGAAAGGCGTTGGAGGTGACGCTGCAGTTCCTTCAGCGAGCCATCCAGGTCATTGAGCAGAAGGAGCTGGCTGCGGATCTTGCCGCGGAGGGACAGACTCTTCCTACCCTACCCCCAGGCTGGAAAGACTTTACGACCCCCACCCTCCACAACCCTCGTATTAGAGACATGATGAAGACAATACGAACCTCACCACACAGTCTCGACAAGTATAACCTTAACGAACGATATGGATGGGACTACCGGTGCGTGTTCCTTAGGGTGCCGATGAAACAGCAGCCAATGATTTGCATCAATGATCCTGAGTTGGATAAACCGATGTCCAGCTCTCTGGCCGAAACCGGACTCTATGAAGGTAAAATGCTTGGATTCTTCCTTGAGATTCTATACTCGGATATTACGTTGCAAGCAGTAGATTTAGGAGCTAACTTGGGGCTGTATAGTATAGCTGCGGCCGCTATTGCCAGGCCCGTGCTAGCAGTTGAACCAAACCACCAAAATATTCACCCATTCCACAAATCAGTCAAGATGAATAGGTTTCAGAAATTCGTCACGCTCGTCACAAACTGTCTGTCCGACCGGTACAAAATCGTACAGCTCATCTACAACAAGATGGGCAACCTCGGTGATACTAAAACGGTCGAGGTTACAGAATCGATGCTGAATAATGATATCGTATCGGTTGAGGATGTCGTGCGAACCGTTCAACTGGATGACCTCATTCCGGCGATGGCCTTCAAGAGGGCAGTTGTCAAGGTCGATATCCAAGGAGACGAGGTCCGGATGTTCCGTGGATCGCAAAGGTTCTTCAAAGCTGTTCACGTGCGTTACGTGCTAATGCATTGGTTTTATATGGACGACCCAAAAGGATATGACTATATTTATAAGTTTCTGAAAGACAGAAACTATTTGCCGAACTACTCTCCTCACGGGAGAGTCATCAGCGAGGAAGCCATGAAAGAAGAGCAGTCTATCGTTGTATGGATCAAGTTCTGACCAGCCTTCTCATTCTGTTCTATGAGTGTGGAACATGGAATATATGTGTTCTAGTTGCCGGATTCCATCAGTTCGGAGGATAAAGAAACTCGCAAATCGATAATGAAAGAGTGACGTAATTCGCATTCATTACCAATTGTCCGTAACATGCAAGAAGAATCCCTTCCGATCAATTTTATGTGCGAAAATATTGACAACTAATCTCATTGCGGGTATCTCACAGATTACTTAAGTCAGAGAACCCCTCCTTAATATGGTATGTCTGTAAATGTAGAATGTATTTAGAAATTTACCTAAGTGGTAGTCACAAATATTTCACCATACCTTTGAATATCACGAGACAGTCACAGGTATTTCACCATGTTGCATACCAAGTAACAGTCACAAGTACATTACTGCATACCAAGTAACAGTCACTAGTATGTTACATTATTGCATACCAAATGGTCGCAAGGTGTACTTGCGTTATATATAGAAAATACCACTTTGGTAACTACTGTATTTTATTCATAATCGAAATTTCAAGGGTTTAATTTTCGGTATATATTATTTACGTTTGTTTATTTTTCGAAATTTCGAGTATTTCTGTCTATTTCAAAAGATGTGGGAAAATGGATTTCTGAACAAACATTATTGATTAACGTAACGACAAAGTGTTCAAATAACGAGAAACTGTCGATAATTCGAAAAATATATACATGTATATATAACAAGAAACAAATCAAAATTTCAAGAAAAAATGAAATCACTGAATCTAATAAGAAAATAACTTTAGAAATTTAGAAGTTTTTGAAACAAGGAGGAAATAATTGAAATTACGAGAAATGTATATATTTTCCAGCGTGGCAAAATTCTTTCGTACGTAACGGTGTTTAATGTAAAGGGTATGCTCACTGCCAATTGTCAATGAACTGACCCTTTCAAGTATTCCAGTCATACGCTAGTCAAACACGGCTGTGTCGAAGTTGAAGGGACCTACGGAAGTAAATTACTTCGTGTTATCCGAGCTTCGACACAACCTAAAATGATGATGATTCTTTCACTTCGGGATACCCGTACATTCGACACAGGAGTTGGGTTTTTTATATTTAAACAAGTATATACCCACTGTTAGATAGGCATTCTAGAAGTTTGTAAGTTTGAAACAACTTCCAGATGATTTCATTAGCGACGTTTGGATATAAACTGTGATTAACAACTAATTTAGTAGCCAATAAAGCTTGTGAAAACATTCAACACCCCTATCCTTACTGCCCCACAACGAAACACACGTGGTCTCACCGTAGGCAAGTGAGTTTGTTCAAAATTGTCTCTGTTCAGCCAGCAGGAAAATGGGTACCCGGTGGAAAAATTCATATGACTATAACCTTCTAGGGCCTAACAGGCAGCTTGGGTTATCCGGGGTAATAATGTGCTGTGCCTTGATTGTTAGCTCTATGAGCATACCCAGTGTGGAGTTTGGCGCTATATAAATGGACACATTATTATTATTATTATTATTATTATTATTATTACTCCTGTCCTCAGTCAGTTATCTGTGTTAGTTTGATGTCAGACTGTTGTTGCTGAGGTTGATCTGCTGCTCATCACTACTCACCATATATACGCAGATCCGGGTATAGAAGTGACCTTCAGTAACCCATGCTTGTCGTAAGAGGCGACTAACGGGATCGGGTGGTCAGGCTCGGTTACTTGATTGACAAATGTCATCGTATCCCAATTGCGTAGAGCGATGCTCATACTGTTGATCACTGCATTGTCTGGTCCAGACTCGATTATTTACAGACCGCCGCCATATAGCTGGAATACTGCTGAGTGCGGCGTAAAACAACAAAACCAGACTGTAGTCATTCTAGGTTCGGAAGGGGGTATGAATCAACATCGAAATGATGCTAGTACAGTTAACCAGAAGTTGACCACACACTTGCATGTTTTCTTAAATATGTACTATCTCTTACTGAATTATTTAAATGTTTACAGATATAATTGATTGTACCTTAGACACTACCTGTAGACCACCGTGTTAAATTTACTCTAACACATACAATTGTAATATTTATTATTCTAACGACTTATAAATTATTTTATGAAATTGTTTTAACGACTATTCATCTACGATACGACGCAAAACTTGTTGGAATGTTGATAAGGGCAAATCTGGGATTCACACCCATGATCATAGGATCACAGAATGATTGCACGTCCAAGGGACGTAACTCTTAACACTACGGGATCATCCCCTGGTTGCTAGGAGTGAGTGAATATTGCATACTGGTTGCTAGGAACAAATATTGCTGTATAAACCAGCCACATTGGGAGATTTGTAGTACGGCCCACGCATTTAAGTGGTGGGATAGTGTGTTCGATATCGTGTCGATTTCCTTTCGAACTCCATAGTGTTCTGTCAACTCGGATTATGTGACCAAAACATTATCCTTCACTAATGTTGCATGAATTTGAGAAGGAAATGGGAAATTGAAAGCCCCACTCGATCCCACCAGCTGCAAATATACGACTCTCGCTTCAGCCTCACCAGCTGCGACCCAGACAATAACAGTTCGCGAGTAACAGACCTCTGAGTTTTCTGGCATCCCGACAGAAACAGCTGGCAGATGACGTCCGAATCATTATGCAAGTTTCTTACCACGAAAGACGCCAGCAGTATGTCAAGGCATGCGAGTAGGGCTCTCCATTTACGTCAAAGCTGTCCGTATTTCAAGATACTAAATATACTATTTCTAGATAACATATTTACAATAGTTCAAGTCATTAATAAACATTCGTATTTGAAAAGATAATATATACTATCTGCTTTACAAGACATCACATACAGCATCCGAATGTACGAAGACGCTGTAATATTTCACGTACAGAGTAATATGGTAGAAGCTGTATGTCGGTATTGTCAGTCGGAGGTATTGTATAATTCACGTACAGAGTAATATGGTAGAAGCTGTATGTCGGTATTGTCAGTTGGGGGTGTTGTATAATTCACGTACAGAGTAATATGGTAGAAGCCGTATATCGGTATTGTTAGTCGGAGGTATTGTATAATTCACGTACAGAGTAATATGGTAGAAGCTGTAAGTCGGTATTGTCAGTTGGAGGTATTGTATAATTCACGTACAGAGTAATATGGTAGAAGCTGTATGTCGGTATTGTCAGTTGGAGGTATTGTATAATTCACGTACAGAGTAATATGGTAGAAGCCGTATATCGGTATTGTTAGTCGGAGGTATTGTATAATTCACGTACAGAGTAATATGGTAGAAGCCGTATATCGGTATTGTTAGTCGGAGGTATTGTATAATTCACGTACAGAGTAATATGGTAGAAGCCGTATATCGGTATTGTTAGTCGGAGGTATTGTATAATTCACGTACATAGTAATATGGTAGAAGCTGTATGTCGGTATTGTCAGTTGGAGGTATGAGGATACCAAATATGGCTGCCTTGAGTCGCTAAGCAAGAAAACATAGGACAAAATCTGTAATAAATTGAAATTTTATTATAAAAATGAAACGATTAAGGTAGTATATATTCCAGAAAAATAGGTTTAAACTCTGGAAACAAAAAATAGCAGAATGAACAAATATAATTTCTGTGTAAAGTATAAAATACTGGCGCGTGAATTGAAATATTTGAAACGATGATTGGAGTAGGAACACACTGTCCACAACCTTTGCGAAAGGTCAAGCGGTATTGACCTTACGAAATACAGGTTTTCGTTAATATGAGGATAGTTATTGAAAGCCTTCACGATCACCATATGAAACACACAATATTGTCGTCAACACGGCGACAGTGAATAGAACAAATATTTATGGTGGCGACATGAAATATAGAATCACGTTTCATGCCATCGAATTGACGCAGTTGATATTTTAGTCCATCAATTTTAGAATGTTCAGTAATGAGCATTGTGTTATTCACACCGTGACACATGTCAATCATTGTAACTACGACACGCCCCTTTCTGTCCTTGTAGGTCAACCTCGGTTACCTGGTGATAGTGAAGCTTATACTGTGATTTAGTGAGTAAGGTTTTACGCTGTTTTACGCTGCTTTTAGCAATATTCCAGCAATATCACGGCGAAATGGACTTCATACATTGTACCCATGTGGGGAATCGAACCCGGGTCTTCGGCGTGACGAGCGAACGCGTTAACCACTTGGCCGCCCCCAGTATGTGAAAGGAACTTGGGGCTATGACCATCCTAGATGCAGATGCTGCGTCTGTGCTTCCGGAGTTCCTGACTTGGTCCATGTGGAATGACGGAGGCAGCCATGTTGGTGGATATCACGTGATGGTGGCTGGTCTGTGAGGGTGGGTGTCACGTCTGAGGGTGGGTAGTGAAGTCTGTGAGGGTGGGTGTCACGTCTGTGAGGATGGGTGTCACGTCTGAGGGTGGGTAGTGAAGTCTGTGAGGGTGGGTGTCACGTCTGTGAGGATGGGTGTCACGTCTGTGAGGGTGGGTAGTCAAGTCTGTGAGGGTGGGTGTCACGTCTGTGAGGATGGGTAGTCAAGTCTGTGAGGGTGGGTGTCACGTCTGTAAGGATGGGTGTCACGTCTGTGAGGATGGGTAGTCAAGTCTGTGAGGATGGGTAGTCAAGTCTGTGAGGGTGGGTAGTCAAGTCTGTGAGGGTGGGTGTCACGTCTGTGAGGATGGGTAGTCAAGTCTGTGAGGGTGGGTGTCACGTCTGTGAGGATGGGTAGTCAAGTCTGTGAGGGTGGGTGTCACGTCTGTGAGGATGGGTAGTCAAGTCTGTGAGGGTGGGTGTCACGTCTGTAAGGATGGGTAGTCAAGTCTGTGAGGGTGGGTGTCACGTCTGTAAGGGTGGGTGTCACGTCTGTGAGGATGGGTAGTCAAGTCTGTGAGGGTGGGTGTCACGTCTGTGAGGATGGGTAGTCAAGTCTGTGAGGGTGGGTGTCACGTCTGTAAGGGTGGGTGTCACGTCTGTAAGGGTGGGTGTCACGTCTGTGAGGATGGGTAGTCAAGTCTGTGAGGGCGTACAATGAATGAGTGAATATTGCTTAACGCGGCATCAGAGTTTTTTCCACAGAAAGTGGACAGTGGCGTTCATGAGATATGACAGTGACGAAGATAATGGTGGGTTGTCACTTCTGTGATTGTTGGTGTCACGTCTGCGTGAAGAGGACAGTCACGTACATGTTCGGATCGGTATGTGTGACAATGTCACTTGCTGAAAGTAATATTGGGTCTGTTGCACAGCAGGTAGAGGCCCTGTTCCATCAGATATGATGCCCATGTTAGAACCCTGAAAGGTTTAAAATTCTGTTAACACGGAAACAATTAAATGCTTTGTGAGAAATGGCGGCTGCTACGTTCCTATAGAAATACAGACATGTTTCATTCGTCTATCGCTGCATAACTGGCTCACAGACAACATTTTGACAGAGAGTTCACACACGCACTGACCGCATCTGTAGTCAAGAGGATAGGGCTTCTGTACAGGGAGCGAAAAGTCGATATTTCCATCACAGGTTGCGTCATTAAAATGTTACTTGTTTTACCCCGTCTATTAATGGAATAAAACACGGACTTGCTGGCTTGGAATAAATATGATTTTGCTAGAGTAGGGTATATCAATAGGCTAGCACTTTGAAAACGACATCGGTCGGAAAGGAACACGCACGCAAACACGCACATACGCTCACACACACACATACACGCAAGACGGTATGTAAGTGCGTCAATCTTCAACGCGACGTTAAAGTCCATTTCATCACACACAGAGTGTCCACTCCTCATTCGCCATTGTGTCCAACCAATCAACGAAACGACTTGCCCACATGACAAGCACAGCAGTCGTCAATAGCGAGCGTCCCAATAAGGAAAGAACAACGCACGCTGTTATTTAACAGAATAATGGTACAAAAAAAAACAAATCTTAATATCCTGAACCTATTCGGACGGAGCGACCGTGACCCGCGACGGTAACGTTACCCTTACAACTAGCAACAACCAGGCTTTGTAATCGTCAAACCTCAGTCGTTCTCTGACGATGTTATTATACCGATACACCGTACAATGTACTGTCTGAGCTTTGAGGATTAGCCGTCACTATGGGCAGTTCAGTTGCCAGGGTAATGTTACCACAGTAACGCGACTCACTCTCGGTCGCAGCTGTCCACGTGCATGATCAACTTCGTGTTGAGGTTGACGTGTAACTCCAGGTTCGAACTTTCACGCCCCAGACGCCGTCTGAAACAACAGAAAGTTCTGCTATAACTCAGATAATTTACAGAATGAGTGAGTGAATCGGGTTTAACGCCATATCATTCTGTCGCAGCGCATCACCGTGATGCGGCAGGTAAGTGAGTGAGTGAGTTTAGTTTTACGCCGCACTCAGCAATATTCCAACTATATGGCAGCGGTCTGTAAATAATCGAGTCTGGACCAGACAATCCAGGGATCAATAGCATGAGCATCGATCTACGCCTTTGGGATACAATGACATGTGTCAACCAGGTCAGCGAGCCTGACTACCCGATCCCGTTAGTCGCCTCTTACGACAAACATGGGTTACTGCAGAGCAATTCTAGCCCGGATCTTCAGGGGTCCGGCGGGTAAGACCGACGTGATGCAGGTTTTAGACGTTAACCACGTTCGTGAAACCCACCAGCAGGGGTAAAGTGTAGTCGGTCTCACAATCCCTGAACCGCATTACTTTCCCTTCTGCCTGCAATATTAAAGCCGTAATTGAACCAAATCTAGATTTCCTCAGGTTCTGAATCTCCCGTCTTTAATTTAAAAGGAATTGTTGGTTTCTGTCAAATAATATATATTCACAGACTAAGCGTTAGAGTAGGGTACAGTGCTGCATTTAACTAAGATTCGTGAAGGCTAGCACTTACCTGCATCACACTAACTAAAAAATATTAAAAAGTTCCTAAATTATCGATAATTCCATTTACGTTTTACTATACTGACGAGTAAAAGAAAGTATGCACTTACAGACAGGATTTTACCAAGACATTACAAACGTCATCAAATATGTATGTTGATACTAGAAAATCGCAGTATCAGGTTCGGTTCCTCACCGTTTATGTCGTCCTTTATAGTGATAGTACGGAAACATTGCTAACACTACCCTCACTCACTCACTCACTGCTGTACATCTGTTAGTACTCACTCCATCTCCTCATCCTCGAAGTGTCTGTACCAATGTCTGAAGGCTTCTCGGGCCTCCAGCTCCGTCACGGTTCCATCTCCGTTCTTGTCCAGCGTCCGGAACAGCGCCTTAGCCACCAGCAACTCCTTCTCCGTCAGCAAGTCCACCAACTCCCCTCTGTAAACCGAGTTTTATCTTTGAATTACTCGACAGAGTCGACAGAGTCAATTAGAGTCGAAGTTACACGTCATGTTACACGAAACAGCTGTTCTGAAGACCGCATCACCGCGAAAGCTAATATCTATAGAAAAGTACTTCGTTATTGGAATTGATTGTTATTGATTTTTAAATTATGAAAAGTACACTTAGGGCTCTTGTTTTAAAAAGCGTTGGCCTTAAAATAGCCCGATGCCGTAAGCGCTGTTGGATATAGAGCAGTAATTAACGGATAAACGTTATATGAATTTCTTCAAAGAGATATACCCCTATCCTTTCCGGAAAGGGAACTCTTAGCTAGGTCCATCAAAATAGATATGTGTATCAACAATGCACAAATGTCTTTTATTTGTGTACAATTTCCGATGGCCATCGCAAGTGTATGCCACAAAAGAATACTAAAACATTACGTCATCGCAGTTGTTGTTGTTTAACACCGAATTCAGCAATATTCCAGCTATTTGACGGCAGTTTGTATATAATTGAGTTTGGACCAGACAATCCAGTGATCAACAGCATGCGCATCGGTCTATGCAGTTGGGATACGATGACATTATATCAACCACGTCAAGGCGCCTGACCACCCGATCCTGTTAGTCGACAAGCATGGGTTGCTGAAGATCATTTCTAGCCCGGATCTTCACGGGTCCCGTCATAAGAGTGTATTACGTCCCACGCGTTAGCGAGACACGTCACGACGTACCCTGTCCCTCTTGGCCAGCAGTTTCTTTGCCTCGTGGTTGAGGAACTCCCACCAGTCCAGCCTGCCGTCGCTGTCCACGTCAGCCACCTGGAAGTCCACCTTCATCAACCGTGTGTCGAACTCCGTCACCTGACGTTCCTCACGCTGCTCCAAAAGGTGACCTTTAGCTTCGCTGAACTCCTCCCACGACACGTAGCCATCTGGTGGAGACGTTAGATGGGTGAATACGTTGCGTTTATTCCTTTTGTTTATCAGATCAAGCCCCCCTTAGCTTTATGATAAACCTGCTACAGGATATAGCGCTAGTTTATTAGGCGAGGCTATGGTTATGGGTTGCCTATAGAAACAATGCTATGTCAAATAGAAATTACCCTTCTGCAGATCTGTCACATTCCAGAAAGCGATTGTGGTCATAGATCTAGGGGAGATAACTGTGGTTTGTGTAAAATTCTTGCCCGGCGTACCGTTTAGTAACTGAATTGCGTTAATTAAGGTTAGATGTGACGTCAGAAGTCTAGGGGAGATAATTTTAGCCAAGTGTGTCGCTTCGTAAACCGTCAATAACCATGTTCTAACCGACTGTATACAAGCTGTATGATATTGATATGTTGTAATGCTGGGTTGAAGCCTTGTTGGGGCGGTTGGGTAGCCTAATGGTTAAAGCGTTGGCTCGTCACGCCGAAGACCCGGGTTCGAATCCCCACATGGGTACAATGTGTGAAGCCCATTTCTGGTGTCCCCCGCCGTGATGTTGCTGGAGTATTGCTAAAAGCGGCGTAAAACCAAACTCAGTCAGTCAGTCAGTGAAGCCTTGTTGACAAGAAGGGTATTAATGTTATAAAGTTATCACATAGTGAAGTGACGTTTCAATAATCGTACGTCTATGCAGAAGATATATGCGGTACATGGTCTGGTTGTTGCTGAATGTCATTTACGTCCTTTTGGGACTTTGATCGTTTTGTGTAACGGAGCCCTAACGACCGGTCTTAACAATAACTTATACTCCTCGTTCGAAGGGTTTTTCTGAACAAAACAAAAGCACGGAACTGAAACTTTTCCACGTACCTTTATCTTTGTCGTAGTTCTCGAAGGATTCGATCAATTCCTCCAGTTCTGTATCATTCAGCAACACACTGAGGTTACTCTGAAACAAACACGAACAATATTGGAAAATCGGCGTCCATACCAAACCTTACCTTGAACAAACATTGGCGCTCTCCTTTAAGCGCAATACCGATTACTCTACAAGACCAGAGGATATGCGACTGTTTCAATTACGTCACTTCCAATAAATAATCGCTGGTAAAAAAATATACTGACGAACATAACAAAGTACACACCTGGTGTTTTGGGACTATTCCCATTAAAACCATAAATATTTTGCTAGCAATGTTGTAATTGGGTACAATATCTGTGGTGTTTTGGAAACACTTGCACAATGTTTGTGACAAGACTGAATCAAAACACTTTTTAAATATTAATGCTGTTTTAAAGAAAATATTTTACCAAAGAATCAGGTGTGTACTTTCTTTTGAATGTCAGTTTACTTTCGCGTTCTCGAATAAGTGTGTATCGATTAATGGAACTATCAATGCATTGCGACTGGAATCTCCAGATGACAAGCATCAGTTCCACACTACATTGTATCGATACAGATAATAACGCACCGAATATACCCATATCCGCTAATTTTCAATCGATTAAAAACAATATGACTTTGCTTGAAGAGTGATTGAGTTTTGTTTTACGCCGCACTCAGCAATATTCCAACTATATGGCGGCGGTCTGTAAATATATCCCGTCTGGACCAGACAATCCAGTGATCAACAGCATGAACATCGATCTACGCAATTGGGAACCGATGACATGTGTCAACCCAGTCAGCGAGCCTGACCCACCCGATCACGTTAGTCGCCTCTTACGACAAGCATGGGTTACTGAAGATCAATTCTAACCCGGATCTTCAAGGGTACATTGTTTGAAGAGACATGGTTATCTATTCAGGACGAATGCATAATTTCTCGAGGTTTCTTTCATTCCCAAACAATGATTTCAAAACGTGGAGACGACTAGTTATTATGACGTCATTTTGTCGTTATCATGTCATTATCAAGTCGTTTTCATGTTGTTATTCTGTCATTGTCATGTAGTTATCATGTCGTAACGGCATCAACTCCAATTGTAAGAGGGTGCAAACACGCATTAAACACAAATTGTATTGCAAAAGGTTTTTACAAGTTTAAGAATACCTTTGCAAAAGCGACTACAATACATCATCGATAGCACAACTTATCCGACAAATGATTGCACATTGTATCGACATAGGCCTTGCTCAAACGCTCTCAGTCACATGTTCTTTTGATCAGGGTGATGACGAGGAGCATCCAGTGAGAAGCAAACAATCCCACATTCAATCTCACAATCAATCATTAAAACAAACCCACAATCAATCATACAAATAATCCCATAATCAATCATACAAACAATCCCACAATCAATCATACAAACACTCCCAAAATCAATCATACAAACAATCCCACAATCAATCATACAAACAATCTCACAATTAAACATACAATCAATCCCACAATCAATCATACAAACAATCCCACAATCAATCTCACAATCAACCCCACATTCAATCATACAAACAATCCCACAATCAATCATACAAACTATCTCACAATCAATCAATTCCACAATCAATCATACAAACCCACAATCCATACAAACAATCCGTACAATCAATCATACAATCAATCTCACAATCAATCCACAATTATTCATACAAACAATCCACAATCAATCAATCATCTCACAAAATCAATCATACAATCAATCATCATACAAATCAATCATACAAACAATCCCACAATCAATCATACAATCAATCTCACAATCAATCCCACAATTATTCATACAAACAATCCCACTATCAATTATACAATCAATCTCACAATCAATCATACAAACAATCCAACAATCAATCATGGATACAAACAAAACAATCCACAATCAATCTCTCCACAATCAACCCCACATTCAATCATACAAACAATCCTCAATCTAATCAATCATACAAACAATCTCATCTCGCATAATCAATCTCCACAATTGTTCATACAAACAAAATCCACAATCAATTATACAATCAATATCACAATCAATCATACAAACAATCCCAAAATCAATCATGCAATCAATCTCACAATCAATCATACAAACAATCAATCCACAATCAATCATACAAACAATCACTCAATCAATCAATCATACAAACAATCCCACAATCAATCTCAGAATCAACCATACAAACAATCCCACAATCAATCTCACAAGCAATCTCACAAGCAATCCCTCAAATAATCATACACAAACTCTCACGCAATCAATCCCACAATTGTTCATACAAACAATCCCATCAAATCAATTATACAATCAATCCCATCATCTGCAGTGATGCACATTCAATTCAATCAATCATACAAACAATCCCAAAATCAATCATGCAATCAATCTCACAATCAATCATACAAACAATCCCACAATCAATCATACAAACAATCCCACACAATCAATCATACAAACAATCCCACAATCAATCTCACAATCAATCCATACAAACAATCCCACAATCAATCTCACAAGCAATCTCACAAGCAATCCCTCAAATAATCATACAAACAATCTCAACAATCAATCCACAATTGTTCATACAAACAATCCACAATCAATTATACAATCAATATCACAATCAATCATACAAACAATCCCAAAATCAATCATGCAATCAATCTCACAATCAATCATACAAACAATCCCACAATCAATCATACAAACAATCTCACAATCAATCATACAAAACAATCCCACAATCAATCCCACATTCAATCTCACAATCAATCATACAAACAATCCCACAATCATTCTCACAATCAATCTCACAATACTCTCAATAGATCCATATGTAATATAGCTAAAACGTTCCTTATAAGTTTTACAAGAAAATGTTTCCACAACGTCACTCCTAGAGTAAGTGAGTTGTTATCACCCCAAGAACAGGCTCCACACTGTGTAACCATATGGGGATTCGAACTGGGTTTTGTCGCGATGGCGACAGCGTGACCCACTTGCCCAACCCACGCCCCTAGTGTTAGAGACTCACACAGATATAGCAGCTCCAGCCGATGTTGGTCCTCGACTTCTTTGTGAGCAGGGCGTCAACCTTGCGGCACTCTCCACACTGTTCGAGGCACTCCTGGTGGAAGATCCGGGTACACACCCGACACGGGTGGGCGTCATCATCGGCCACTTTCCGGCACAACCAACACTTCGGGTCAGAATAGTACTGAAAAATTATTCATGATGCTTAAATCGTGTTGAAAGAGCTAGTCAATCGAGTTTAATGTACATGAATCGACAATAGGTGAATTTAATGAATCATGATGACATGATGTTTGAATCGCGCTGGTATGATAATAAATGAATTTAGTTTTTCCCCGCTTTTAGCAATATTCAAGCAATATCACCGCGGGGGATACCAATGGGCTTCACACTTTGTACCCATGTTGGGAATCGAATCCGAGTCTTCGGTGTGCAAGCAAACGCTTTAACTAGTAGGCCACCGCAACCGGGTTGATAAGTGACTCGAACTGAAATAGAGAATTTAGCAAACGCTTTAACTAGTAGGCCACCGCAACCGGGTTGATAAGTGACTCGAACTGAAATAGTTACCGAACTTGTGGAAATTCATACGTAAAACAACTTGAAAAAGAATTTAGAGGCGACTAAAATAGAATGGTGGTAGAATAGAACCTTGCTGTCCACTTGTTACGAAGCCTTTTATGGCTTCTCTGCCAAGACGCCGTTTCATTATGGGTGATCTCGGCCGTACTGTACCTCCCTGTGGCTCCGTGATAAAAGACATCACAGATCAGGTACAGTCCATGTACAGCTCAGGGACTAATCCCTTCCACAGCCAGCAGGTTACTGGCCACCCTTTAGCCGTATCGAATATAATCCGAGCCGTTTATAAGGTTCATCTAAATGATTTGAGCATGTGTCCAATAGGTCAGGTAGCCTGACAACCCGCTAGTCGCCTCTTACGTCAAGGATGGGTGGTTGAAGACCCGGATCTTCATGGGTAAGGTGTACCATATATCAGCTATTCATATCAGTACTTTACAGATCAGCTGTTCATATCAGTTCTTTACACATCAGCTGTTCATATCAGTGGGGGCGGTGGGGTAGCCTAGTGGTTAAAGCGTTGGCTCGTCACGCCGAAGACCCGGGTTCGAATCCCCACATGGGTACATTGTGTGAAGCTCATTTCTGGTGTCCCCCGCCGTGATGTTGCTGGAATATTGCTCAAAGCGGCGTAAAACCAAACTCACTTACTCACTCATATAGGTGCTTTACATATCAACCGAACAAATCATTGCATTAATACGTATCAACTATTCATGCCAGTGCATGGGTAAGGTGCTTTACATATCAAAGAACAAATCAGCTGCTCATATTGTTGCTTTACAGATAAGCTATTCATAACAGTGCTTTACAGATCAGCTACTCATAACAATGCTTTACATATCAATTAAATACATCAGTGCATTAATACGTATCAGTTGTACATGTCAGTGCCTTATGCATGAAATATCCATGCCACGACAATACGTATCCAAACTGGGCCGACAATACGTATCCAAACTGTCTCGTGCTATACGGAAGCATTGTTGTTGCTAAATTCTATATCAATAGCATCAGTTATTCGAGACAGATGAAAGACGTTACTCTCAGCCCCCACAACGGATCGATAAGATGAACAAAGAGAAATATTGATACCACAAATTGAGATATGATTGCCATATATAGAATCAATGACCCGCCGGAAAAAGTCATATGAGCTTCCAATCGCCCGTTTACTACAAGCTGGCCTCTCCGAGCTCAATCAATAGTGAAACCATGGACGTAAACTATAAATGGCTGACATTATAATAGCAACGATGGCAGCTTTTAGATGAGGTTAGTACACACCAATGGAGGTACAAGGGACAAAGAGAGCATTTATTGCTGCAAAGAACGTTTAGGTGGTGACGACGTACGTTAAATAGATCAAACTTGAATCGAGACGTGATGGTTTTGTACAATGCCATTAACCTACATTTGGGACTCACGAAATTTTCATTCTTTTGGGCCAAATCCATATCGGTGTTTTTATTCGTTCAATGTACCGGATCACTGCATTGGACAACTGCGCCGGACCACTGTACTAGACTACTGTAATAGATCAAGGCACTATTACTAGCTAACTGAACTGTACTAGACTAGTGTATTAGACCACAATACTGAACCACTGTACTAAATCACTGTTCTCGACAACTGTACCGGATCACTGTACTAGACAAATGTACTAGATCATTGTATTAGACAACTGTACCGGATCACTGTACTAGACAAATGTACTAGATCATTGTATTAGACAACTGTACCGGATCACTGTACTAGACAAATGTACTAGATCATTGTATTAGACAACTGTACCGGATCACTGTACTAGACAAATGTACTAGATCATTGTATTAGACAACTGTACCGGATCACTGTACTAGACAAATGTACTAGATCATTGTATTAGACAACTGTACCGGATCACTGTACTAGACAAATGTACTAGATCATTGTATTAGACAACTGTACCGGATCACTGTACTAGACAAATGTACTAGATCATTGTATTAGACAACTGTACCGGATCACTGTACTAGACACCTGTACCCGACCACTGTACTAGACAACTGTACCCGATCACTGTACTAGACAACTGTACCGGATCACTGTACTAGATCATTGTATTAGACAAATGTACTAGATCATTGTATTAGACAACTGTACCGGATCACTGTACTAGAACAACTGTACTAGATACCCGACCACTGTACTAGACACCTGTACCCGACCACTGTACTAGACAAATGTACTAGGCCATTGTACCCGACCAGTACAACTGTACCGGATCACTGTACTAGACACCTGTACCCGACCACTGTACTAGACACCTGTACCAGACCGATGTACCAGACAACTGTACTAGACCATTGTATTAGACAACTGTACCGGATCACCGTACATTATTACTGTACTAGACCGCTGAACTGTACTAGACTATGGAACTGAGCCACCATAAGTGACCACAGTACTGAATCTCTGTACCATACCACTATCCAATGTCTTTCAAAAATTGGAATACAACATAATGTCAACCTTTCTAATGTCTCTTTTAAAGTATTCTTGCTATGTCATTATCACCAGATTTGAGTGTCAGACTTTGTTAGTATGCCATTAATCAATCCAGAGTAATAAACCAACACCTCGACCACTAAACTACCAAAACGGTCCTTTCACTCGCAAGGAAGACAAACTCTGAAATACCAAACCAGACAATTTGTCACATATACCAGCAAATCAACTCACCGCTTCCCACGTGGGCTTGTCAGTATCCGGTACAAAGCTGTCTGGGATATCAGCGTCTTTCCGCGAAGTTGCAGACCTCTGCCGGAACCTGTGGGGATCTGCGTTACCCCTGACAGCCTCCTCGTAGTCGGCATTGTTCTCCATCTTTATCCTCTCGATGTGCATAATGAGCTCAAGCCGCTTCTGCTGCTTCCTAGCCTGGTTCGTGTGTTTGGAGAAGGTCCCGATCACCAGCACAGCATTCTTGTAGCGTCTTTTCCTGGCTTCCGGGCCCTTGCCCTCAGTTGATGCCCCGCTGCCCATTCCTACACTCTGTTTCTTTGTTAACGTGGAGACTCTCCCCAGGGCGTTCAGATCCTCAAGTTATGTTCCTAGTGATGACGTTCATCCAGGATTTCTTACCTGGATGTTTAAAGTTAAAATGACCAATGTCCTCTCTGATCAACTTCTCCAGATTTGACAAGACAATTTAACTGAAGGCGCCATGGACCTTTTTATCAATATTCCAACGTCAGGTTAATACTGAGCCCAGTTTCTTAGACCTTCAGTGCAGTTTCTTGCTGCCACGCCGTCAATCTATCACGAACAGAAGAAAACCTCTCAGCTCCTTACCTGAAAATACCAGTATTCCCTTAATCTTCTCCATCACACGTGACACGGGCAATAATAATTTATGTTACACATTTCCATTATTGGATTATCCCATTAAACATTTATCTAAAGAGATTAATGCATACAAAACAGCTTATTACTGACTTTCGTACAGGACACAATGACTCGGGGTTTCTTAAGAGAGCGTTTACATCATAATCCCAGTGGTCGACGGCGCCAAGGTAAGTAAGGTCACGTTGTTTGAGTTAACCCGTCTACTTAATCTGTCCTGACAAATAAGGACAGACCAATGTCATACGTGGCTTGCAGTAAACAATAACACCTGTAATAAAATGTAAATATTGGTAACAAAATATATGATCATAAAACGTTAAATAATAAGTATGATAAATTTCATTCAGATTTTACTGAAGTAATTTCTTTGGATTTTATGTCAGGGGAATTGATTAAGAACAACAAGCTGGAATTATGAAATGCTAGAAGAGATATTTCTTTTCCTCTCTTTCGCCCTTAAGATAGTTATGGATAACAAGTGGACTATGATGACCACAGAAAAGTCCACCTTGACCTAGGAACATTTTTAATGCGCGTTATCATTGATTCGAAGACGGCTGATGCCCACACTCTCAGCCTGTTCAGTACAAATTTCACGATAACTCTAAAGATGTTACACTCAATCTCTGCAACTGCATGTGCAAGTGTGCAGTAGGGTGGCAGTTTGCCCAATACATGCAATGAGCAATACAGCTTGCCAAAGCAATGGGCAAAAGACAAAAGGACAAAGTTATTTTACAAAGAAAATGCTACTGTAAAACACAAATAAAATGTGGCATGAACATAATACTTCTGACCAAAATAGAATTTAATACACATCAAATAACGCCACTGACGTTGATGTGCCTGTTGATGTTGATGTTACGGTCGAACGCTTCAGATGTGCCAAATGCTGAAGAAGCTATACACCAAAATTGTGCCAGGGAGACTGCGCTGATACAAGCTTCTGGTATGGTCGCCAGGAGCAACCGGTGACCGCGTTCCGTACGTGTTGGGGACTATGTTGTTGTTCAGGAGTACAGGAGCAAGGGTGACCCGCCCAATATATGTTTATTCAATGCATGAAGTGGACAAGTGGTATTGCACATTGCGCACAGCATTTGCACAGATTGGGTGTAACAGAAACCATTTACTCAGTCTGATTTAGGAGGAGGGTTAGGGCGAATGAAGTAATTGGGTTTGACACCGTCTTGAACACAGACGTGGGGTAGTGTCGTGTCTGTTTATATGATCGACAGTGTCCATCAGACGTGGGGTGGTGTCGTGTCTGTTCATATGAACGACAGTGTCCATCAGAAGTGGGATAGTGTAGTGCCTGTTCATATGGACGACAGTGTCCATCAGAAGTGGGATAGTGTAGTGCCTGTTCATATGAACGACAGTGTCCCACGGTTACATAAGGACATGTCTGTTTGATGAGGGAGGGAAACCCGATGTCATGCAGATCACAGACGTTTACTGTTTGGGGTAAAACCATGTTGTTAACATGGAACTGTCAAACCTAGAAACGGACGAATCTGGAATAATATAGATTTCTGGCACCCCTCAAAGAACTCTGAAGCGAAAAGTGGTACCCAAGACAACTGGGACTCTTGTTTCAGCAATGACATCAACAATGGTAAATGGTCGTACGACATCGTTCTTTGACTCCAAACTATCCATTTACGTGTACACAGTTCGCCATATACTATTCCTGGCGCGCCATTAAATGTCAATGACCAGCTTTGTACGTTCAGTTCTACTATTATTCTACCCTTTTAGCACTATCTGTAAGAGATAAAGTCATTTAGAATTCAGTGAACACACGAACCAGCGCAAACACGGCTTGACGATAGACAAGCAAATTGCATTTCAATATTTGATAGGTAACTCGGTGTTGATACTGCGCAAGGTGAACGATTCTCGAAACTAACACGCGATGAACACCTGTTTGGGATCACTCTAGCGACAAAGGCCGAAAGTGAAAAATGTGATTGATGATCTGTTGGCACCGTCAGCATAAGGTCGTAGTGGAATTTGATAGGGATTGTCTTGCAAGTTAGACTGTAGATAATAATAAGTTCATATTGTAAACAGATTGTAGCGCATAATAACAGATCAAGCCATGGGCCCGATCCACAAAGCGTCCGTAACGTTACGACCTATGGTAACTCTATACTTTATCATAAACTTACGAATGACATAGTGCTACGAACGTTTTGTGGATCGGGCCCCAGGCTTATGGTTTCTAGATAGGAATATGTGGTTGCAAGACCCAGAAATGTATATGGCTTCGAAACAGAAGCATATGGCTTTAAAACATAGATGTTGCTTTCAAATTAAGAAAACGGGGCTTTAAGAAGATAATGTGGGTGCCAAGTCAGGAACATATCAGCCAAAGCCAGGAACAAACGGCTTAAAGTCAAAAACACGTTGCTTCAAAACAGGAACATGTCTATCTACTCCTGGAACATGTAGCTTCAAAACAGGAACATGTCCATCCACGATTGGAACATGTAGCTTTAAAACAGGAACATGTCTATCTACTCCTGGAACATGTAGCTTCAAAACAGGAACATGTCCATCCGCGACTGGAACATGTAGCTTCAAAACAGGAACATGTCTATCGACGACTGGAACATGTAGCTTCAAAACAGGAACATGTCTATCTACTCCTGGAACATGTAGCTTCAAAACAGGAACATGTCTATCTACTCCTGGAACATGTAGCTTCAAAACAGGAACATGTCCATCCACGATTGGAACATGTAGCTTTAAAACAGGAACATGTCTATCTACTCCTGGAACATGTAGCTTCAAAACAGGAACATGTCTATCTACTCCTGGAACATGTAGCTTCAAAACAGGAACATGTCCATCCACGATTGGAACATGTAGCTTTTTTAAAACAGGAACATGTCCATCTACTCCTGGAACATGTAGCTTCAAAACAGGAACATGTCCATCCGCGACTGGAACATGTAGCTTCAAAACAGGAACATGTCTATCTACTCCTGGAACATGTAGCTTCAAAACAGGAACATGTCCATCCGCGACTGGAACATGTAGCTTCAAAACAGGAACATGTCTATCGACGACTGGAACATGTAGCTTCAAAACAGGAACATGTCTATCTACTCCTGGAACATGTAGCTTCAAAACAGGAACATGTCTATCTACTCCTGGAACATGTAGCTTCAAAACAGGAACATGTCCATCCACGATTGGAACATGTAGCTTTAAAACAGGAACATGTCTATCTACTCCTGGAACATGTAGCTTCAAAACAGGAACATGTCTATCTACTCCTGGAACATGTAGCTTCAAAACAGGAACATGTCCATCCACGATTGGAACATGTAGCTTTAAAACAGGAACATGTCTATCTACTCCTGGAACATGTAGCTTCAAAACAGGAACATGTCCATCCGCGACTGGAACATGTAGCTTCAAAACAGGAACATGTCTATCGACGACTGGAACATGTAGCTTCAAAACAGGAACATGTCTATCTACTCCTGGAACATGTAGCTTCAAAACAGGAACATGTCTATCTACTCCTGGAACATGTAGCTTCAAAACAGGAACATGTCCATCCACGATTGGAACATGTAGCTTTAAAACAGGAACATGTCTATCTACTCCTGGAACATGTAGCTTCAAAACAGGAACATGTCCATCCGCGACTGGAACATGTAGCTTCAAAACAGGAACATGTCTATCCACGACTGGAACATGTAGCTTCAAAACAGGAACATGTCTATCTACTCCTGGAACATGTAGCTTCAAAACAGGAACATGTCCATCCACGATTGGAACATGTAGCTTTAAAACAGGAACATGTCTATCTACTCCTGGAACATGTAGCTTCAAAACAGGAACATGTCCATCCGCGACTGGAACATGTAGCTTCAAAACAGGAACATGTCCATCCGCGACTGGAACATGTAGCTTCAAAACAGGAACATGTCCATCCGCGACTGGAACATGTAGCTTCAAAACAGGAACATGTCTATCTACTCCTGGAACATGTAGCTTCAAAACAGGAACATGTCTATCCGCGACTGGAACATGTAGCTTCAAAACAGGAACATGTCTTTCTACTCCTGGAACATGTAGCTTCAAAACAGGAACATGTCCATCCACGATTGGAACATGTAGCTTTAAAACAGGAACATGTCTATCTACTCCTGGAACATGTAGCTTCAAAACAGGAACATGTCCATCCGCGACTGGAACATGTAGCTTCAAAACAGGAACATGTCCATCCACGATTGGAACATGTAGCTTTAAAACAGGAACATGTCTATCTACTCCTGGAACATGTAGCTTCAAAACAGGAACATGTCCATCCGCGATTGGAACATGTAGCTTTAAAACAGGAACATGTCTATCCACGACAGGAACATGTAGCTTCAAAACAGGAACATGTCCATCCGCGACTGGAACATGTAGCTTCAAAACAGGAACATGTCTATCTACTCCTGGAACATGTAGCTTCAAAACAGGAACATGTCTATCCACGACTGGAACATATAGCTTTAAAACAGGAACATGTCTATCCACGACTGGAACATGTAGCTTCAAAACAGGAACATGTCCATCCGCGACTGGAACATGTAGCTTTAAAACAGGAACATGTCTATCCACGACAGGAACATGTAGCTTCAAAACAGGAACATGTCCATCCGCGACTTGAACATGTAGCTTCAAAACAGGAACATGTCTATCTACTCCTGGAACATGTAGCTTCAAAACAGGAACATGTCCATCCGCGACTGGAACATGTAGCTTCAAAACAGGAACATGTCTATCCGCGACTGGAACATGTAGCTTCAAAACAGGAACATGTCCATCCACGACTGGAACATGTAGCTTTAAAACAGGAACATGTCCATCCGCGACTGGAACATGTGGCTTCAAAACAGGAACATGTCTATCTTCTCCTGGAACATGTAGCTTCAAAACAGGAACATGTCCATCCGCGACTGGAACATGTAGCTTCAAAACAGGAACATGTCTATCTACTCCTGGAACATGTAGCTTTAAAACAGGAACATGTCTATCCATGACTGGAACATGTAGCTTTAAAACAGGAACATGTCTAGCCACGACTGGAACATGTAGCTTCAAAACAGGAACATGTCTATCCACGACAGGAACATGTAGCTTCAAAACAGGAACATGTCCATCCGCGACAGGAACATGTAGCTTCAAAACAGGAACATGTCTATCTTCTCCTGGAACATGTAGCTTCAAAACAGGAACATGTCCATCCGCGACTGGAACATGTAGCTTCAAAACAGGAACATGTCCATCCGCGACTGGAACATGTAGCTTCAAAACAGGAACATGTCCATCCGCGACTGGAACATGTAGCTTCAAAACAGGAACATGTCCATCCGCGACAGGAACATGTAGCTTTAAAACAGGAACATGTCTATCTACTCCTGGAACATGTAGCTTCAAAACAGGAGCATGTCCATCCGCGACAGGAACATGTAGCTTTAAAACAGGAACATGTCTATCTACTCCTGGAACATGTAGCTTCAAAACAGGAACATGTCTATCTACTCCTGGAACATGTAGCTTCAAAACAGGAACATGTCCATCCGCGACTGGAACATGTAGCTTCAAAACAGGAACATGTCTATCTACTCCTGGAACATGTAGCTTCAAAACAGGAACATGTCCATCCGCGACTGGAACATGTAGCTTCAAAACAGGAACATGTCTATCTACTCCTGGAACATGTAGCTTCAAAACAGGAACATGTCTATCCACGACTGGAACATATAGCTTTAAAACAGGAACATGTCTATCCACGACTGGAACATGTAGCTTCAAAACAGGAACATGTCCATCCGCGACTGGAACATGTAGCTTTAAAACAGGAACATGTCTATCCACGACAGGAACATGTAGCTTCAAAACAGGAACATGTCCATCCGCGACTTGAACATGTAGCTTCAAAACAGGAACATGTCTATCTACTCCTAGAACATGTAGCTTCAAAACAGGAACATGTCTATCCGCGACTGGAACATGTAGCTTCAAAACAGGAACATGTCCATCCGCGACTGGAACATGTAGCTTTAAAACAGGAACATGTCCATCCGCGACTGGAACATGTAGCTTCAAAACAGGAACATGTCTATCTTCTCCTGGAACATGTAGCTTCAAAACAGGAACATGTCCATCCGCGACTGGAACATGTAGCTTCAAAACAGGAACATGTCTATCTACTCCTGGAACATGTAGCTTTAAAACAGGAACATGTCTATCCATGACTGGAACATGTAGCTTTAAAACAGGAACAGGTCTAGCCACGACTGGAACATGTGGCTTCAAAACAGGAACATGTCTATCCACGACAGGAACATGTAGCTTCAAAACAGGAACATGTCCATCCGCGACAGGAACATGTAGCTTCAAAACAGGAACATGTCTATCCGCGACAGGAACATGTAGCTTCAAAACAGGAACATGTCTATCTTCTCCTGGAACATGTAGCTTCAAAACAGGAACATGTCCATCCGCGACTGGAACATGTAGCTTCAAAACAGGAACATGTCCATCCGCGACTGGAACATGTAGCTTCAAAACAGGAACATGTCCATCCGCGACAGGAACATGTAGCTTTAAAACAGGAACATGTCTATCTACTTCTGGAACATGTAGCTTCAAAACAGGAACATGTCTATCCACGACAGGACCATGTAGCTTTAAAACAGGAACATGTCCATCCACGACTGGAACATGTAGCTTCAAAACAGGAACATGTCTATCTACTCCTGGAACATGTAGCTTCAAAACAGGAACATGTCTATCCATGACTGGAACATGTAGCTTCAAAACAGGAACATGTCCATCCGCGACTGGAACATGTAGCTTCAAAACAGGAACATGTCCATCCGCAACTGGAACATGTAGCTTCAAAACAGGAACATGTCTATCTACTCCTGGAACATGTAGCTTCAAAACAGGAACATGTCCATCCGCGACTGGAACATGTAGCTTCAAAACAGGAACATGTCTATCCGCGACTGGAACATGTAGCTTCAAAACAGGAACATGTCCATCCGCGACTGGAACATGTAGCTGCAAAACAGGAACATGTCTATCGACGACTGGAACATGTAGCTTCAAAACAGGAACATGTCTATCGACGACTGGAACATGTAGCTTCAAAAAAGGAACATGTCCATCCACGCCAGAAACGTCTCGCTTCAAAATAGGAACATGTCTTTTCCCCACAAGAACATGTGTCTGTTATAGAGAAGACCTGTGAAGATCCTGGTTAGAATTGATCTTCAGTAACCCATGCTTGTCGTAAGGGGCGACTAACGGGATCGGGTGGTCAGGCTCGCTGACTTGGTTGACACATGATACTGCTGATCACTGGATTGTCTGGTCCAGACTCGATGATTTACAGACCGTCGTCATATAGATCGAATATTGCTGAATGCGGCGTAAAACTAAACTCACTCATTCCTATAGAGAAGCATGTGGCTTGGAACGTGACAATGATTGGGACGCCATGAACAAGTCCAACCGTCCTCATCATCTAACGGTGCTGTGAGTGCTGAGACGTACCCTGTCTTTGTTTGATAGAGTCTCTTACTCATCGGAGACCAAAGAGGCACAGAACGTAGTGCGGCAGAAATATATTATTTCACAAGAAATTGGTGTCTCAGTTTGTAATAATGTTTTATCACTGAACACCTGATCATAAAAAACCTAAAGGATACAGGTTATTTCAGCCATATATAAAGATGGTCCTTCTTGGAAGGGTTTTAGGAAAAAGTCGTTTATGAATAGAACTGAACAATTTCCCATAGATACAATAATTAAAATCGTATTCATTTCACAACACCGATAGTTGTCTGTTTTCAAAACATTAATACATAAACGATAATCGAAGAGTATTAGGTTCGTATGAACTCTGTGCCATAAAAATATACACATGTGTTTTTGAATAACAAAAGTCAAACGACCGATCATCAGAAAAATACACTTCTAAAGTTGTACAGATATGCTTATAGGTGCTTCATACTAGGGTTAATTGAATTAGAATATGAAAATATTAACTTTATATGTGGTATACGTCAATACCAATCTACAGCTATAATCCACTCACCTGACCGGTAAGATCAGCCGCTCCAACTATACCCTAAGACTGTCAGTTCCCAATTAACCGATCACGCATGCTTATAATAGAAGCGTTATTATTTCTACTCCACGCAGGGTAGCTGCTGGTTATAGGGCTCGCTTCTTCACGGGATCCTATGTCCACGGAGCGCGAGAACACCATTCCGCAGAGTCCCTACCATTACTGATTGATGACGTTTCGCCCAAGGTGAGGGGTGAGGAGATATTTGGAACCCAGGCACATTCACTAACGTCACTGAAGTTTGTTTGAACCGGTGTTTAATTAACTATTTTTTATTTAGGATTTTTTTAAAGCAGCGGAATCCATTAAGAATTCTTACAAAACACTTCAAACATGGCTAATTCACAAACCGCTGGATTGCCGGTGCCTAGAGCGAGGCAATCAGAATGGATGCATAGATAATGGTTTCGGGCTGGTCGCTTGTCACGGAAGGCACAGGGCCCTGTTTTAATTACGACTTCGTTTTATGAATGATTAATCACATGGGAATTTGATTGACGATTTCCTTTGTCGTGTGAACCTTTAAAGCCTTGTTTACAGAACTGACATGGCAGATTGCCACCGAGTTCAGGGCTACAGGGTCCTCTTATGATGCTGTTGTTCAGTACCTAACATTCAACCATTTTAGGTCTCTCCTTGAACACTTGCCAGAAAGGGTGCTTGGTGCCATTCATTCATTTATTCATTCACCCACTTATTCATTCATTCATTCATTCATTGAACACTTGCCAGAAAGAGCGCTTTGTGTTTTGCTCTTATTTATTTCTTAATTTATATATTTATTTAGGAGATAAACATCATGTGTTGGCCAATTTCCGGGTGTTATTGAGTATTTGAAGCACGGGAATTCATTTGGAACCGACGGCGTCAGCCGGAGGTTTCAAATGGAATATTCCCGTGCTTCAAATACTCAATAACACCCGGAAATTGGCCAACACATGATGTTTATCGACATTGTAAACAAAAAAGTAAACCAAAAGCTCCACACACGTTTTTGTGTCTGCACTCATTGACATAGAGTACGGGTACAGCAGTGCAATGTCATCAGCCGACCGTTTCGGCTGTCTCCCATGGTAGCATCTAGAACTGCTCATTTGTGACGTCATTCGGACGTTACGTCACAATATGATTTGAATGACGTCATCTCAGCTGACGACGTAACAATACAATGGTGTGAGCGATGTTTGTATGTATTAATACGCAGTGAATTTCCGGGAATCACGTTTTTGAACCAATCAGATTAAAGAACACAGAGACTTTTGGTTTACAATGTTGCTGTTTTCCTGTCTTTGTGTGGTACGTTTTTCGTGATATAGTTCTTGATGAAGATCAAAAGATGAAGATGATGGTTAAAACGTTCGCTTGTCACACCGAAAATCAGGTTCGATTCCCTAGATGGGTAGAATGTGCGAAGCCAAATTGTGGTGCTCCTGGAATTTTTCGTAAAACCATACTCAGTCACTGGTACCATTATCTGTAATCTGCAAAAAAAGATCAGGGAACGTGATGACCTTAGATAGGATTGATTGTAATTGTACACTTACAAATAATTTTGTGCCTAATAATTCGGTTCTGAAATTCAGTACACTATACAAGAAAAAACATATACCACACAAGTTAGGTGGTGTTCCCCTTTTGCATCCTAATGGGCATCAGTAATCCTGTTTCCGATTAGGGTGCAGTTGTACAAAGCAATCCTAGTGCTAAAGTGGTCGTGACTCTCATACCTGCCACTGACCTTCAACTGTCGTAATGCTATTTACAGTTACATTCTACAACTGCGCCTTGCTTTTGGATGCATATGAATCGGATTGACAAAATCGGTACACGATAACGTGGCCAAGTGGTTTAACGTAAGCCTCATGTATACCAATGTTACTAACAGTAAAACACTATACACGTGACATTCAGTTGGGGGCAGTGATGTGCTCTATATTTAGACTTGTGCTATATTTACACAGAGTTCTGGTACGTACTACAACCCTATAGGGGACCGTTCATACTTTATGGTTGTGTGTGTGTGTGTGTATGTTTGTTTGTGTGTGTGTTGATAATCTTAAGGGGGTCACCCATTTTGTGTGTATGTGTGTGTGTGTGTGGGGGCATCAAATCCGTACACATGCACTAGGGGTCAGCAATTTTGTATGTAAAAATATTTTAAAAGTTATGCTTATAAATTATGGGAAGGGGAGGAGGGGCATTGATTTTGTACATAACATGCAAGGGGGTCACTTAATTATACTTTCTTAAATCTTGAGAGGGGTGGGGGTGGGGGTGGGAATTAACATTGTACATGCTTCTGCATAAAAATAATCAGCATCCCTATTGCCATAAATTTTGATTGGACCCTATGCCTGTCCAGTGAAGCAGAGATTATCATAAACAGATCAGGAAACTGTTCTTAGGTATATAAGGAAAGTTAACTTTCTCAAGTTGCAAGAAGACCAGCAGGTGTGTGGAGACCTATTTTTGTCAACTTGACCCTTGTTGCCGTAAGATGAATATTACCAGCTCTGTCTTTATTGCTAAAAGCTCTGCCTTTCTATTATACATTTGATTTTTACTAATCCCTTTGTAAACCTAATTAATTTTAGAATACAATTATTGTTAATTACGTCCCATCTCTTTGGTGTTTGTTTCAGACCTAGTTCTTTTAGTTTCAGCTTGTAGAACTTTATCAATGTTAATAATTTTGTAGGATTGTATCAGTATAAGATAACTGTGTCATTGTGTATCAAATTCACAGAGGACGCGAGACCAATTCGTCTTGACTCCGCACTTGGCTGCACGGAGTTGCGTCCCTTATTCACACCGGAATTAGAGGTGAGGTGAAATAGGGGTTTAACGTCGCACTTAAAAATATTTCGCTCATATGACGACGTGCATGCGTGTGTATGTGTGGCTGCTTGTACTAGTCCAGACTTAAGCTGGTTTTATAGTGCTGGCCCACTGAGATACCATGCCGCAGTGTAGCAAGAATACCCCCACTCAGACACATATACCCCGAGACTCCGAGCCGACCAGTCCTTGTACCCATTAATGCCGAACGCCAGGCAGGGACCAACAAGTACCATATTTTAACGCCTTCTGGTATGACGTAGCCGGGGATCGAACCCCCGGCCTTCCGTTCCCCCGGGCGGACGCTGTAACCACTACACCACGGAGGCGGCACCGGAATTAGATGATGGGTTCTAATCCCGATTACCATTCTTGATCTCTTAGAATCCTATCCGTGATCTTGGATTTCACCAAAATGACGTGCGTCAGTATCTCTATCTGAAAAAAAATATCAAAGCGCTGCACATACAAAACAGGATGATAATCGACAGTATAATAGTCACGGTTGCTACCTACTGTTTAGATAAATTTTCACACACATAAGTCTCGTCATTGAGAGTCATTTATCGATCAGAGATGTTGATAAATGTCTAAGATAAGGTTGGCGAAGCTGTGACCGTGTCTACCACGAATGGCTCGTTGTGAACCGACACCATGACATTAAACACGATGTTGGGGTCAAGGTAAAATAGGCCATGACCTGCATATTGTGACTAGGTTGTGTTCACTAGCAACAGGTAAGAGGGAGTGTTGCTGAATGTTTCGTGATGTGTTAATTAAATAGTTTTGCTTTTCATTCCAGTACACGGTCTCGCCATGTTAAATGTCATGAAGTTTAAACACCTGGGCATGAAGTGAAACAACAAATGGAATTCAAAGTACAATGTGAAAGAAAGAAATGTAGGCCAACTACTATTCCAGTGAGTTTAGTTTTACGCTGCTTTTAGTTCCAGCAACATCACGGCTGGGGACACCCTAAATGGGCTTCACACATTGTACCCATGTGGGGAATCGAACCCGGGACGAGCAAACGCTTTAACCACTAGACTACCCCACCGCCCCTTTTTGTTTCAGTCTCAAGTGATAATTAGGCAGTGCATAAACAGATCCTAATACCATCCTCGTGTATCCAGGGGATAATATCTCCATTCGTGATGTTGTCATCTACAGGTCTCTTACCATAGTGTCTTATGTTATCACTCTCTTGACTAACATTCTGCCCAGCAAAAAAAGTTATCTTAAAAATATGTATCTTCAAAATAGAAAAATAAAATAATAAAAAGTTTAAGGTCGTGTTCCAGAATGTCTATAACTGTTACAGCTTTACAGGGACCCCAGTCCATATATGTGTGGCTGCTTATGGTTGTGTAGAGTGTGGTGGTGTGTGGTACATACACAGGTCACAAATCAGTTGAAGTTAAGCAATGATGAGCGTGGAGAGGCCTTGGATGAGTGACTGTGTTTGGTAGCTAGAGTCCTGAGAGTTTCTAGGACTTCAGTCCTGCCCCACAAGGAAGTATTACATGTGGCAAGTGAGTTTGTTCAAAATTGCCTCTGTTCACCCAGCAGTAAATGGGTACCCGGTGGGATTAGTCATGTGACTATTAACCTTCCAGCAATTCACAGGCAGCTTGGGTTATCCGGGGTAATAATTCAGCGCTTCTGAGCAGTGCTACATTGGAAATAAGCGCTATACAAATGTACAAAATTAACACAGATACCAACTTCTTGCCTTGTTTTATTAATACTATCATGCTAACAATACTTATCTTACCTTCATGTGAAATACTTTAATTTCATTAGTCAATGACGCTTTAACAAGTTTCCGTGACAACTGGAAAGAATATTACCCGCTGCCACGGTAACCGCCAAACTCTCCGCCGAGAAGCTGTATCGCTAACAATCGTATGACGTCATAATATGACGCATGCGGTGTCCGGAGTTCGAAAACCGTTCGATTAGCTGTTTTTTAGTTTACTATGTACAGATATATTTTACCGACTTTCACTGCTTTATTTAAACTATTTATACATTCAATCGTTTGCACAATCAACTTAAACATAATTAACCATTTTTATAGCAGTGTTAACCATGTCAGATTATTTTTCACTGATTTAAAAAATCCAGTGGAGGTGCAGACGCCATTTTGTTTACAAATAAAATAAAATGATATTTTGTACATTTAACATGGCGGTAAGATAAATACGTTGAATGCTTCTCCCTCGGGTAATACGGTCTGATGTACGCCTCTTTGTAGCAGTGTCATTCCTCGCCTACCGGCTCAGGTGACACTGCTACAAAGAGGCGTACATCAGACCGTATTACCCTCGAGAGAAGCATACAACTTATAATATCCTCTTTTATATGAGTATGGAGAGTGAGTATAATTTTACGTGGCTTTTAGCAACATTCCAGCAATATCACAGTGGGGGACACCGAAAATATGCTGAACTCATTGTATTCATGTGGAGAATCGAACCATCTTCAACATGACAAGCAAACACTTTAACCACTGGGCATGTAAATTAATTTTCAACAACACTCAATATTTTGTACATTTATTTACATTCAAAAGTTTGTCTGTACAATTTCAAAAATTCTCCACAACTTCATGGAGCAGTAACTCAAATTTAGATACATATATTGGTAATTGATCGAATCTGCCAAAAGCAAGAACATAGAGGGTGTCTGATACAACAGTTACCGCGATGATCACTATTTCTACTGTTTTATGAATAATCTAATATGTCTAGTATTCTCACAGTCCAACTCATCTATGGACATTCAAGTCTTCTGAACAGTTCTATCCAAGGCTGACTCATCCATCACAGATATTTTGATTCTGTGAGCGTAAAAGATTTCAACAACAATCCCCTGACATCCCATTAATCTACCAGTTGATCATTAATCTCATCTTCCAGACAATCACATTCTCAAATAGAATCATTTATTACCCATGATTCATTTAAATACAAAATGTGTAACCCTGGACGATGTCATCGGAATAGTACTGTCTGAATCAAAGGATGTGACTCCTTATAATCCCCAGCATCGTTTGTTCCAGACCCACCAACACCAGATCAAGGGAGATAACTGTTTCTGGAGTTAACTTGTACCATCTCGACAGTACCATCTCGACAAAATGTTCCTCTGTTAATTTTCCGCTAATTACTTGACTTCTTTTGTTAAAGCGACACTTATTTCAAACTTCAAAAGTAATCTGCATGAAGAGACCATATACTGATCAGTGTACAGTCTCTGGAGCATGTTTCTTGTTTCGGAATTGGTCTTCAGCAACCCATGCTGAGGTAACTAACGGGATCAGGTGGTCAGACTTGGTATCACCATAGATCGATGTCCATGCTGTTGATCATTGGATTGTCTGGTCCACACTTGATTATTTACAGACCGCCATCGTATAGCTGGAATATTGCTGAGTACGGCCTTACATAACAAACAGAATCCTTTTTCCACAACTACAAATCCGAAGCCCCAAAATCTGAAGATCTTTTTCCATCCAAGTTATCCTCCACACTGTGAATGACATGTCCTCTGTGGACATTTTGAAAAGCCTGACAAAAGGGATAAACCAAACTGCCTGTGGCTGCAAGTGATCCTTTCAAGCTGACGTTTTCCTGGAACTGTACACTTTGATGCCATTCTGTAATGATGCCCGTGCATATTTGGTAAGAAGGGCTCCCACGTCAACTTTATTTGTAGTCAGGTCCCTGGAAAACACAACCATTTTGATGACCAGGCACATTCAATAAGTTCTATCACTTGTGAACTGAACTGATCATCTGGGTTTTACATCGTGTCAGCAAGAGCTTATTATGATCTTACTAAGATGAGATCATTGACACTGTGGGGGTATATTTGTTTACTGTAGGGGTTCTCTTACACAACCAACGTAATACCCATCATGCATGATTACACTGCTGCCACCTGATGGCCGTACTCACTTAATGTATGGAGTTATCTCCTCTCTAGTCCATTTCTTCCTTGTCTGGAACAAGTACTCGAACCTGTAACAGAGCATGTTTTTAGAATGGAAATCAGGCAAGAAGTCTAATTCAAACTAATGAAAGCTGCATAGATCACTAGAACTTGCTGTCTAATATATTACTCTAAAAATGTTAAGACCATCCAATTTGTTCATATCACTATAGATATAATCAGGCAAGATTATACTAGGAAAACTGATTTGTATGGATAGTCAACTTCTTTATTGCAATGAGTGCAACGTTTTGGTGTAGGTACTAACACCGTTATCAAGCAAGTGATACAACAACTGAAGCAAGGAGAATATATACATAGCTGTATAGTGAGTATATACAATTAACAAGGTCGATGTACATTGGGTATTTGATAAGTGATTACAGCAGAGGAGGTTGATGTACAGAGTGATTGATTGTGATTAGAGTTGAGTTTATACAATTGATGAGTTGATGTACAATAGTTGTGATTACAAGCACAAAGGGGGGAGCACGGAAGCCAGATGGACAAAGGAGATAGGGAAGGATTACTGGTGGTGGTGTTTGATTAGGTGGTGATAGGCTTACGAGATGAAATAACCTTGATCTCGATTCATGGGGTTGTGGTGTTGGATGTTTATGTACATCAACCTTGTTAATTGTATATAATTTAGTACCTACACCGAAATGTCGCACTCATTGCAATAAAGAAGTTGACTATCCATACAAATCAGTTCTCCTTCATCATCACAACTTCTAAAATGCCTCTCAAAGAAAAAAGGAAAAAGATTATACTACCCTAAAACAACTGGCATGATGGATTACAGCAATAGTGATATGAAAATGTTGGCCAGGCCTACGTTTTGTTTGAATTTTACATGCAGTATTAGTTTTAACAAAAAAAACGTTTTTAAAGATTTACAGTAGAAATGATACCTGTGACGGATTCAGCAAAGTAGATGGCCGGAACACATACAGGGTATATATACACAGAACACTGGCCATGACATGATTCACATCTCAATACAACAGAATATCAACATGCCATAAACTTAAGCTTTTTAAAAATCCTAAAATAATTAAACCCAATGTCATAAGTTTGCTGCACTCAGCAATATCCCAGCTATATGGCGGTGGTCTGTAAACAATCAAGTGTGGACCAGACAATCCAGTGATCCAGTTTTTATACCTATTCTAACTGAAATCAATTACTTTTAGTACAATCATTTATTGCAAAACAAGTCCACAGTGGATGGAACTAAGATCAGACGATGCTTCCAGGAGATATCCCGTTTTGACAGTAGATTTTTACAATGCCCTGACAATCAGGCATGAAACGCACAATTTATGATATCGCTGCACTGCAAATCTAATGGCAGTACTGTGTTCAGATATGTACATTTTCAGATGAAAACTAATTATGTTGTTTGATGATAATAAATCTGATATCAAAGAATCAACGGCCGTTGATAGTGGAAAATATCCTATCAAGGGATATTTGTGACTTTATCAACTGTGGTGATATATTTGATATACACTAGTGAATTTTAAAGTTATTTCCACCCCTGAAGTAGATATATATACATTGTATCGATGGTCACTCAACACTGTGTATTTGGGTATCTGTATGTTTCTCTCTACACAAGTACTTAATTTGGTGCATATTAAAGTCAAAGGTCAAAAGCAAGAAAAAAATCACAAAAATATTTAATATTACTTAATACCAGATGCTTGCAGCAGGCCCGGTTTCATCTTAAAGTATGTCATGGCTGCCATAATGGCACAACAGTTAACAACATACGGAACTGACCTCTCGGCTGTGTCCTCTGGGAGGTCCTCTGCTGTAAAGTACCAGATAACAGGCGGGATGCTGTCCTCATCAACCAAAGCCATGCCCTACAACACATAAACAGAGGGCCATGAAAGAAAGGCTTCAGACGCTTATGGAAGTTTTGTGGATATGTACTAAGAAACCATATGACAACTCTCATTGCTATTGACTGGTGTGCTAACAAGCCATATCTCACCCCAACCTGGTACAGGCTAGTTTGCTAACAAGCCAAATCCCACTTCTATCTTGTACAGGCTGGTATGCTAACAACCCATACCTCACCTCTACCAGGTATAGGCTGGTGTGCTAACATCACATATCTCACCTCTACCAGGTATAGGCTGGTGTGCTAACATCACATATCTCACCTCTACCAGGTAGAGACTGGTGTGCTAACATCACATATCTCACCTCTACCAGGTATACGCTGATATGCTAACAACCCATACCTCACCTCTACCTGGTACAGGCTGGTATGCTAACAAGTCATATCTCACCACTATCTGGTACAGGCTGGTATGCTAACACCCGATATTTCACCTCTCTCTGTTAGAGACTGGTATGATAACAATCCATACCTCACATCCATCTGGAACAGGCTGGTATGCTAACAAGCCATATCTCACCTCTATCTGGTACAGGTGGTATGCTAACAAGTCATATCTCACCTCTATCTGGTACAGGCTGGTATTCATGCCTGCAGGAACGCACTGCTGCCACACTTGCAGGAACTCATCGTAATGGAACTGTAACCAAGGCAACAGAGACATCAAGCACAATACTGACCAACCAGAGGTTACAGACGACCAAGTCATTTATCTTTCAATACAGCGTTGAGAACCAGTATGCTAACATGGAGTGTTTATCTCACAGATTTGATACATTAAGATCCTCGATACGTCATGACCTTGCCAGTCAGTGTTGGTAGTTTGTCAATATTGGTCTTCTAGCTGTATCACATTCAGTTGTCCTCCCACAGAAATTATCTAAGAAAGCTAGCGTATGATTAGCTTTTGAACCCACACATCCTTCCTTTAGCGAGGTATCATATTGGAGCATACATTTGATTTAATTGTAACGAGTGAAGATTCTTCTGAACATATGTACACTCATCCTTGATAATCTCCAGGGTATACGTTACGATAACTCTCCACTATACCCTGGATGCATCCACGGCTTGGGGCGATGATTGTATTACCTCCCTTGGCTGATTCCGCATTCTCACAGTAGCCAATCAGCTAAGCCGCCGTTACAACCAAGCTTGCCAGTGTCAACAAAGATAGCGGTTGTAGTCGCGATGGTTTGTTCGCAGTGCCACTCAGATTTTGGGGGAAATAATATAGACAAATTCACAGATCTGAAACTTTCAAAAAATATATGAAAGAACTCCTTCTACTTCTTTCAGAGTACCTCTGCATTAATTGTGTTGCCAAGTTTAAACGGTTAGATAATTTAAGAAGCGAAAGTCAGTTGCAATTGGTTCACTCAACTTCCCAGCGTAGGCACTTAATTGGATAAAAAACCAGCCAAGGGAGGTAATAAAATCATCGCCCTAAGCCGTGGATGCATCCAGGGTTTAGTGGAGAGTGATCGTAACGTATACCCTGGAGATTATCGAAGATGATGTACACTGTAGTTTCTAAATATCTCTTGGGTGGTGGGGTAGCCTAGTGGTAAAAGCATTCGCTCGTCACGCTGAAGACCTGGGTTCGATTCCCACTTGGGTGCAATGTGTGAAGCCCATTTCTTGTGTCCCCTGCCATGATATTGCTGGAATATTGCTAAAAGTGGCGAAAAAACAAACTCACTCACTATATATCTTTGAATCAACCAACCTTCCCAGAATTCCTCAGTGTCAACTCAGCAAAGAACCTGCAGATTTTGTCTTCATTGAGGACATTAACTGGGTCTGAAGAAGAAGATAGGATTAGCGTTATGTGTACCAAGCTAGCTGATACACAGATACATTTTCAGATGGGCAAGAATACTTTTGTGAATTGTGATATATATTTCAGATACAAAACTGTGACTTTTTGTGAATTCCATATCAACATATATTTACAGAGTTTTAAGGCAACAAAATTGCTGTACACATGAATACTGATGCATACTATCATGCCACAGTTCTCGAAAAATCAAATTGCATATTAATACTAGCTTTATGAGAGCCCCCAGCTAACTACCATATAATTTATTCTGAAAAAATTACGATTAAGATTACAACATGAAATTAATAAGTTCGAATGAATTAATGCAACGTTGCATTAAATCGACTCTAACGACCAAACTTTATTTCAAGCGAACCCCATAGAGTTATGTCCCTTGGAACGCTCCTTACGAATATCCTATAACGCAACTTGTGATTGAGGCCAGTTCGGCAAACACCAACAACACCGTGTGTGACAGTTTTCGATGTACGGAGCAATCGTTTACATTCCATATATGGCAAGCGGTTTCTGTTTGGAATCTGTTCGCCTTGAAGTTTCAATTATCCATTTCAGGCAAGTCGTAAGGTATAAAAAGTCTTTTATTGTATCAATAGGAAGCTAAAGTGAGTGCACATGCCCCAACATATACATCATAGACCAAAATATTGTCGAAAAAGCGTGACATTGTGCCTTTAAGCACATAAACCTAGTCCACATAAGACCTTCAGAACATTGAATTCATCCTCAAAACATTGACATATGACCTTTAGACCACTCCCCAGAACATTGACACAAGTCTTGAGCCATACTCACCTGTGTTCTCCCCCTGGGGTGTCTTGGAGTCTGAGTAACATTGTACAACATGCTCCACCACATTCCTGCAACACAACATATAACACAGTCAGAAGGTACATAGAGAGGATACACAACATGGGAAAGACATTTGACATAGCGGACGTATAGCAGGGGTGGAAAAATAACTTTAAAATTGCTAATGTGCTCCGGTACAGTGGCACATGTAAAATCACTTGCCCTGATATTGTTTCCACTATACTGGCTGATTTTCTTGTTGATTTTTTAAATAAACAACATAATTAACATTGGAGCGTCAACTGGACACCGGTACAGCGTGACAGACAAATTTGCAAGCCAGACAAAAAAAAACACTGGACTGGGCGTCGGGCAATGGGTTATTTCCACCCCTGTATAGCATAGACAGTATTGTCAGCAGCCATGTGTCCTGCCACTATAGACAGCTGACAGTACCTAGTTTCATGGCACTATAGACAGCTGGCAGTACCTAGTTTCATGGCACTATAGACAGCTGGCAGAACCTAGTTTTATGGCACTATAGACAGCTGGCAGAACCTAGTTTTATGGCACTATAGACAGCTGGCAGAACCTAGTTTTATGGCACTATAGACAGCTCACAGTACCTAGTTTCATGGCACTAGACAGCTGGCAGTACTTAGTTTCATGGCAATATGGACAGCTGGCATAACCTAGTTTCGTGGCACTTTAGACAGCTTGCAAAACCTAGTTTTCTGGCACTATAGCCAGATGGCAGAATCTAGTTTCATGGCACTATAGACAGCTGGCAGAACCTACTTTTATGGCACTACAGACAGCTGGCAGAACCTAGTTTTATGGCACTATAGACAGCTGGCAGAACCTAGTTTTATGGCACTATAGACAGCTGGCAGTACCTAGTTTCATGGCACTATAGACAGCTGGCAGTACCTAGTTTCATGGCACTATAGACAGCTGGCAGTACTATAGTACCTAGTTTCATGGCAATATAGACAGACAGCTGGCTATAGACAACCTAGTTTTTTATGGCACTATAGACAGCTGGCAGAACCTAGTTTTATGGCACTATAGACAGCTGGCAGAACCTAGTTTTATGGCACTATAGACAGCTGGCAGAACCTAGTTTCATGGCACTATAGACAGCTGGCAGAACCTAGTTTCATGCTAGTTTCATGGGCAGACAGCTGGCAGAACATAGTTTCATGGCCCCTTTATAGACAGCTGGCAGAACCTAGTTTCATGGCACTATAGACAGATGGCAGAACCTAGTTTCATGGCACTATAGACAGATGGCAGAACTTAGTTTCATGGCACTATAGACAGCTGGCAGAACTTAGTTTCATGGCACTATAGACAGCTGGCAGAACCTAGTTTTATGGCACTATAGACAGCTGGCAGAACCTAGTTTCATGGCACTATAGACAGCTGGCAGAACCTAGTTTCATGGCACTATAGACAGCTGGCACCTAGTTTCATGGCCACTTTAGACAGCTGGCAGAACCTATAGACATCTAGACAGCTAGTTTTATGGCACTATAGACAGCTGGCAGAACCTAGTTTTATGGCACTATAGACAGCTGGCAGAACCTAGTTTCATGGCACTATAGACAGCTGGCAGTACCTAGTTTCATGGCACTATAGACAGCTGGCAGAACCTAGTTTCATGGCACTATAGACAGCTGGCAGTACCTAGTTTTATGGCACTATAGACAGATGGCAGTACTTAGTTTCATGGCACTATAGACAGCTGGCAGAACCTAGTTTCATGGCACTATAGACAGCTGGCAGAACATAACCTAGAACCTAGTTTCATGGCACTATAGACAGCTGGC